AGAGTTGGGGTTGTACAAGCAATGTGAGATAGCATCTCTAGCTTGACCGACAGTGTACTGATGCAGGCGAGTGAGTTTCTCTTGATCTGGCACTGTCTCTTTATCAATCACAGAGGAGAACAATCTCATGAACTGCCAGTACTTTAAAGGTTCTCCATCGAACTTGATGATGTCAACTGGTGGTAGATGCATGGAATCGATGTGTGACTGATATTGTTGCCTTGACAGGTCTAATAGTTGGCATAAAGAATTCTCATTCTCTGCTGAAAGTGAGGAACGAAAGTTGATGGATGCGTTACCTGAGACAGGAGTGGAAAAGTCTTTATTTATTGTTGTTAACTCAGCCTTTCGACGGTTTTCCTCCATCTCAGCATCTTTGAGTTTCAGTAAGCCTTTCAGACCATCCATTTCCAATACTGCATGTTGAAGTTGTAAGTTAAACTCTGCACGAAGGCGTTCTTCCTGTCGAGCAATAAGCATGGAAAACTCTTCCTTTTCTTTCTGTCTTAGATTTTGTAGCCCTTGAAGCTGGGTAGACAGCTGGTCTACTGAAGACATTGGAGATTTAACGGCTTCATCAAACTTTGACTCTTCCTCTTGGAAATGAAGTGCATCTGAAGATTCTATGTTTGGATCCTCCATTGATGGCTTAAAGTCGTCAAACCAGCTCAAGACTGTGTGCTGCAAGTCTTGAACATCACGCAGGACTGATGTTAAATAGCCCTTAGAAGCATCAACGTCATCATCGTCTTCTAATGATTTATGGTACATGTCATGAATCTCATTAAAACGCATAACCGCCTCATCCAAAGCAGGAAGTTTCATCTCCACTTCTTTGGGTTGGTTACAGTTCATAGAAGTTGTAATCTGTGTCATCAAGCGTGTCACTGCAGCCTTTGCACTTCCACGTTGACGCTTGAGACATCTTTGTTGTTGATCAGGAGTAACACTTGTTTCTGAATCTTGGTCCATGTTGTCATTAATCTTCTTAACTCCTCGTGTTTGACTTTAATGTTACCCATGAATGATAACATTAACTTGGATTTTGTGTTTTCTCTTTTCTTTATTCCACTTGTGCAGAACTCACAATGTACACATAAGTGTGTGCGTGCGGTCAAACTGTAAATACAAATAATTCACCTTTAGTTTCCAGTCATGTATCATTTTCCCAAATAAGTTTTCTACAACATAACATCAGCTTAGATGATAAACATTATAAATCAAAGATATTCCGTACAAAGCAAATATCACACGTGGTAGACTATGTAGGCATTAAATATTATCACATGTGTGTAATAAAACTATCAATACAGATTTCTAAACAGTCGCTGTATTACAAACACCTATTAAACCTTGTAAATGCTACACATATTGCATATATGTTTAAATAAGCAATTTAAACCAAATGTCAATCCAAACTAACAAACTAATAGCATTAGGCGTTTAGGCGCTAATCGCGAATGGCGATCTACATAGTGCTTTTATCAATATACTTATAACAACAACATTTGACTTACCACGCTGGGAACATATAGTTCAGATTAAGTGTTTAGCTGTAATTGTTGTAGAACATAAGAAAGTCTGCAAATGAGCATCAACGTTGCTTTCTCGGTCAGTTCGGTTCGGTTCAGTTTTTTTTTTTTTTTTACAGCGCCTCTTCTTCCGCGATCCCATGAGCCCACAGAATCAACGTCCTTAAAGGGGCAGCACCCTACACCTTTAAAGCCTTCAAGTCAAAAGACAGATTTAGCTTACTATTCCTTTAACACAAATAATCTGCAGCATTGATGGGTTTGATTATCTGGATGGTTTCAACAGTTCACATGTAAAATGTTTTGTGTCGACTGTTCACACATGGCACAAACCTTTTAGACATTTTGTCTACTAATTATATGTATCAGTACTGCGGGGAAACAACGGCAGGTTGGAAAATGAGGACACCACAGACACAGAGTGGTTTAAAGTCGCTGCCAACATAATGGATTTTTAAAATCTATTTTTCAGCTGAATGGCTGTTAATCCTCCTAGCTGAATTGCCAACATTTTACAAATCATAGAAAAACCTTCCAAGGGAAGTTATGATGATTTATATTTAGTAGACAATTTTCCCTTTTTATGTTAAGGGCTTTAACAGAGCCGTCATATGGGTGCTTTATTCACAAATGTGGCTGCTTTTGTTTCCTAAGTAACATGAGAGATATATTCATTGGAGGAGGAAGAACTCCGACCCTTTGCAAAGTATTAATACCAACTTGTAGAAATACTCTGTTCTGCACTGAAGGTGCACTAAAGATGTTATTGGGAAAATGTACTTCAAGTATTAAAAGTGAAAGTGCTTAAAGGTGTAAAATGTCTCCTTTGACTTTTATACTGTTATATAGTCTATCATTTTTGATTAATTTGTTTTTCATTTTCTCCAATAATTGATTGATTGTTTAGTTTGTAAAACATCCAAAGTAACTAATTGTAAAGTAACTAACGCTGTCAGATAAATGTCGTGAAGTAAAACTTTTAATTAAATGTAGTGGAGTAGAAGTAGAAAGTGACGTGAAAAGAAACAACTCATAGAGACTAAAGTACAAGTACCTCATATTTGTCCACAAGTACCGTAATTGAGTAAATGTATTTAGTTACATTTCCCATCTGCATGTATTATATTTTACTTGGTACTAAGCCGAAAAACGGTAGAGACGATGGTGATCCATGTGCGCACCAAACAAGCCCTCCAGCAGGTGATCTGTTTGTAGATCAAATGGACCCCCCACCACAGTGACCCCTCACTGAGATGAGAGAGCGAACTCTAACCTTTCATCCGGGACTTTCAGAACTGCAGTCAGGTATGTGGGCTGCAATTTACCTTTGAATTTCTCCCGCATCGTCCCAAAACACCAAAAAGATTTTACTCATTTCCCGCACTAGCCTGTCTTACTTCATTGTATATAGTTTTACAGTTTATATATATATACCATATATAATATTTAATATTTGATTTTTTATACTTTATATTTCTTTCTTTTCAGTTTTTTGTTTTTTGCAGTAGTCTTTATTCCATGCTGCATTGTACTACACATAGTGCCGACATACATCGCGAATAAATTCTGAGTCTTTAAAATAAACCATATATTACAAGTGTATAAACTATACAAAACATTTGTTTATCTTTAACTGCTTGCTGGACGGTGTTAGACAGAGGGCCGAGTTTTAACTAAACTTTAAAGAACATTAGCTGTTAGTTGTAAATTCAAGTTCAATTTCAAATATATTTATATAGTACATTTAAAAACTACCTCAGTTGACCAAACTAATTTCCAAATTCAGGATAGATCACAAAGACAAAACTCAACTCTGTTTTAAGGCCAATGAATAGAGGTGGGTCTTTAGCAAGGACTTGAAAATTCACTTCAAACACGGAAATTACAGGAAATTCACATCTAACATATCATAAGGACTAGGGCCAGTATTGATCTGTGACTAAATTGAAACTTCGTAAAAAGCACTTGTTGCATTTTTCATTCAAACTAATAGCATAAATGAATTCACTGAATTTAAAAAGGTGTATTGGAATTGAATGGAAAATTTCTTCCATTTAAGAGTTTTGGCTTAAGTTAAGAAGATTTCCATGGAGCTGAACAACTGGAGGAGCTAATGAGCAGGTAAGTATTAGCAACACAACTCAAAATTACACAATTCAACAGCATTATAAACTGCAAAACCTCCAAAATGACCAACACGTCTCTAAAATAGTTTCGGCTAAAATTATAACCTTCTCGAAGGCACAATTTATTGCTTGACGGTTGTATTAGAATGCATTAGTTTTAGCTAAATGTACCCAATAACCTGACAACCAAATGTGTGTGTGTTTCAAAGCATGTTTGCCTGATTGACAGATGTCTCAGCCTGTCCCCCTCAATTGCACCCTGATCGTAATCCTAAATAAAATCAGGCATATGAATTAGGATTGTCTCATGTAGCTGCCAAGATGGCAGCGAGTGGGAATATCAAATCCAGGCATTAAACTACCCCAACCTTTGTTTTTATCTACAGTCTGTAACCTGTTTTGTCATCACTGCTCATTCAAAAACTCACTCCTTTGCTCATTCAAAAACTCACTCCTTTGGTTTATTCTAGACTAACTAGAAAAGTAATCTCCTGTGCACAGGGATAGAGTAACCAGTACAGGGGAAGGCTTTCATGAACTGAAAAAATGACGACTACCAAAATGGACAAAAAAGAAAATAGTTTGACTTGCATATAATGATAATAGTTATGATCTTTTAAAATCATCCCACCAGGTGTGCAGTTAATATGGCTGCCATGAGAACGCATTAACATGTTCATTAAACTAAATCTGTGATCAATGACTTGCAGTAAATGTAAATGCTCCGTATTTGTAAAGCGCCTTTCTAGTCTTTTCGACCAGTCAAAGTGCTTTTACACTACATCTGCATTCACCATTCACACACATTCATTCACTGGTGGAACAGCCACCGGAGGCAATTCAGGGTTCAGTATCTTGCCCAAGGACACTTCGACATGCAGCCTGAAAGAGCCGGGGATTGAACCGCCGATTAACAGGCAACCCACTCTATCTCCTGAGCCACAGCCGCCCCCTCCAGTACAGCACGCACACATGCACACACACTGAATCAGTCAGAGTCAGCAGGAACAGCTCATATCGACTGACACCTTCACATAGATGGATAAAAAAGTCATGGCTGACTCATGTTAATGGCTCTTTAATTGGTAAATTGAATCTAAAATTGATTGATCTAGCACTGGAGCAGAGAGACGTTATGAAAACTGCAGACAACCTACTGTGACCATTTACACACACACACACACACACACACACACACACACACACACACGCCCTCAACCCATTCACCGTTCCAGAAATGGTCCATTATGATATAATCCGTGGCGCTGTGCTGTGCAGTGATCTGTAAAGAGCTCTAATCTGTGCCGGCCTCTCAGCCGGCCTGGCTCGGTCAAACACTCACCGGGAAGTAGAGGAGCAGAGAGCCGAACAAGATAGTCTCCAGCAGGAGGAGGCCGGATGCCCGGATCCTCTGAGGGAGGAGAAAGTGGACAAGAAAGGAACAGTTGGGAAGTTATGAGAGGCAGTTGCACTTATGAGCTTAAAAGCACCACACCAGTGTATTTTCACATTATTCTGCACATTACTGCTGATCATCTCCCACAGCATATGATATGTTTTTAGATTGCTAGATTGATTTTAGGTTAGCTTCTGTTCCACTAGTTTTCAAGGATTTTTCTCATTGATGGTTCTTTTATTGCTCTTTCTGAATAGCTGAAACATGAAACCGGGGTTTTCTGTCCATTGACTATGTTAAATAGGTTTAAATGAGTAAAAGTCCTGCATTCAAAACCGTTATTAAGTAAAAGTATATAAATATTATCAGTAAAATGGTCCCTGTCAGTGTTTTACTATTATATCTCATGTTTCTGGATTAATATTCCTGCTGCATTAATGTGTCTCTTGCATTTTACTGCTGTAGATGTTTAAGGCTGACCTCATTTTAACTACTTTATATACTGATGGGTAGTTTAGTCTACAAAAATGCATCATATTCTATAAAATCATTGTGTGTTTGTTGCATCTCTGTCCTGTGAGAACCACATCTCTCTAAAAAGTCAACTTTAAATGAGCTCAGAAAAACAGCCCTGTTTTCAGCTTGTGTATTTTCCATCTGATCTGAGGGGGTGTTTAAATAGTTTATTTAGCTTAAGAAGGAGGAGCATTTTCTCAGTCCATAAAAAAACCCTTTATTCTGCAGTTTATCACAAACATTCAAAATCACCACATCTTGAGATACATGGTTTTCACTGGACAGGAAAGGTGTGAAAAACTGTAATAAGCAACTAAAGCTGTCAGACAAATGTAGTGCAGTAAAAATAAAATATTTGCCTCTGATATGTAGTAGAGTAGAACTATAAAGTAGCATAAAATGGAAATACTAGGGTGAAGCAAACTACGTGAAATCTATATTTAAAGTTTCTGTATATGAGATTCTTTACATGCAAAGAATCACACCTCCTCTGTGCTTAGTTTTGGTAGCCGGCCCGGCTGACCGTGCATGTTACTGCATGTGAGTCCCTCGCTGTGAAGCTTTTGGCTTTGAGGAGAGTGATACAACGACTTTAAGACCTATTCTGAACAAACTGGAGTTGGTTTCCGTCCAGTTTGAATGAAGAGTTTTTTTTACAATGATCTGCAATGTAAAATGACTCTTTTTCTTAATGGAGTCTGGTGGGCCGGAGCGTTGTGATGATGAGGAGGCACCAAATGATCAGAGCTGAGATAGTCCACCACTAGGAACCAAGTGGACCCATGAAAACGATCACAGTACTGAACAATAAAGAAACCCAATGCCATCATAACCTAGATAAACCAATTATTGTGTTTTTGTTTTGTGGTGATGGCACAGTGGATAAAACACATTACTTTGGTGTGAGAGACCCCGGTTCAATCCCCCACTTGGCCCATCCACCATTGTGTCCCTGAGCAAGACACTTAATCCCTAGTTGCTCCAGAGGCGTGCGACCTCTCACATATATAGCTTTGGATAAAAGCGTCAGCTTAAATGAATAATTGTAAATGTTAAAGAACTCACACCTGTTAGTCTTAGCTGTTGGCGCGCAAGCAAAATATAATCCGAGCTGTAGTTGTTTCATGCTAACAATATGATGATTGTTATAACAGTTTCAAAATACTGGAGTGCTCAGAGACCCCAGTGTCATGTTTTGGCTTTTTAGCGAGACTGATGAAAGTAACCATGTATTAGAAAATATATGATCTGGTTGACGCTAAAGCAACAAAAGCTAGCTTGGTAAAAAGGTGGGGCTTCGGCTCTCTATTGATTACAGTTAATTTTGTGCATCTGTTTTGTCTGTAAAAACATTTATAATAAGACATTTAATCAGCAACAATTTTAGAGTCATATTGCAAGGCAGGTTCAGGGTTATCACAGTCTATGCTGACAATAACTTTCAAAAAAAGAAGTTTCTGCTAAACACAGCAAAATGTCTGACATCATGATTCAATTCCTGGAACAGCTCTCCTGATTGTCCTTCTGTCTAACCCCACACGTATGGTGGCCTTGTTGAGCCAAAAGACCCGACTCACCCGGTTTCGACGATGCCTGTAGGCCACCATCATGCTGACGAAGATGAGGAGCATGAAGATGCCCTGGACGGCCAGCACGGCACCCCTGAGAAGCCAGGCCTCCTGCACCCAGCAGGGAGTGCCATCCTGACAGCTCTTGCAGCCCGTCCAGCACGGGAGACAGATGGGCATGTTCGGGTAACACATGCCGCCACCGTCAGTCCCGTTCACAGGGCGACCATCTGCATCTACACCTACACAAACCCATGTGAAGACCTACACGTGACTTACACTTTTAAATTCTCTGGAAACAGAAAAAGTCATAATTTTATATTTCTAAAGGATTTGTTTTTATATAAAATAATGAGAAGTACACCACAAAAAAATTTGATTCCCAGCTTAGTCATTTATCCCAACATGATTGCCTGTATTTGATAGATGGGAAACCTGTGAGGGAACCAACCTACTAGTTGAATGGGGCACTTGTCAAATGGAGTGTGAACCTTTCTACATCATACATTATAAAAAGTTACACATGGGAGAAAATGGGGACAAAACGTTTCTAAATGATCTAATCTGTGGAACTATTCTAGTCGGAAAATCAAATCAAGTTTTTGATTAGCTTAAAAGTAGAATTTGTTACGGTCTTAGTCTATAGAAACATTAAGTGGATTCAGGTGGCTGTATCAAAACACACTGACAGATACACAACTACTACCATATAACCAGCTTCAAGTTGTTAGACAAATGTGTTAGCTAACAATTGCCTACTTTTACATCCAGACATTAAACAGTGTTTGCATTTATTTGGAGTCCTTTTAGCTTTGTTAGGGTTTCCAACAATTTCTGAGAAAAAAATCTGGCTCATCTGCTAAATGTTCCACTTTCTTTGCCAGCTACCGCTAACTGTGTCTGCTGTTTTGCACTGAGCAGGTAGTAAACAGCAGCGGGTTCATCAAGCTTCTTTTTGGATGAAAATGGCTGTTTGGTTTGAGAGTGGCTTAGACTTCGATCATGCTAGAGAACACGGTAGCATCCAGGTACCAATGTCAAATCAGCATATCTGCAAATCTGAGCTACCAAGTGAGTTAATTTGTTCTTGTTAAGTTACTGTGAATGAATTAACTTGTGCATTTCCATCATGGCTTCCTCATCTCTCTAATATAAGAGTAAGAAATATAGATGACAGATAAATCATAGGAATTTGAAATAAGACTGTACTAACAATTTCATCAATTGGCTATTAAAATGTAAATAATGCTTTTACTCATGCTTTTACTAATTCATGTGAATCTTGGTTTTGTTGAAATGGGCAGAAAACAGTGTGCAGGGCTTTAAAGACCAACAGTTGAGGCAGTAACCTCAGGAGATATTTAACCTGCTGTGGCCAGAGGTTTGCAATGGACTTACCTGAGACTTGACTTGCTATCTCAGGGTTGTAGTAACCTTCTTTACAGCGGCAGCAGTACTGACCCAGTCGAAAACCCCGGCCTGGAATTGGTACGCACTGAAAAGAACAGAAAGATTGTTCTGATTATTCATTCCCCCCTGCAAAGTTTTTCAGACTGTCTGTCATTTTCCTTTCAGTAATAATACAGTAAGAACAAATAGTACTAGTACTTTCTAATTAAGTGCATTTATTCATTTTTACTTGTTTTAATTGTTATATGTTTTTTAAAAACAGATTTTCCTGCATGGACTTATTTTACTTTTGCACGTGTGGAATCACCCAATGTGAAAACCTTAGTGTACACAGGGAGGGTTTGTTTGTCAACAATAACAATCTGTTTTTACATTACTCACATTCACACTTAAAGCTGCCCAGTTACAGTACACAATCAACTCTTACTGTACCCCAAAGCAAGGCAATATGGATGAGTTTTTCTCTTATTATTATAGGGGACAAAAAAACAGCCAATAATATAACACAGTCACAACACATGATAAATAGTCTTTACTTTTATAGCACCTTTCTGGTCTTCCGGCCACTCAAAACGTAATTACACTATGTAAAATTCACCCATTCACACACATGCATACACTGATGACAGAGGCAAAGGTGCCGACTGCTCATCAGAAACTGAAACTAACATCTTGCCCAAGGACTCAAGGAGCCGGGAATCCAACTAAGTAGTAAACAATAAAAATAATGTTAAACTATGAGACCATAAAGCTCCGCCACTTTCCTGCTGGTGCTGTGAAGCACCTGAATGAATAAAGGTTGGAAAAGGGGTCACATTACTCTCTCACACTCTATTTCCCTCTGATGCTAGCTTCAATTTAGCCAGTCGGGATAGAGAGAGACACAAACACACACACACTTGGATGCTCTGTGTGTTAATCTAAGTTAAAACCTAAATGGATACATAATGCCTTGACTGAGAGCATTATCCTTTTCTAGAGAAATCCTGTTCCCTAGCGCGCGCGCACACACACACACACACACACACACACACACACACTGGCCTGAGATATGTATATATAAACCCACTACCCCCTTATCAGATGCTTGAAGAACTAATGCCATGGGTCGAACATTAATGTGATATGGATTATACAGAGCGGTCAACTTAAATCTCTGCATGGTTGCATTTCTCAATTCAACAAATAGTAAAGTCGTAGTAAATCAGCAGAGCCTGTCATGTGTCAAGTTTAAGTGGAAACATCGACTGCCACTTTGAACAATTTACAGCTTCATGGTTGTTCCAAAAACCGTCGCTTACATCAAAGTAATGTAACTGCTATGAGGCAGTGACTCGGCCCGTAAAACAACATGTATGATCAAGAAACACTCATGCCACATGTTTCAGCACTAGATTAATGAAAAAAAAAAATCCAACATAAGAAAAACGTAAGCAAAATCATCAATAATAATGCTTTATGTCACCACAACAAATTTCTCTGCATTTCCTTGCTGAAGTAATTCCCCACTTATGTCATTTCAGTGTGACCAAACCATTGGCAGAGCGCTTTGGCGAAAAAAATGCAATGCTCAACTTTTGCTGGAACAAAATGGGATGTCATCTGGAAACACTGTGCATTGGCCAGTCAAATACGTGCAACAGCGCACTCCAGGTGCTGATGCCTTATAGCTGTGTAGTTTGTAGCATTGTGCTAATTTTATTGTTTGCCTCACAATTCAAGAAAGAGAAGTCAACTAAGAAACTGGAGGAGTATTGTTGCCACGATAATTTTCCAGAGTTGTAAAAACCTGTCTAATAGTATTATAAATCTCTGTTGTTATGGTGTCTGATTAGCCTTCAAATCTACTAATGTATTATTCAAACTGGATGTCCAAGATTGTAATTGATTATTTCAATAGTTTCTGTAGAAACATACCCTCTGCAGTTTTAGGCCTACTGTTTGAACATAGTTACATTTACGTAGTCAGCTATAGAGACATTTCTGTCTTCATTTATTAAATATACAAACCTTTACAGCTTTAGCAAACAGAATATGATCAGTAAAAAGTACAAACTACTTTTGCAACATCGCAAGTGAAAGTACTGTAGACTTAGATGCATGTTGCCTTGTTATCAAAAAAACTCACAGCTATAACCATGACAAGTCTACATGAGACTCGCATAGACAGGGCTTGAAAGGAAAGGACGAGGCCGGGCAGGACTACACCATATGAGATGAGACGAGATGAAATGAGAGAAGATAAGATGTGGTGATATGTGACAAGGCAGGATGTCAAACTTTAGGACACAACAGGACAAGGAAATGAGAAACAAGAACATAAGACAAGACAAATAAGGACTACATGAGAGATGATGAGAAGAGATAAGATGAGAGGAGACAGGACGGGAAGACGGGAGATAAATGTTGACAGGACAAGTCGACATGAGATGAGACGAGACAAAATAAGAAAAGACAGGAAAGGACAAGAAGAGATATGGCATGAATGGACCAGGCAAGACAAGTCTGCATGAGATATGAGATGACAACACAAGACAAGAAATGAGATAAGAAGAGATGAAACAAGACAAGATGAAACAAGGCATAAAAGGACAAGACAGCACAAGTCTACATAAGATGGGATGATACAGGACAAGATTAGACAAGATAAGAAAAGACAGGACAGGACAAGAAGAGATATGGCATTAATGGACAAGGCAAGACCTGTTTGCATGAGATATGATGAGATGACAACACGAGGAGAGATTACAATACAAGATGAGAGATGAGATGCGATGGGACGATATGTGCCAAGGTAATAAGACAAGACAAGTTAAGAAATGAGAGGGGAAATAAGACACAGCACAGAAGAAAGTGGGTGACCCAGTACATGCTCTGCTCAGCCAAACTGTCTGAATCCTCTAAGCCAGGTAGGACACGACGGGACAAAGGCTGCCATGTGGATTTGGGGATTTTTAGGACTGTTCTTCTCTTGTGATTCAGATCTCTGTGAGTGCGGTGCATAAAGGGGAAGTATGTCAGCGGGCTGGATTATCGCCATAATCCATCAGATGATCCTGCAGCCCGCCACCCAGCACAACCAACTTTAAATAGACGGCTGAGATGAGAGGTAGAGGATTGTGTTTGGACAGACGGGCTGGCAGGGAAACTGGAAACAGAAGCTAAAAGAGCAGGGTGTAGGTGGAGTGCATGGGTGAGCAGACAGAAGAGTGAAAGTGTGACTGGGTGAAAGCATGAGCAAAGGATAAGAGGCAAAAACAAAGTAATGAGCACAGACAGAAAGGGCTTAAAGCATTTAGAGGTCCCAAACAGTTTAGAGTGTATTTCTGTGATGTAACTAAGAGTCACAAGTGTGAGTTAGACAGTTGAAACAGCTTGTCTACAGTTTAGATCGTCTGAGTTGTGGCATACCTACAGTTATGATTTAAAAGTCATTCTTGAATTTGGAAACTGCAGTTGGCAAACAATCTCACCACAAGGCTGACTAAGCGGCTGTTCTGCAGCTTTCAATCACATGATCTTCCCCAGTAGATTGAATTGTCTAGTTTTCCTGAGCACTTTAAGGACTACTTGCCATGTTGGTTTTAAAGTTGAGACTGAAAGTTTGGAAACAGCAGATGGAATTGTCATAATGTCCATTTAGTTGCTGTTCTGTACAACATGGAAGAGAAGTCCTTTAAGTGCTCAGAAGATTTTTTAAATTGAACTTCTGCAACTCACTCTGCTGAGGAAGACTGTGTGATACGATTGAAAGCTTCTGAATTGCTGCTGAAGAGCCCTTGTGGTGAAATTGTTTCATGACTGCAGCTGAAGTCAGAGTTGTTACATGCTGTCTCAAGTTTGGAAACACTTCTATCAATCTATGTTTTTTAAAAATGTTTTACTCATTTTATTTTGTTTTGTCCTAACTAACCAGAAGGCGCCAAGGTCACTTTTAGTTGAAACAGAAGCCCGTTTTAGTAGCACTAAACGTTTTTCAATATTCTGAAAAAATATGTTGATTTAAGAGCTGCTCTTTCTGTAAGTTGACTCACCATGTATTTGGCCATTTCACTATTTATCATGGATCTTGCTCGGTAGCTAGCTAGGAAGCTGAGGGAAGATGACTTAACCATTCTCGGGACTTATCTAATATGAGCCTGTCAGAGGTAGACACTAAAGAAAAAAAATAGAAAGAAGGAGGAAGAAAGTACAAACGCAAGAAAGTTGTTATGATGCAGAATTGCGGGAAACTTATTTGTGGATACCCATCTCGTTCTCATTCCTAGGGCGTCAAATAGCTGCTTTGTCACGTGTGGTACCAACCCACATTTCATCCTTTAGCATCTTAGTTCAATGCACTGGGGGAAGCCCTTTAGAGGCTATTCAACGCTAAAAGCAGACCTATTATAAACAACAGAAAAGTCAGAGTAAGGAGGTGGGTGGGTCAGAAACCAGAGCTTCACCCAGGAGACGTTCATTCCCTTTAACCAAAGTCCTTATAGGCTTGTCATGCCACTCGGACGCCATCTTGGCAACGCCTTTTCCCGACCGGTTACTTCTACTACACATGTGTCACCACTTCCGCGCATGCGCTATAGAAGAATAACAGACCTTTACGTCAGTGGAACCACACGATTTTGATTCCTGCTTTGGCTGTTAAAAGCAGAAGACTGGCTTTCTAGCAGGAGGGGCGGGATAACCGCCATCTTTGAGATGTATTGAGGATGTGATTGAGCGGCGTGTCTCCTCTAAAATGTCTCTGCTGTAACTCACGTAAGTTAAGTCACGTAAGTAATGTAGTTATTTTAACCCAAACAATGATTTTTCCTAAACCTTCGTAGTTTTGTTTCCTAAACCTAACCTAATTGCAACGTTTCACAACATTAACCACTAGTTATTTTTGAAAGTCTAACCAAATATTGCAAAAGCATTCTTGCTAACTTGACAGCAGAGCCCTACATGTACAAAAACGATGCTAAAGAGTACCCATGGCATTAAAAAGGGACGCCAAGTGGTCTTGACTAAGTGTCCATGTGTGACACCCTGGGAGGAGAACGGGTTGGGAGACGGGCTGATCAACAATGAATGATAGCAATCATCCCTGAAGTATTTTGGTTTAGTTTCTCTCTCCAGGGTTTAGGTAAGGCCTACATCACTTCTTCGGCATCTAAAACCATTGGCACGCGGTATATCAAGGATCATGTTATTTAATTAATTTAGACATAACGACAGATAATTTCTCCAGTAGGATTTGTGCTGTGACACTATAAAGCTCGAATTGGTTGATTGTTTTGAACAACACCAGGCCTGGATCTAAAGTTATCTGGAGTTAGGCAAGTTTTTTTTTTTATCCAATATCCAAATTTTCCAAACTGCTGCACTGGAATTGAGGTAAAAACTGTGTGATCTTGGAGTGCTCAGCCTTTTTCACTCAAAACACAACCCAGCCCCATCACAAGATTATTGACTAATGTGTGATGAGTGTGTACAGTGGAATCATGTTTGAAAAAAAATTATGAAACAAATTCTCCTGATATCCAAAACCCTTTGTGGGACCATCTAATTAAGTATGATAATACTGAACATCCTCATTTAACTATCCATCTTGCTTTTCACATCATCCATTTTGTCCCTGTAAAAGGTCTCTAGCTTTGTTGCTTCAAAGGTAAGCTATCATCTAAAAGCTATTTGTAGGACAGGGTGCCCTTTTGGGAGGCCGCTTAAAGGTTAGAGGGAGGGGCTTGACCAATACAAAGTCTCAAACCAACCTGCTGGGTGCCATGAAATTGTGGTGGGAGTTGATATAGCCACACCCACAAACATTTGGTAACCAACTTTTAGAAAACAGTATGACAAATCAAAAATCAAATTAATAGCGTTTTCACTGGCATACCCACATAATTTAAGGACTGGATTTCACGAGGACTTAATGACATTAAGCAAGCACATAGAAACACTAGCAGGGGTAATGATGGTACAGTGGATAAGACACATGCCTTTAGTGTGGAAGACCTGGGCTGGATTTCCACTTCGACACATCCACCAATGTGTCCCTGAGCAAGACACTTAATCCCAAGTTGCTCTGACCTCTGACATATCTAGCAATTGTAAGTTACTTTGGAAAAAAGCATCAGCTAAGTGAATAAATGTAATGTGGCGGCTTTGAGTTCAGTGCTAACATACTTGCAATGAAACATGTAGCAGGTAATGTTGAGTGTGCTAGCATGTGAAAGATTGCTAATCACCCCTCAAAACAGTCAGTTGATCACCATAGTTAGTACAATTCATCCTCTAGGGGAACACTAACATCTGCACCAAATCTTAACACTATCCATTTCATATTTGAGATATTTTACTCATGCCCCCTAACCAAAAAAGTCAACCTCCTGGTGGGGCTACATAAAAAGTGAAAAGATCACCAAAGTGATCAGGATTCATTGTCTCATGAATGTCTGTAACACATTTTGTGCCAATCATCCAATAGACTAGAATAAGGGAAAACTCTGACCCAAAATCACAAGGATTTATCTTCTAGGTACCAAATTGCATAGCAATCTATCCAATTGTTGTTAAGATATGTCAGTGTGAGGAGCCTAAGTGGAAAATAGACAGACATTCTCTGCTGCTAACGTGGCTAAAAATATAAATCGGTCAATAAATGGTGGCCCTAAAACAACCACTTGTACTTATTTCTTGGTCTGTTGCCTAACTCGCCATCCAATTTCACTGTTAAATAGTTTTTAAATAGCCTGATAACTGACAAACTGCTGAAAACATGGCATCATTGGCAGAGGTAGTAAACCAGGTATTTGTGACATCTGTTACTAATAATCAGTTCCTCTGTAATTCGGCAGTTTGATGCTCAATAGACTAAATACAAGTACAGAAAAGTAAACTTTCTACTCTGGTTCATTCGAAAGAAAGCAAGTAGCAGGGAGCCCCCCGGGCCCTTGTATCATTTTGTTTACCTCCATGGTGGTGCGGTTACACTGGTGAGTATCAGCAAACCAGCCGTCTCCTGTTGCACACTGGTCCAAGTCGATGTCTTGGATGTTGACATCCACACGGATCACACCTCTGATAGAGAAACACACACACACACACACACACAGTAATCATTTTTTTTCTCCTTGTCTGCAGAAACCTGCATGACCTTTAAGTGGATTCTCCTTTCAAATGTCAGATTTTATCCAACTCTGTTGATTGAAGCACATTTTTTATTCCAAATATTTATCAAACGTTTCTCCAGAGTGATGGAGAAATGGTCACAAGGGCCAACACAGACCTAGAAAGGCAGGTGAAAAACAAAATTACTGCTGCTGTCAAAGCTTTCATTCTTTTCAGGGACTTAGAAAAAAAGGATGTATTTTCCGACTCACAACCAAGTATTTCTAAAATGTTTTACAGGCAGTGAAGGCCAGAAGACTGGAGTTAAAACTGGAGGGATGTTTACTTGCAATAACATCATCACCATGAGATGGATCAGGTCCTACCCTTAACCAGCTTTTATGTTGTACAATCAAGAGTTTGAAAGCATCATGATGATTCACAGTAGTTTTATTCCCTTTAACAACTTCCATCAGACAAGTGATTGTTTCCAACAGTGATCCACTTTAATGGCTCTCAGGCCGAGTAACTGGACTTTCCCTCTCCTCTACCCCTAGAATACTTCTCTGTATGTTTAGTAAAGTGATGCTGCCGGAGAATGTCAGCTTTATCCTTGCAGATGAGACAGGAAACATTCACATTTAACGCCACAGAAATGATTAACCGTCTCTATCAAAACTGTGTGTGCTGCTGGTCACCCTCTCAGACATTTTGGTGTCATGTCTCCTGTGTGCTCAAGTCTGAAGTGAACAGATGCATTTATGTTGACAAGTTCTGCAGTTAGTCACAGCCGGGTAAGTGTGAAATGTGAAATTAAAAGCACCAAAAATTTAATACGCCTCCAAACATTTGTCATGTGATAATTTTCAATCTTGGAGCCACTGATTGCAAAAATGCACTTGTCTAAGTGATGTCATCAGCATGAGACAGCTTGGTTGTGTTTGTGTCTTCCAGTGTTTTTGTGTTGTAACAGTCTGTGTATTGGTTTCTTAAAACATTTGTAATGGTTCATCTGTGTGTGTGTGTGTGTGTAAGTAAGCCCTAACCTGAACTCTGGTGTCAGGTCAGGCTTGAGGCCGTAGAAGGACGTGGACAGGGTGAGCATCCAACCAGGCACAAAGCATCCGTCCTTACAGTCGAGGAAGGGGGCGCTGGCCCAGCGCACCCCACTATGATTGGTCACATAGCTGTCGCCAAACCTCCACTTTGGCGTGTCCAGGGTGCTGAGGTCATTCAGGAGGATCCGCTTGGAAAGTGCTGATGTCAGCTGGGTGGACTCCGAGAATTTAAAGCTTCTGAACCAGCTGTCATCGGGGGCTGGGGCGGGCGGGTGTAGGCTCTCCCAGGCCTTGGATAAGTCCTGGAGGATGATGGTCTGCACCTTGGCCGTCATGTTTCGTGAGGCACTGAGAACCAGCTGTGGCACCGGGGAAGCCGGGTCAGCGTCAAAGGTGAACAGGGCCCGCTGGATGAGCACGTCGGCCTCCAGAAGGGCACGCACCAGGGCATGGTACCACTCCATATCCTCCTGCACTGTGCTCTCCCGCAGGTCACTGGCCTGGAAGATCATGTTCAGGAAGTTGGCCGTGTTGGCCAATGCGCCCAGAGCTGGCCGTAGGGAGTCACTGAAGCTGAAGGGCAGGGAGCCGGTCTGCCCTGGTGGGCTGTACGCCCGTGAACAGCGGGCCATTTTCAGAGTGGTTGGGTCTCCAGTGTACATGAAGGTTTCTGCTGGTGACCAGTCATCTTCCTGCACTGTGGGAGCTTGTGATGGCGTCACTGCAAATCCAGAAGGCTCTGGGGTCCTGAAGGAACTGGAGGGGCTGGTGGAGTTGTCTGAGGTTCCTGTGTTGTTTGTTAAAGAGTCTGTCCTGTTGTCTGCCTCAACCGTGACTCCTGATGTGAGGTTTGGAGTCAACTGCGCTCTGAGGAGGAGTGGGAGCAGAAGAAGAAGCCATACAGGACCCATCCTGAATTCACTCTGAAGAAGAAGTGGAGGAGGAGGAGAAAGAGGGGAGAGGGAGTCACACACCGACACACTGTCTCTTTTTGGCGCCTGACCCCTTTGTAATTCCCTTGAGGAGAAAAAAAAACTCACATGTTGGCGGAGGTTTGAACTTTCTTCATCCTCACATCAGCGAGGCTCTGCAGCAGCAGCAGGTGTCCGGGGAGGAGCGCGGCCACTCGGTCTGCGGCGCTCTTCTCACAATCGGAGCGCACAGCTCCATCTGTGCGCCCCACGGACACACGCACGCGCGCTCCTACACTCACGCATACACTGGCACGAAGATCTAATTAAACCAGCGCGTCCGAGGTGGTGATGGTGGGAGGCGGCGGACGCAGGGAACAAATCCGCGCATCTCCGCAGTCCGTCCGTCTTCTCCTGCCTGCGGCGTTGCGGTTTAGAGTCGCAAAGCCGTGCGCCAAGCTCCAGAGCAAAGCAAACGCAGCTCGCGAAAGAAGGAGGAGGAGGCAGGGAGGAGGAGGAGGGAAAAGCCTCAAAGTTGGGGAATCCCCGCGTCAGGTGGGAGGAGGGGAGAGGAGAGTCGTGTGTTGTAGAGACGGAGGGATGGAGAGAGAAGAGCGATGTTACCCCTCTTATCTCCTCTGCTGTCTTCTTCTGTCTGCCACTCTGCTATCTGTTGCTCCTAAGAGCCTCCAGCCCATCTGACAGAGGCTTGTGATGCTCACCCCCCACCCCCCGCCCAGCATCATCTCCTCTCTCCCATCATTCCCTCCTCCCCTTCATTCACCCTGTGCCTCCCTCCTCCGTATCGACAGGGATGCTCACCAGTGCTGAAAGGTGATGAGAGTGGTACATCTGTTGTGTGTGTGTGTGTGTGTGTGTGTGTGTGTGTTCACAGAGGGGAGGATGATGCAGTCAGTCAGAGATGAAGGTTAAGCTCTGCTGCATTTGGGCATCCATCAAGAATCGCCCCGCTGGATGGATGATGGATTAACCCCTACAGAGAGTGGGTGGGGAAGAGGATGCTCTCTTACTGCACACACACACACACACACACACACACACACACACACACACAGTGGAGGAGATCATAGATGCAGAATGCTGACATATGTAGATTACAGGTATCAAAACATCAAGAAGAGATTTTAATTGTATTATTGTTTGTAGGTTTTTGCAACGTCAGGGAATTCCCTGTATGTGTGTGTGTGTGTGTGTGTGTGTGTATTGGTGTGTGTGTGTTGGTGTGTGCAGGAGTGCCCAGCAGCATACACTTTCTGTTTGTGGGTATGTCTGTCTGGATGAGCGAGAGATGCATGAGAAGCATGAGGAAAAAAAAGGAAGGAAAAATGAGAGAGACAACGAGGAAGAGCGATAGAAAGCGTGTTCACTGGGAGGAGTGATGCAGGCGAGAATCCTTGTTTTGGTGACTATGGCAACCAATTTCTGAGACACACACACCCCCCCCCCCCATGCACACACACACACACACACACACACAAACACCACTCCCACCTCCCACCCTGGGACTTCACTGCAGAGCAGCAAAGCTGCAGTCAACCCTGCGGAAGACAAAAAGGCAAAGTGTTTGTGTGTGTGTGTGTGTGTGTGTGTGTGTGTGTGTGTGTGTGTCACCTGACCTGAGCATATGTGTTGTGTTGCAGTGTAATCGTGTTCCTGTCTGTTCTCATGTGTAATAATGAAAAGATACCGTCGTTTAACACAACACGAGTCACATTCTGCTCCTTCAGTTTCCTACTTTTTATTTTATTTTTCACTCCCCTCTCTGAAATTCTTGCTTCTCTACATATGTTATTTATTGTGTCGTGCGCATTGAGGTGCCCAGCCCACAGTGGGTAAACATTTGTGAGACAAGAACACAACCCCCTACTTATAACATTAGATTTACATTTAGTCATTTGGCAGACGCTTTTATCCAAAGCGACTTACATTTGAGGAACAACATACAAGAATCAACAAAGCATCAAATACAGCACAAGATCTACAACTGACAATACATAGTAGTAAGAGCAGCAAAAAATAATAGTAAGAGCACAAATGGCATCAAAGAGGTAAACACCTAGAGAAACAAAAAAGTGCAATCAATACAAGAGGATTGTAAAAGGATAGAAGAAGAGCACAGGAGGTGCATGTTAGAGGTGTTAGAAAGTGTTCTCAGAAGAGAACATTATGATGCAAACAAAGAAGGATGGATGGGGACAAAACCCCCTAAAATCCATCATCCTTCCACAAAAACTCATCAGGAAACAAAGACATTTTACTAAAAAGTGTAGCCTTTAAATGATCATATTTCCTCTGTTCTTCCAACAGTTTATGGTCTTGTTGTCAAGACAAAAACACAACTTAACCTTTTGGAGAGTTAAATTCTATTATTGCTATTTCTAGCTTCCTCAAGTCTGGTTGTTACGTGCTCTGAGGAGAGATAGGGTGGTAAATGGTACTGCTCAAAATGCTTTTACACTACATTCACACCATCGTTCAGTATCTTGCCCAAGGATACTTCGACATGCAGACTGGGGGGAGCCAGGCATCGAGCCACCGACCTACTGTTAATTGGACAACCACTCAACCCCCTGAGCCACAACCACCCATCAATGGGAGCAGTGAGGTTGCCAGGTTTGGTGGTTAGGGTTACAGTCACCAAAACCAAAAACTCACAGACTGTATCTGCCAACATTAAAGCTGCAGAAGTACTGAGTAAATAAATATACGGTTGTTCATCCTTTGTAATGATTATTTTGGGGGGATCTGGTGTAAATTTTATTTTAAAGTCTTTTCTCTTAGCCTAAAGAAGTGGAGTCTTTTTTGTCAAAGTAAAACCAGACAAACTTAAATTAGATCAAATGGGATGTCTTGTCTCATAATACAAGACAAGATCCACCGAGACAAAGAAAGTGAGAAAAAAAGTGAGATGAGAAAACAAAATAAGAGAAGTCAACATAAGATAAAATGTTTTAATTTCTCTCAGAGCCTCTGCTCCTGTCTTGTCCTTCGGTGCTGTTCCTCTATGCATTCATCAGACAACAGAGTGGTGGTGTAACGTTAATGCTGCTGACCTCTGACCTCCAGGCTGCATCACATCAATATTCAGCTCTGCAGGGCTGCAGGGTTTTTAGTTTGATTACTCCACATAAACCTCAGATATGAAAAAACACTGCCTCCTTCCCTGTGGCTTATACATGTAAACACACACACACACACACACACACACACTTTAAGGATTAATGGCCCTTCATGCACTCTCCCATCAGCACCTGTATTCACCAGCATCACTGCCCATCACTGCTGGATGGCCTGCAGCGCCATCTGCCTGTCACTTAACATTAATACAACACTCCAGATCAGTGTTATCATTGACAGTTAAGGCTCATGTTGGGTGTGAACGTGGCTTTCTGTGCTTTATGCAGTCAGAGTAGGATGCAGCTAAGCTGGTGCTCGAGGCCCTGAAGCCACCAGGGGGCCCTCAAACAAAGAAACTTATGGTGACTTATGCGGCAGGGGCATTGAGCAGGTGCACACACATGTCAGAATAGACTTAATTTACCATTTCTGTCATCACTACTCATATCTACTTTAGTTAGCCTACAATTTCTTTGTTGTACAGTTTCTTACAATCCTGTGTTTCAACTACAATTTAAATATAAAAGATCAATAGACCCGCCAGTCACAACACAAATGAGTGGCATCATTCAAATGTAATATAAAGCTTCCATACTATCCTTAAAAAAGAAATTGTCAAAAAGAGAAATATAACAATGCACATTTAAAAATCCAGCTCCAAAATATCAAAACATCTTCTTCTATTTCTTATTCTGGGTTGTAGTTGCATGACCAGTCCCGCTTCTGACCAGGTAGATAGCCAATCATAGAGATGTCTATAGATAGATAGAAAGATATAGATAGGTACTTTATATATCTCTGAGGTGATTTTAAGTCAGACAAAAGCCCTAACATAAAGAGTTAAGAGAAGAAAAGATAAAGACTAAGCCCTTACTTTGTTGTATTGGTATTACATTTTATTGTGAAGCACTTTGTGATTTTTATCTGTGAAAGGTGCTTTACAAATAAACTTTACTTACTTTACTTACTTACTTTTAAGCACGTGCTTACATACAAGTGTGCACATTTTTTGATAGTTTTTTTTTTTGATAGTTGATATTTTTGCCATGAAACACACGCACGTTTGTTCCTCTGTCCCCGTTGGGACATCTCATTGACATAATGCATTCCCTAGCCCCTTACCCTAACCTCAACCAACACAACTACATGCCTTATCTTAACCCTTACCTTAGCCTTAACATAATTGTAACCTGAACCCCATAACCAAGTCCCCACAGTGACACAAGTCTCCACAGTGACAAAAGTTCCCACAGTGACACAAGTCCCCACAGTGGCACGAGTTCCCACAGTGACACAAGTGGCACAAGTCCCAGATGGTTAGTGTGCATTCGGGTTAAAGTCACCACTGGGATATAAAAACAAGAATCACATACAAAGGTCTTACAGTTTTTTTTTTTTAATTGCTAAGATGCAATGGTCAAAACTGAAGCCACTTTTTCAAAACTCTTCACACAGTCTGCATTACCAACATGCATCCTGGCCAAACAATTAATCTCACCTCCAAAAGTCACTCAAACCACCAAAACACTTCATATAAGCCTCAAAATAAACTCGTTCAGCCAAAACACTGGCAACAAAATCCACTCAGAAAGCATACATTGTCACTTATAACACACTGACCAACAAAACACTAACAACAGGAAGCATTATGTACATTTGTTGAACTTTTATCCTTGAAATGTGACTGATATTTTCATATAAATCAGTATTTCATTATAGAATACAGTTGTTTTCAGTCACTTTGATACATTTCTCAGATCAGAATTGAAATGCTACTTGTTCACCCTCCACATCATCTAGTCGCTTGTGCACATCATATGTAAAAGCAATTCAATTTCTCAGTCTTTTTTTGAGAAATTGCAAATTGCACATGGTTTGACACATTTATGCAAATTATTATGTACATTTGTAGGCTATTTCCTACATTATCAATTGCTTACTGTATGTCATGTTGATCACAATGTATTACAGTATACTGGTTCTTTGTTGAGAAGTCTTACCCCCCAAACAGCTACACATAAGTTCATCGCGTAAGTCACTCCATGCAAAGTGGTTGAACACGTCATAATCTGCATTTTCCTACATATGTCTATTAGATTTGTTTCGTAAGTGTGTCAGTAAATTGATGAAATTCCGATCTCTTGTGCTGTGAATAAGAATCTTGGCCGAAAAGGAAGGGAAAATCAACCTGAGGGGGTGTTTTCATGTTTCCATTTCTTATTTTCTAATTGTTTCTGTGCTATGCAGTGCTATAAAATAGTCTTGTTTTTTTATTTTCTGCATCACAACGACATGCTCTGTCAACAAATTACAGTGCATACAGTAAAAGTGTAACTGTGAATCCTATCCAATCTCTTGCCATGTTTACTGTAACTCTGTGTTTAGACATAAACATAAAATGCACATAAATGTTTTGCTAAGATTTTCTATATACTGTATATCTGTCCAAATTACTGGAAAAATGCAGGATATTTGTAATCATTCGGTTTTGAATGTGTTTTAGCAGTTCTGGACGAAGCGTGTTAGCATTTGAAAAATGTGCTGCAAATATACAATTTTTGCAGGTGGTGAAGTGGTAATGAGAAAAGAGTTCATGGATTTTGGAAAAAGTGGTCATTGAATGCATTTTGTGTGAAAGCAATGCAAAATGATTTACAGTTTTCAGTGTTTCGCTGACTGTGTGAAGAGTTTTGACAATTTGACATCAGATTTGACCAACGCAAGTTAGCAATTGAAAAACTAACTATTGTAACTGTAACTATTCCTCTAGCGCCATCACCATGTCAAAAATTAAGTATACTTACATTATATGAACCTTAAAGCTTCTTATTCTGTTTGAACTGCAGCTTCATTCAAACTCCTTTAACCTGAAAATACTTACTATAAAATACTATTATAGGATACTGTTGTTACATTTTTATTGTAATTTTACCGTAATTTTTTTTTTATCAACCTTTCTTTTTTCTACTTTCTTTAATGTTCTCTCCTCCTGAACATACTTCCACATTAATTGGGTAACATTAGCAGATTTACTGTATATATGGAGTACATGAGTTTTTCCATTTTGTGATTCTACTCCACTACATTTATTTGACAACATGAGCTGCTAGTTACTTTGCAGATTCAGATTATTAATATAAAATATAAATCAACTAATAAATTATGTTGTATTAAGCTACCCAACAATATATAAAGTAGTTAAAATGAGCTCCACCTTTACCTGCCGCAACATGATGCTTACACATCAATGCAACACAAATTGTAATATAGTAATATAATACATATTATTCTGAAATGATTCTGCATAATAAATACTTTTGGTATTTTATAGTAATTTTGAACCATAATTTAAGGTCATGAGCTCAATTCAAAACAACCCTGATGACATCGCTATGACGTCATCAGGGTTGTTTTATTCTCTCACACTCAATCTTCTCTTCATGAAGGCAACTGGACTTCTTGTTTTCAAATGTGCCCCTTTAATATAACCAATGCAGTGTTACAAATGTAACAGATTTCACCAAACAGCCTAGATATTATGTCTTTGCATAAATAGGCCTGTTGTTTAGAAAAATTTGAAGAAATGTGAAGAAAACATAGTCGATTCAGAAATATTATAATACATACACATAGGCCCACAGATAGCCTACATATATATATAGTCCTACATAATACAAATCTGCAGAGACACTGCTGATTCCTGACTGAATATTATAGGAATATTATAAGGATATTGTTTTATTAAATTTCTTTTTACCTTCATCCTCTTATAAAGAACGGACACAGAAATCAGCTGTTCAGATGTGGGGCGGAATCAGGTATCCCTGCCATACGGAAATGCCACAGACTGATTTACTGTTGTCATCATCGGTGCTCATGAAGTGGTGTTAAGGGCTGAGCGGAGGAGGGGCGGGTGGGGCCTGGCTGCGAACACAGAGGCAGACTGTGGTCACTGACCGAAGACTCTACTGGCTTTTATTCTACTCAAATCAGACCGCATGTCTGACCCAGGGGTCCGCCTGCTGCCGGGAGCAAACTGCACTCATTTCCCCGATATTTGACAGATGGATGCTGTCCTGTCGTAGAGGAGGAGGATGAAAAAATCGCCTGATATATTTTTTGGCATTTTCGCTCATAGCCTATTTATGGGAGGCAGCAGCGGCTTGGCCCTTTCTTTATTATAGGAAAGAGATCTCCGCGGTTTGCTATGTGAAGAGCAGATCGCCTAATAATTGTCATTTCGCGACCCCGAGGAATAATTATGAACAACGCGCAAGATATGTCGCCCGATTTCGTCTTGATGCGCCTGGTTTCCGCGGCCGAGGATGACCGCTTGGACGCAGAAAACGGGAATCTGCCGCCGGGAGGAGTGGTGGCAGGGCTGGGGAAGGAGGTCCTGGCTCACAGCGGCGTTAAAGCGGGGTTGGATATCAGCCGAGATCCGGCGGCGGGCCTCGAGCATCCCAGCAGTCGCCTGAACAAAGCCCAGCCGAGCGGCGAGGGCACGGCCGCACCTGACACCGGGGTGACGGAGAACCGAGCCCCGCTGTCTGCGCCTCCTCCGCCGCAAAGCCCCATGGAGGCCCAGGGCTTTGACTTCGCTCCCAGCCCTGGCCTACGGCCTCAGCTGCTGGTCTTCTCCAATATAATGCGGAATGGAGAAGGGATTTTAGAATTAGACCATCGGAATCAGCCGAGGGATGCTCTGGGTTTGGAACAGAGCCCGGGGTCTGGCTGCTCCGGCCCGACTGTCAATAACAACACCCTGAGCCCCGGAGACGTTCAGCAGCAGCAGAACCTGCTGGAGCGGACATGGGGAGCGCATCCGCCGCTCTCAGTAACCGCGGACATGCAGGGAGCTGCGGAGCTTTGCCGCCGGCATCGACTCATCACTACCCCGCCCGAGTGGCCCTTATTGTCGGAGAGATCCAACCCTCTCACTGTGATTGACTCTAAATGGGGATGTGCCACCAGGGACAGAGAGGGAGCCGTGTTTGAGCTGGCCCGACGGTTTGGGGAGCTGGGGGTCGGTGCTGTACCCAAGATGTTGTTCAAAGCAGGGGAGCTCCCGCAGTGTTCGTGTCAGGGTGCACACGGACCGGTTGGACGGGGAGTAGAGCCCGGGGATGACCCGACAGAGACCAGTGATGCTTTGTTGGTACTGGAAGGGCTGGGGAGCGGGGATGTTGCCGGCCTGGACATGGAAGACTGCCCGGAGGGTGAGACGGATGATGAGAACGGTCGCCGAGAGTTTTTACTCAACAGGAAAAGGGAAATTGTTCAGAAAATGTCCGGGGCTTTCTCCATCAGCAGCTTCCAAGCGGAGCTGAGGAGGCAGGTGGAAGGGATGGCCCCGGCGGCGACCGAGGAGGCGGCAGCAGCGCGCCTGGGCGCGCAGGTGTGCAGCCTCCACGGGAACTTGGCCAGCCGGCTCTCGCAGGTAAGCTCCGAGGTTTCAGAGGTTGTGTCCCAGGTTTCAGCCATGTCTCCGGTTCCTACGCCGGTCCAGAGTTCCCCTTGGGCAACAAGCCCAAACCTGAGTCAGGCGTCGACACCCAGAAGGCGACCGGAGCGGTGCGCCAGTGCGCCGCGGACTCCCACAGGCTGGGCAGCGGGTGGGGAAAAGGCGCTCAAAGTTCCAGGGAAGTCCAAAAAGGGCTCGTTAAAGATCCGCCTGAGTAAATTGTTCCGGACTAAAAGCTGCAGTGGCTCCAATCACCTGCTGGACAAGAGGCCCTCAGTGACCTACTCAGTATCTTCTGCCGGGAGTCTGGTGGACATGGCGAGCACCGCTGGTGCTGAGCAGGACGCAGACAGGTGAGCCTATATAGATAGCCTATTTGTTTTTCCCACTATCAATGAGAAGTAGAACGAAACAATCTTGCTTGGGTGACACATGTAAAACCATTCCAGGGGAACAATCAAGATCTGAACCAGAGTGACACTACCACTCCACCTTGTAACCAGAAATGGAACTGAAATATTCTGCTTTCAAGTGTCCCTTCATGTATTTCCTCTGTTGTGTTTAGCTTTTTAATAAGACCTCTCAGAAATGGGAGTCCAACCACTGATAAGGTCAGAAGTTAGGCTACATAAAGTAAAAAGTGATTGCTGTTGGTCAGGAAGTCCATGGCAGGCTCTGCCAGATCTGATGGGTAGTAAAACCATTCAATATTTTAAATGAAGCAACACATTTTGAATCCAGTCACTGACTCATTCAAAGTCCAGACATGTTGACTTCTTTCCAAGTTTTCTTTTTCCATTCTGCTGTGGACTTTTGTTTTAATAAGCTGGGCAGTCATTGTTTTCTAATGGCTTGAATTTACTCCTTCAGTTGGCAGCTTATTGGCCTTCTCTTTTAGACGTTCAAGTACTTTTTAGTGATGCCTGTTATTAGATGCAGAGATTTTTCAAACCTTTGTGGCTTGTCACCCTCTATCCAACTCACTGCTTAGTCATTATTCACAGCAGCACACTGAGGGAAGGCTATGATTAAAAAAACATAGCTTCAGAAGTCTTGACTGCCAGAGCTAAGAGCATCAAACAGAAAAAGTAAAAAAAAAAAAAAAAGCTGCAGGACCCAAACACACACACACACACTGAAAAGCAAATTTTCTGAACCTCTGCGGCTACTAATACTTCTTCTCTGCTCTCATGTTCTTCTTCTTCTGCCTGTCTTGATGTCGGTCCTGCAGCCACAGCCAGCCCAGACTGACCAGGGCGCACAGTGCCTTCTCCCCTGCCTCCCTGTCTGCTTCCCTCTCTGCTTTCACTGGTAAGGGCTGCTCGCTTGTAACTCTGGTTCCCACAGAAATGCTTTCTTTCCTGGGTAAAATAAAAAGAAGTCCCCTGACACTTACTTCAGCACACAGAACACTCGAAACTCCCCGGTGGGGCCTATTTTCATTATTGATAAATGTGCCGATTATTTTCTCGATTAATTGGTTAATGGTTTCGTCTATGAAATGTCTGCCCCATCTAAAGCCCAAGGCGGTGACCTCAAATGGCTTCTTGCACTCAACAGTCCAACCCTCCCCAAAATATTCTGTTTACTCACAGAAAAGCAGCACATTCTCACAATTTTAGGGCTGTAACTTAATGTTTGGCACTTTTGCTTGAATCATTATTTAAACAATGAGTCAATTATCAAAATAGTTTAATTTGAAATATAATTTTGATTATATTTATGTTCAAATAACGTAAAGTAACTTCAGACAGGTGCATTAGTGGTGTCAGAAACTGCAGACGGTCAGACCGATCTCGGTTGCTCTTTATTCCTGTCTTTTAAATATACTTATGCATTTGTCAGCTGTATATTAATGAATCTCTACACCACTTTAAAGTAGTGAGAAGAAATTAAGAGCATATGTTCAAGTTCTCTCCTACTTTATACTTCCACTCCGCTATATTTCAGGGGAAAGTACTGTACGTTTTTACTCTGCTACATGTATTTGACAGGTTTAGTTAGTAGGTTTAGTTTGCAGCTTAAGATTTGAAATATAAAACACTTGAATGAACTCATTAGATGTAAGGAATTGTCTTAAAACAAATTGCCTTAAACTAATTCCACCTCCACAGAAAAAATGCTGAGTCCCACTTTCTAACAAGACATATTTTATTGAATGTTTAACAATGACAACTAGTGGCATATTAATCTTTAATATAGACAATTTTTTGGCACCCAAACTATAACAAACATTTGTAATCCTTTGTGATACTTAAATACATTTAGCTTATAATAATTTTGTACTTTTACAAAAGTAAAAGTGTAATCTAAGACTGGAGTATTGTAATATAAACGTTATAAATCATGTTTGTGAATTGTTATATAAGTAATATTTGCGTATTTGTGTTTGTGAAGCTGTTTAACCTGATTTTTGCTGGGTTGTAGTCAAATTGTCACAACGCTGACTACAAAGGTCACACAGAGACATTTTGGAAAACACTTTTTTAGCATCTTACCCAGAGTCAGAAGATTGATATCAGTTTCATCCTTCTGTGTTTAGCAAGGTTTAGCTTAGCATAGCAAAAGACTGGAAGAAGGTGGAAACTGCTAGCCTATAGTTTCATAAACAACTCCAGCTCGGTTCCTATACACTTTGTATTTAGGATTTAACTTGTGAAGAAATAGAAAATGAAACATTATGGTTTAATGAGTAGAAGAATTGAAGGAAGCCTATACTCACCAACAATAACTAGGTGAAGTGACTGAAAGGATAGGCTACCAGTTGCATGTCTTTATGTTAAGTGACGCTAACTGGCTGCTGGATGTAGCTTCATATTTAACAGACTGACATGAGAGTGGCGTCGATCCTCTCATCTAACTCTTGGGCGAAAAAGAAAATCCGAAAATTTTATTATTATTATACCCTAAACTATTCCTTTAAAGTTCTAATAACTTATTAGTTCTTATAAAAGTGAGAAATGTAATTTAAAAACAGGAACATTTTTAAAGCTGCAACCTCACCAGTCACACACTGGAAATGGTGCAGCAGATAAAATAAGTCAGGATTTAGCACAAAAGGCCTTCGGTGAGGTCTGTAGCTCAGCTGGCAAAACTATTTAGTTGACTTTATGGGAATCAGCCCACAACCTCCGCAGGGCTCAGAAGTACATTCTGGTGTCCCACATTACTCGTAGATTTCAGTTTATCTATATTCACTTATTGAATGTGATGAATTTTGTTGTTTTTTTGTAGTTGAATGAGCACGAGCTCTGCAGAGAGCTAACCACCAATTAGACAGAAACATTAAAGCTGCACCATGCGGGTAACATTTTGCATTTGGCGGCCCCATAGGAGCAAGGGTGTGCTGTTTGACTTCAAAAACCCAGATGTCCTGCGCACAGCATGCTCGTATTTACCAACCCAGCCGGTCTGTGATGTTTCCCAATCGTAAAAGAAGCTAGAGAGATGATAGAAGAAGAGATGTAAAGTGGGCGAGGAGTCCAGCTTTCTCTGCTGTTTAGGAGACAGTGGGGACTTGGCCCTTACATTTGAATTTGTTTCTTTCTCTGCCAGTAACCATCCCCAACTGCAGAATTTCACTTTGGTAAACAGTGAATCTGCAGCATCTCAATTAGCGGGGATGGGGATGTTCTTCTTTATTGCAGTGATTTAGGCTGATTAGCTGGGTGTAATTTTCCACAAACATCCTGCCGGGTGCAGCTTTAATGGCACTCTGCAGCACAGACAAAACAACACTCAATTACAGATATACAAACCAGGACCCGTTTTCCTTTTTTTAATCTTTTTCTTCCTGCTTACTGTCAGCATCTTTATTTCACTTTCCTTCGCCCTTTCACTTTTCCTTCTCTTCCTTTCTTTTTCGCCTCTGCTGCTTTTCTGGCTTCAGGTGAGACTGTTTCCCTGGTGGATGTGGACATTTCGCGGCGAGGGGTGAACACGCCACACCCTCCCACGCCTCCCCCTCCTCCACGCCGAAGTCTCAGTTTGTTAGGTACTTTCCTCTCCTTCCTGTCTCTTTCTAATTCTATTTGTCTCCTCATCTTATTTGCTCTACAGAAACCCACACGCACAAAATTATATAAAATAGTAAATGATAAATATGGTAGCAAGAAAACAGCTGAGGCCAAACTGTCCTTTCCGAGCTTTACAAAGTACTTTAGCCTGTCTAAATTTAGATAAAGAGTAAAGCTCTGGCAGTTTTAGTTATCAATTTTCTGTCGTACATTTCCAGAAACAGACACAGACAAGTTTTTTTTTTTAATCTGTTGTAATCTGATTGGAGAAGCTTTGAAAGGTCAGCTGCAAACTACAGATTTAATTTGAAATCTGAGTGCAACGACTCAATCGATGAGAAACAGTTTTCCCCTCTTCACAGGAAAACAATCTGTACCAGAGAGGGGATAAAAAAAACAACTTTTAGGGCATATTTGTCTTTTTTGTCATTTGTTGGTTGTGTTTTTTATGATCCATTGAGTTGACAGAAGGTTTTTCAAATGTAGTTCAGCTCAAATTTGATTATTTTTTGCTCATTCAGAGATTCCCATTAATCACAGAGACTGATAGGAGACTACACCAAATGTAAAAAAAATATGTTCCTAAATATCAGGGCATTTATGTCTTCCCATTTTTAATGTCATGGCCATTCTCTGACCTTTAAAATGCATATTTTCATCTCTGAGCCTGGTGTTATTTTCTGACCCACATTTGCAGCACACTTTAAAAAGGTTGGCAATATTACCGACAATGTGTTAGTCCGTCTCTAAATACTTTCTGACTTTCCTACTCTGCAGCACTCAATCCCGAGCACATTGTTTCCTACTGAAGATGTAAATCTTTAAAAACACCTCACAAATATGTAGTTCCTGCGCACTGCAGTTTTAAGTTTTCAAACTGGAGGAAACATTTGTTGGGGACTATTTCCAGTGGTGGATGAATCCACATTTAGTGCTCTATTGAGTATTTGGGGCAGCAATATGTGGGAATGAGTCAGAACAAACTACATTGTGTGTGTGTTTGTGTGTGTTTGTCAACCAGTGCAGCAGTGAGGCTCACTGATGTGCTTGTAATAGTTTTTGGACAACAATGGAGCTCAATGGCTCAGAGGACGAAGAGACATCAGGCTTTGGATTTACACATGATTGCTGATACATTTCACTGTTGGTTTTGGTCTTTTCATGAGATTTGTTGACAATAAAAATTGGGCAATAAATTGAGATACTGAGTAAACACACAAAATAGAGGAATCTTTTTGGTCAATATTAAGAAAGAGGTGTGAGGCTTTCTGTGTGATGGTCCTTCCTTTTATCTTTCCTTCCTTTTTACCTCTTTCACCCTGTCTTCCTGTTTGTTCCCGTCTTAACACTTGCTTTGCTTTCTTTTTGTTTTCTCCCTTTCTTTCTTCCCTGTCTCTGTCTCACCTCCTTCCTTCCTCCCTTCCTTTCGTCCTTGCTTTCTCCTTTCCTTCCTGTCCTTCCTCCAGATGACATAGCTGGGCCTCAGCCTGGGCCTTTCCTAGTGAGTGTTATGGGCGCCTCCCTGCAGTCCCTCCCCCTGCCTCTCCCTCCTCCTCCTCCTCCCTCCCACGCCACCATCCAGCACAGTCTCAGCCTCAATGGTAAGACGTGTTGGTGAATCTACTCGATTGCTTCCTGGCACTAAACAGGAAGTGAGAGCTGCTGTGGAGCAAACAAAGCAAACAGAGTCTCAGGTGTGGTAGTAGTAATCAATCAATGGACAATTTACTTTCAACATGTTTATCAAGCAGCAATGGGTTGATGGGAAGAATTCAGTGAAGTGACCATCTCCTCCATGCTCTCATTTAAATACACTGAATTATTTATATTTATGTAAGCTGTTGTCAAAATGAGAAATGAGAAATGAGAAAGAAGAAATAAATATATCCCCAGTGTTTGATCAACACGTCACAGATGGACGCTTGGTCACTTTTTAACGCACTGGGTACCCCTTTAGTGGAAACACCGGACTTTCACCCAGGAAGTGAGACCATATTGGTTTGATTTGACTTGTGTAATAATTTGGGGAAGAATTTATTTTGTCTGCCACAGTAGCGCCCCCTACATTAGTGTTCCACAGGCGCATGAATTTTCCCTGCCACTAATGTTGGTGCTGGTAATTTGATTAGTGTAATACTCGAAAGTCACTCGATACGCACTCGAAATAGAAAGAAAGTTAACAAGCTGGGGTTGCTAATGCTGCTAACTAGCTTCCACCAGCTTTTAGCAGAATATAAACTTAACAGTATGACGGGCCCTTCCAAACGTTTTAAAGGAGCAGACAGCTTAAATATTAAACGGCTGAAAGCTTTAAAAACATTATGGCTCGAAGATTCCACAAACATGTCCAAAAATGTTTTATCCTTTATTTAAAAAAGGGAAAATATATTAAAAGGGAAAATATATTAACAGCTGATGTATTCTTTGTAGTTTATTTATTTCCTATACAGAAAGTGATGAGGATTTAAAAATGTTTCACCCAGCACCTTTAATTTCTCTGACATTCTTTTCCCTGATTTAGACGCCTTCCTCCGCGCCCTCCCTAATTCAACCCCATCAACGGCTGATGCTCCACCCACTTCCAGACATGCCCCACCCCCCATGCTGTGCGCCCTGCAGCGGTCTGAGGCCAGCAACTTCACCGCCAGTCTGAGAGAGCTGGAGAAGGTAAGACTCACACTGGAGAAATCCACACTGGACTTTGTACATTCATTTATTTTCATATATGTGTTTTATTTAGATGTAGAGCATGTTGTTGTGCATCTGCTGAACTGCTGCGACTAATGAGTACTTCATCAATTAATCATTTCATCCTTTGGTCTATGAAACATCATAAAATAGTAAAGAATCAATTTTTTTCTCTATCACAATTTCCTAATATTCAAGTTGAAGTATAACAGTCCAAAAACAAATTATATTCACTTTTTCTATCAAAGGCAAAGAAAAGCAGCTGAGTAGCTGAGACTATTTTTGCTAGAAAAGTGACTTGAACAATTCATCAAATACAGTTTCTACAGTTGCAGATACATTTTAAGTTGATTCATCTATGTATTGTCTAATCCTCTCAGCCCTACTTTATTATATTTTGTAATTTGGCTGAGGTTTAGCATTACTGGACAACTGAAGCACTCATCTTCCTTCTCTAATGATTTGTTTAATAAATTGAATTTAGTCTTTAACATAAATATTTTGTAATTCTTTTGAGTCAAACTCTGTCTAAGCAAAGGTAATGGTAAAATAGTTTAGCTTAGGTTGGCAAAAAGAAAGGAAGCAGTGGGGAATAGTTGGCCTAGCATCAAAGGTGCCTTCAATAAATTTACTTCCATTTTGTTTCTTGTGCATTTAACAAATGCAGAAAAAAAACAAGACGTAAGTTGAACAAGCAGTTATTTAACCTTTGATGTAAGACATTGTGGGTTTGTCTGTTAGCTTGAATTGGTTGTGAGTGAAAGGAAGAAGGTCTAAATTTAACTGAAGAGCGCATCAAGGATGTGTAGCTGCATAATGAAGGAAGTTATGCTTCTCTGGAGAATGCTTTGGTTTCTGGTGCAGCGTAAGGGTATTTGTCCTTGCAGGTACAAGCATGTTGGCATGTTTGGGTGAAAGGGAACAGCAGTGAGGCTGGTTCACACAAGGTAACTGAAGGCTTTTGTGGGTTTCTCCTCAGTGTGGCTGGTACTGGGGTCCGATGAACTGGGAGGACGCAGAGATGAAGCTGAAGGGGAAACCGGACGGATCCTTCCTGGTCCGAGACAGTTCAGACCCCCGATACATCCTGAGCCTCAGCTTCAGGTCGCAGGGAGTCACACACCACACACGCATGGAGCACTACCGAGGTGAGACACACACACGCATGCACACACACAAACGTTTCCCTGCATTTACATTTACATTTGTTCACCAACTCTAACCCTACTTGCCCTGACTGTAATAATATATTCCTTAATTCTTAATATTAATGCTGATAGCATGGTGCATGTGATACTGTACCATGGATATCCACACAGATGGACATTCACTCATATGAGAATACAGTTTGTGCATACAGTCATACATTTTGAGCTGCAGACATATGCAGATGACAAAATTTACATCATGCAAACTGTTCTGGCTATGGAAGGTGTAATTTTAGCTTAACCCATCACAGCTATAGTCCTAACCCTAACCCTAACCTTGACCTAAACTTAATTATAACCATATCCCGAAAAACGAGGACAGGACGAAATGTTCTCTTTTTCCGAAAATGTCCTCAGTCTAAATCTCAAAATTGGATAGAAAGGATAGAAATACACAGAGCCCACACACACAAGCACAGGCACACACACACACACACACACACACACACACACACACACACACACATACACACACACACAAGCACAGGCACACGCACACATTTACCTGCATCTCTTACATTATGCTTGCATATGTGTGCAAGTATTCAAGCATAATTCATGCTCACAGCAACACACACATACACACACACTGCCTACAGAAACATGCGCATCCATACGCTTAAACACTTCAGGCATGTAACACGGACACAAACTACATGTATGATGGCACACCACCATGAGGAGTTGCAGAAGACCTTTATGCACACATGCAAGCCGACCACATACCAACAAGAATGCACATAAAACATGACATTCGCTGTTCACTTTATCCAAATTGTAATCATTTTAAACTTAGAGTGTTGCCTGAATTTGACACGTTTTTAACCAACTATTGGTAAAAGTATTTCTTCACCTAATTGTTTGTTCAACTGAAAAATCTGTCTAACATAAGTTGTTTATTAAACAACAAAATGTGTGAAAGATCAGTGCCCTTGAAAGCAGCAGTCTGACAAACATTTCAAGGCTTTATTACCTTCTCCTAGAACTTTCATCCGCTTCTCACGGTCTTCCTCAGTGGACAGATTTCGCTGTAAGCGAACACATTTGTGATGTCTTGGTTGAACTTTTCACATAAATCTTATTGTAAAAATAAAGTATATTTAGTCAACTAACTAATAACTGATTAGTCAAGGCAGGTCAACGCAGAGTCAAAATGTGTGAGCATGAGCAAAAAAGTGTGATCCCAATTCATTTAAGGATGGATTTACATTTTTCTAGTCTGTCTTAAAACGAGAGTACCGTGAAAGGTTTTGCATCATTTCAAATGCTATTAAAAGCTTTTGTCATTGCTTCCAATGGAAATGATCAGGGACACAATAAACTATTGTGCAAACTTAAACTCACACACGCAAATGAGAATTCCCATCACTTCTTTCACTAGCTATTTAAAACTAAAAATTGGAAAGCTATCCTTTAACATAAAGAGACAAGTTAGAGAAATTGGAGGAAAATAACAGAAAGAAATGGATTGATTTGGGTTAAGAGTTAAAGACACATGCAGACACACTCACACATTTGGTATGTGTGATAACGAACAGCTAAAAACATTTTAATAACCAAATAGCCTACTGTTACATTTTTCTTCACCATGAGTATTTTACTGTAGTATTTTACACACTGACAGTAAAAAGAACACAACAATAGGACAACAAAAGAGCTGCACAAGATATATTAAACAAAAAAAATCATAAAGAAATAACAGAACACAAATACATCGGGAACTAGAAGTGCACTCGGAGAGTGCACACTTCCGCCAGGGCCAATAGTCCAGTCTATGATATGCAAATCTGCAAGCACACCCACTATATATGTCTGGATATATTTCCAAAGCTATTAGAATTACAGTGTCAAAATATGGTCATGCCCAGCTGAAGCCTCATCATTATGTTTTTTGCTGGCTATTACGTTTTGTTGCATGTTCATTGGATGACCCTTCACTTTAATTACGACGGGTTCAAGCATGCACAGACAAACAAACGGCACTGAAAGCATAACCTCCTTACATACACGCCCTAATAGAGATCCAATGAGATCACACTACAATACTGAAGCATGAATAACTCACATAACACCACATACATATTTGCACACAAAGACACATGTGCGACAAACTAACAAGGTGACTCATGGAAGTGTTACCGGACACAGACATACATAAATGGGGCTCTACATTAATAAATCACCATTATAAAGCTATGGAGTCATGCCTGAAAACACATTCATTATTCAGACATGCAGTGCCCACTGCCACAACGCATTCACATCAACACAATCATGTGTGCATGAACGCATCGTGGCCTGACATGAATTGAGGGCAGAACAGCTTTCAGATATAAACAACCGCTGAGCAGTCAACGGGAAGTCACACACACCTACTTGTTCAGATGTGTCTATTCACATATTGGCTGATTGAATATAGTGTTGAAATTATTCTGAAGTTTAATATTTTTTATTTTATTTATTTATTTTATTTAACCTTTATTTAACCAGGCGAGTCTCATTGAGATTGAAATCTCTCTTGTAAGAGAGACCTGGCCAAGCCGCAGCATAAAAGAACATAAAGCACAGTTATTAAGAACAGTGGGTTATTAACATTATAAGGCTGTTTTTAGCTACATTAGCTTCACGTCTCTAGGGGTGGCAGTGTCGGTCTGCTGGTCGGTTCACCATTTTGTATAGCCTGAAAGATCTTGACAGCTGCAATGAAATTTAATATAGATGTTTAAGATCCCTAGAGGTTGAGTTCTAATGGCTTTGACTTTTCCTCTAATGCCATCATCAGGACAAAATTATTACTAATTCAGTGAAACAGCTTGACATCTACTTGATGGGTTGGCAAAGACGTTCACCTTGTGACTTTGTCGATTCACATTTAGCACCAATCATCAAGTCAAGTCTTTAGTTTGTGATCAGATTCCTTTAAAATTAATAACATTCCCATCAGCCTCAGCTGTACTTTCTGTTTTGTTTACTAATTAGCAGATTTTAGTGCTAATGCTAATAGGCTAAACTAAGAAAAGGCCTCAATTTGGTCACTAAAGAATTGTGATTAAATGAGCAGAATATTTTATAGTTTGCAGCATAACTTGTCCACTCAAATCCAGGCATGGAAAGCATAGACTGTGTAAAACATGGACGTAGAGTCACGTCACCTGAAGAGGTGTCTGAAGAGCCGTTGGCAGCTCCGGCCTAAATCTAAAAAGAGGTGGACCAAATGAAGCCTGGTTGCTGAACCACCAACCAGCTAGCCAACCGAGAGGGCCCCCACTTGTCACTCAAAGCGGCTACGTCCTTCATTTTCCATGACTTTAAACCTTTATAGAATTTACATGGTAATTTCTATAAAAAAGTTGTCATGAAGTAGCTATAGAGACCAGGACCTTTTTGTTTTGCCCCACACTGTAAAAATGTTTACTTCTTCTGTTAAGTTTTAACATAATTTCTGATGGAAAGGAGAAACGTGGATCTGAGGTTTCATTGGCTGAAGTTTCTATTTATGCCAAACATGTGCAGCATGAGGTCAACATCAAAGATGCATTTTTGTTTTTCCCAGAAGTGACAATTTTTCCGGGAAGTTTAAGTCATGATTAGATGTTCCAACTTAAAGCTGCTTTAAAGCTCCTTTTTTTTTTTTTGCGCAGCTCTGTTGCACAGATGATAGGCCTACATTTAGATCTTGCACTGTCCAGGTAGATCTGTTTTCACTGCTCAACCCATCAGAACTGTATGTTTGTATGCAAGAGTAGTGACACATATACAGTACAGAACAGGCGAACTTGAGGATGTCACTTTAAAACATTAGAATATATAAAAACTATCATGGATGGTCATAATGTAAAATGTAGAGACTGACAGAGGCAGCTAACTTACACAGGCTGGTCTTATGTGTTTCTTGTAATTACACAAATGACTCATTATTAATGTGGGTATGGTATACAGATGACAAAATGCTACATGATACATATGACATTCCTCTCTACCTCCAGGGACGTTCAGCTTGTGGTGTCACCCGAAGTTTGAGGACCGCTGCCATTCGGTCGTGGAGTTCATTGAGCGAGCCATCATGCATTCTAAGAACGGCAAATTCCTCTACTTCCTCCGCTCCAGAGTCCCAGGTAAAATATAGGTCATATATCTGCACGCAGCCCGAGCCAATCAAAAATGGATGTGAGGCGCCACTTAATGAGAAGTGCCTGAGAGATGGAGGAGAGGAGGAATATATCAGACCGTCTCTATGTCTGCACTGAGCCTGTGCATGATTTATAATTGTGAGAATGAATCTATGTGTGTGGTTTATCCTCAATAATTCTGCATGTGTTAAATATTCCTTTGAGTATCTTTCTTATAGAGTGTGTGTTACTGTATTTAAAATGGCTAAATGTCCTCCTGTAAGAGTAAAAGGCTTTTTATGACTACTTAAAGCAGGGACAGGCAATCTATTTCAGAAGCATTTGTGTTATATATTTTTTGAAATTCTCTTTACATCCCGACAGCATTCAATAAACCTGACTCAGAAATGAAAAAAATGCAGTATTGTGGCTGTAAGCTGGACTGTAAGAAGAATGGCCATACCTTTCTGCTTACTTGCGTGCACTCAATGTGTTGGGGGAGTGACTTTTGAGGGGGGCCTGAAGGGAGGGATTTTTTTGTTGGATAATATTGTGCTAGTGCTAGTTCACAGTTGAGTTTCAAAACATCAGCAGTGAGTTGGGAGGATATTGGGGGATTAGGAGACGTTGATTGTCATTATACCAACATCAGGAAATGTATCCTGAATTTTAATTGATAACATTTTACCAGGAGAGTCTCTTGAGGTCGGGGTAACTCTTTTCAAGAGCATCTTGGCCAAAATAGTAGCACAGCTCACTGACAATACAAATGACACAATAGAAAATACATTACAAAACAGCAAGCCAATTTATTGTAAAAAAATAAGTATGGTGATATTCTATGTTTTTTTTGTCAACAAATCCCATGAAAAACTCAAACCAACGCTGACTGTATCTAAGTATTGTGTGCGTATTACAGCCCAATGCCTCTGCTTCCTCTGTGCAAAGTGCATTGTTGTTTAGAAACTTTTAAAAACCATCAGTGAGCCTCACCACTGCACATGCACAATTTCCTCCTGTTTGAGTAACATTTCTGATCTATTTATAACGATGTATGTCTTCAGAGTTAATGGGCAGGGGGATGTGAGAAAAGTAAGAGAGAAAGTATTGACACAACAACCAGCCTTGTCCTAATACTGGTAGAACATGGTAAATATGACTAAGTGCAGTAACACAACGTTATATTTGTGTGTTACAGGGCTTCCTCCCACCCCTGTTCAGCTGCTGTATCCTGTATCTCGCTTCAGCAACGTGAAGTCACTACAACATCTCTGTCGCTTCTGCATCCGACAAATGGTCCGCATCGACCACATCCAGGAGCTTCCACTGCCCAGGTACTCTGCTCCTCTCAGTCATGTGGTCATGTAAATGTCCACCTGCTGAAATACACACTTGTTATACCACACACAATGACACACTACACACACCAAACTGAACAATTTCAAGACTCATGTCTCAGGATTTCCAAGGTGCCATCCAAAGTTTGTCCAGACCACTTTGATATTAAAGCAACTATGGTCTTTACTCACAATCAACCATACTGCATGATTGTAGGCTCTTTTTAAAGAACTGTTTAGTGCACATTTTGTTGAGTTTTATTGGGTCACACAGATCTGGACAAATCCAAGCGCATAAATTAGTTAGAGAAGAATGGAGACACAGTTCTTAAAACATTGTATTATAATAATATTATCCTCAGGAGAATTTGTTAGTACCTAACCAAAAGGCACAGGAGCCAGTTCAACCTCTTAGCTTATAAGGAAGATGCCAGGTTGATTTAAAATGTTGTTATCTCATCTTTTTTGGGGGAAATTTCGTCCAGACCGCCATGATTTTAATGACATGTTCGTGCGGCTAATCTACTTATAGATTCTGATCCACATTCAATTGTCATTGCACAGTACAGGTTCTAACACAACAAATGCAGGGACACTTTCTGATTTTTTTCCATGTTTATTGTCACCTCTTTCCAGACCGCTTATATCCTACCTGAGTAAGTTTTATTACTACGACCCGGAGGAGGAGATGTACCTGTCATTCAAGAGCATCCGGAGAGTGGTGAGAGCAGATCAAGAGGCCGAGTCGCAGACGTAACAGCAGAGATCATCTCAACCCAAGTAAGTGTGGGACTAATTCATTGACGTGATATCCAACCTCGTAAGAAGGCAAATGTGTTTATAGCTGTACCGAACAGCCTCACCGGAAGGTGGGGTTATTAGCTCGTCGTCATAGACCAACGGAAAAATGACTTCCCGACTGGGAAAATTCAGTTGGAACAACAACTCAGAAAGTCTGAAAAATTTTGCTACATGAGTTGCCGAGTTGTTGACATCATGTTCGTAGAAACACGGCGGACAACATAGTTAGAAACGTTTAAATAATAGCGCAAAATCACATATTGCATATACATATTTGCTATGGTGTCATTTGTAATACAAGGTACAAGGTTGTTTATTAATCACTATACAGCACAAGGCTGCATAACGAAATGAAATTTGTAGTTCCTTCATGCTACACGAACAACATATAATTAAGTGTAGGCCTATATTAAAATATGGTAACATAAAATAAAATAAACAATATATACAGTTATTTATATACATATATAGGCTACATACACGTATGATATTATAGTATTAGGTTATAACTGTTAATTTGCTGTCCATGTAGAGTGAAGTCGATTAATTAGGAAAGTTATTTATTAGCAGTATTTGCAGTATAAGCAATATTTTAGTGGTTTCAGGTAATGTACTGGTGCAGTAAAAACACTGGGACAAAAAATTACTTCAACTTCAAACTTCAAACTGATTCAGCATAGTTTGATGACAATGATAATGCTAATCCAACACATCAGCATCCATGTTATTTCCACATTTCGACTTAAAGCACATTAACTCACTGAAGTCAGATAAATGACTTTCCGTCTCGGGAAATGGAACCATCCAAGGAGCACATGAATGCAGCATTATACAAGCTGTCTGATAACATTGTGAGGGACTAATGAGAGACATTCTTTGTTTTTACCGAGCAACAGTTTTGCTTAAGGTCACATCTTAGAAATGGTGTGTGAATCACGACTGTAACGATGCATTCATACAAAATTTAGATATTTGTTCTGATTAGATCTGATGTGAACGCCAAGTTTATCCTAACTTTGCTCTGAAATTTTATCTCTGCCTAGGTTTCTGTATGGAGGAATGATCTGTACTGGTCTGCCAGCATCCGCCAATCAGAGTTTCTGAAAATCTCTGTGTCCAGTTGGACTTGGATGGACCCGCCTCACTCTTCATTTGGACTAACGAAAAGAGGGATGAGTGTTTGCAGAAGGGCGGTGGGAAAACTGTCACTGAGTTCCGATGCAGAGGACTCTGCCTCGTCTCCTGAGGGACTGCAGAGATGTTCTCGCCTGCAACACACGTAGGTTTGAAACAAAAGGAGAGCGTGATGAACTTGATTTGCAAATTTCCTGAACCTGCTGAACTGGACTTTTAAAAACACAATGCACTGGTCAGTTTGTACAACTGCTGTTTGTTGCTGTTTTCTTGTTTTTCCTTCCGTTCTGTCAAAATGAGTGTTTTTTGGATTAAAAGTTGCCCCTCAGGATGGATATACACTCAGAGGCAGGGCAGCAAGAGGCCCATCACCAATGCGCTCGGACAGTTGAGGTACAAGCGTTTAAGAGAGACAGGCCGCCATGTTGGAGGACCTATAATCTCCACATCTTGGAGATGAAATTACTGTTTCTGTCTGGAAATAACAAAATTCCAATGTTAGTTACAGTGCAAAATGTAAGTTAGACAAATCTGACATAAAATTTGTTTAAAACTGAATTCAAGACTCAATTCTATTTTACCACAAGTGCTTGTTATGCAGACAGATTTGATGAAACCTTTACAACTTTACTTGTTTATTGTGACTGCAGCATAAATATCTCAACCTTTGAATGTGTTGAGTGTGTTTTTTTAGCTTGATAATCAGAACTCAGAAATTCTGACTTTCCATGTCAAATGGAACGCAACATAATCTCACCTACAATATCTATTTGAATCCCTGAACAAACCAGCGATGTAGGTGGTGATTCGGATGTCTGGAAACGAGCTACTTTTTAATACACTCAGTGAGTTGACACCTGCTAACGTGCAGCACTTTGGGCCATGTGTGAGCCCACAGAGGTCAGTGGTTTTCAGTCCTTGTTCCTACAGTTGTTTACAAATGTCACTGGTTTGAATGACAATCAGCATCACCTTGTTTTACAAGTCATCTTTAACTGAATCTTTGATCAGGTCACAGAAATTTGACCTTTTGTTTTTCAGGAAGAAGCAGCCTTCTTTTGTTTTGCTGTCACATCTCTAACATGATGAATTTTACTTTTGTTATACATTCAGCAGCCGAACACTGTCCACAATATCAGAATTTTTCCAGTGCAAAAAACAGTAGGTCACAGTCATTCTTCTGCACACAGAAACTAAACTTAAGAAGTAAGTTCAATTTTCACAAGCTATTATCACTGGTTGAAACGTCATTCTTAATTTTATAGAAACAACAACAAAGCCCACACAAAACATAGGAAGGAAAAACACCGAGCTGCAGCACACACCTCTCCTCCTCCCTTCCCTAAATAATTTGTAATCTGTTGCCCTTACATGACATGATTTCACCACGTACAGATGCAGTGGACATTTTAACAGGAATTCACAAGAAGAGGGCAAAAATACACCAAAGAATAAAATATCTTCGGAAATTTACAATAACCTACAAACAGCTTATTTTAAAGGTGTTCCACTGTTTTATTCCAAGAAGGCAAAACAATGCAAAAGGGAACCATGTTCTTTATAATGACAGATGATAACAATCATTTAGTTTTTCCATGGCTCCACAACAAGTTTCAGCATAGGCGCCTTCATCAGGGATGTGTTCTTATGATTAATTCATTTGGTAATCTTAGGAAATTCTTAAAATGTTTATTTAAACAGAACAGAGTTTTGCAAATCAAGACAAAACGGCTGTGGGAGTTTACTTGCATTAATTAGAAAACTTTTCTGAATTTGGCGTTACAGTGAGCTGGGAGTTTGAACCGGGTTTGAGATTATAACCCAAAGCCTTGTTTTTCCCCACAGTGCCCTGCCTCAAAGTGTGTATATCTGCCATGACTCGTCTCTATCTGTCAGTTTTATTTGTTGAATTGCCCAGGTGTATTTTGCTCATTCTATTTCTCAGTACCCTGAAGCTGGCTACTGGCTCAGCGTTTTCAGTAAAAGAAGAAAAATAAACATTGGTGATGTGGCATAATTTTTACAATTTCAGTGTCTTATTATAGGATTGATATTGCAGTTGTTGAAAAAAATGTGTCTGAAAAAATGTAATCTTTATATTGTAACAACCCATATCACAGAAAGAATTGCAAGAACATAAAGTTTTGGGTAAGTCCCAAAGACTGGCTGTAGACAGGAAAGTTCCCCCAGAAAAAAGGTTTGATTTATTATGTTAATTGTTCAGTTATATGTCTATACATTTTATTTCCAAAAATGAAGATCTCTGTTATGTCAAAACTACATATGTATCTCTAAAATGCTTTTCATAGACCTTGACAAAAAATTCAATATAAGAACCAACTCAAATGGATTTTCTGATAATGGGGCTAACATTGCCAGGAATAAAGTCAGCAATATTTAATCCCTGCTTCATTTGTTGGCCTAAAAATAGACAAATGTGCATATGTTTAGCCTAATAAATACTGGAATCCAATTTTAAAATATCCACTAATGTCACTAAATTCCCCCCATTGTTTTTAAAAGACCCAGATTTACAGATATAAATACAGAGCAAATGATTTCAGTGTCCTGGATCTGAGCACCGCAGAAGACAACTCTTCCACACACATCCACATTTATTCCTGCATTATGATTACAACAAGCCCAACCACTATAAACAACAGTTTGTGACTGAAATGTGTTAAATAACCATAAAAAAATCCTATTAATCGTGTGGTCTATGAAATGCCTGACACAGCTTCCCAGAGCCTAAGATGGCTTCTTAAAACTACTTGTTTTGTTGCACACAACAATTATAAACCCAAAGATATTCAGTTTACTCAGTGGTGGAAGAAGTCATCAGATATTTTATTTATGTAGTAGTAAAACCACAATGTATAAATACTCTGTTATAAGCAAAATTATCATTCAAATTCAAATGTATTAACATCCAAATTTTCCTAAGTTATCGAAAATAAATGTACTAATTTATGCAGAATGTCTCATTCAGAATAATATACTGTATATTATCTCACTGGAGTGTAATTAGTGATGCATTATGTGTAAGCATGTCTAATTTTTTAGTTGGGCTTATTTGAAGTACTTTATATACTATATACGAGTAGCTTAATACAGCATAAATTATTAGTAGATTTTATTTTTGTATTAATAATCTGAATCTGCAAAGTAACTGGTAACTAAAGCTGACAAATGTAGTGGAGTAGAAAGTAAAATCAAATGGAAATACTTCAGACCACTGCATATGACAAAGACAAATAGGAAAAACTTTGCATTTAAGAAGTTGAAAACATCTCAATTATTTTATAAAATGACTTAAACGATAAAATAGATTATCAAAGTAGCTAATGATTAATTTCATTTTAGCTCTGGTATGTTTAATGTTTACTTTCCAGGTTAAAGAAAGTGAATGCAACACTATTTAGCAGCCAACATAGAGGTATCCATCCATTTCTGTGAGTTAACACTGTAAAGCTGCTCAACAGTTTCTGGTGGAGGTTTCATGGCATAGAAAGCGTTTTACTTTTAAAGTCAGTTATTCACTTTGATATGTTTAGGGCTGAAAAGCTAAGGCTTTGGCTCGCTCATGAAGCCTGTTAAGTGAAAAGAGTGAGATATCCCAGTTAAATTATGCAGCTCTTTCTCTCTGAGGCTCTGAGGTGCCTGGGGAGACGGTGATAGACAGTATCTGCATCCGCCAACTACAGCACACTTGAGGTGAAGAGGGAGAAAGTGCTTCAGCTAAAAGCAGAACTCTTTACATTTTAAAAACCCAGAGGATGCACTGGGAAGAAATGGACACAACTGCATGGGAATAAGGTCAAGTGTGCTCTTTGGGAAAAGCCTATATGAAAAGGGCCGCATGCATTGTGGATGTGAAAACAGTCAAGGGGAGTGATCCACTGAGAAAGAGGGACAGCTCCTTCTAGCTTACATGTTGGCTGAAAGTGCCGGGGGGGGGGGGACGACAGATGGGACTGACGGCCACGAATGGAACATTTTCTCTACAAGGTGAAAGGCCTCTAGTGGCAAAGCTGGGATCATGTCAGCCTTTCTTTATGGGCTGGGGCCAACACTAAACCAAAAAGACAAGTACAAAAATCTGGTTTGAGTCCATGTAGCCTAACCAGTCTGCATTTTGGATAATCTTTGCTAAAATTAATAAAAGGTTTTTAGTCAGTATTAAATCTCATCATCCTTTCAGTGTCTGCATAGAAAAACACAGCCAATTAAGTTATCAGGTGGGGCGAAGCTTAAAAAAGTGTCTGAGGTGATCAAGTTCCAAGTCCAACATCACAAATAGTCTGTAGAATTATCTAGTGTTAAATGCTGCACTGATGTTCACTTTGGGGCAGAACCATACATATTATTGTTGTGTTACACATCAACATATTGGGGCTGTGTTTGTGTCCACCTGAATGAATGTAAGTCCAGTATTCATCCTCCTTCTAGCTCTGGTTTGGTCTCTCCTAAGATATATAACTGACTCTTAAGCTGTTCCACTTTCTTCACCAGCGCCTGTCATTGCCAACTATTATATTTATTTAGCTGACACTTTTATATAAGGGACACATTGTCTCACAGTGGATTCGAACCCAGGTTGCTCACACCAAAGGCATGTGTCTTATCCACTGCGCCATCACTACCCCTCACCAACTTTAACTGCCATTTTGGTGCTAAGGGTAACGAGTTCTGCATGGGACGCAGACACAAACCCACCTTTCCATGGCCCTAGCCTAACCCAACCTCAAACTTGAAGCTATATTTTTATTTTATTTTGGTTCCTGTATTGAAGTTAGCTTGAGAGGCTGATGCAGTGCATTGGCAATACATTTTGAAATAGATGATTGGAAAAGTCAGAGTTGACAGTAAAAAGAGAAACTTCTCACTAAATTACATTTGAAATTTACCAAACCTGAACTTGATCTGAAACCCAGTCTTTGTTGGGACTGCTGGGTTCCTGTCTCTAAGTATGGTAGGAAACATTGATTTTATCAGAGAATTATTTTCTGAAAAATGCCACCTGCTGTTGCTGGAAATTAGATTAATGAGAGCTGAGTGGTGGAAAGTAATGAAGTGTACTGTATTTACATTTTACCATTTCATGCTACTTTATACTTCTACTCCACTACATGTCAGAGGAACGTATTGTACTTTTTACTCCATTACATTTACTGCAGTCACTATGAGTGTAACATATCCAAATAGTATACCTTATAATGTTTAGCGGTGCTTTAGCATTAGAGCATTGTTGTTTTCACAAAACTGAAGAGTAGAATGCTATATCCACTACTGGATTAGCTGTTATTACACATGCATGGAGCCAAATACTAGGTCAAAGAGCCTTTTAGGGTCAAGCTACAGCCTACTGTGCAGGGTGTATTGAATAACAATATGATCAAATAGACAACAGCTTGCATACCATACCCATGTGAGCCTGGTGTCTTTAACTACACAGTAATTAACTACAAGTCATTAGCAAGCCAAGAAAAATAGCACTACATGATATGTTCATAGCCACGGCTTCAAAATCAATGTATAATCCGTTTATACTAGCTTAGTGTAGTCTCTGTTGTAGTAACACATAACGGGCTGCTCCTGATAATGAAGCATGGGACAGTTTAAACAGGTCACACACACCAGAGACTCAAAGCTCATTGATCAACATGGTTGTCATTCTTGTATTGACCGAACTGCCTGTCAATAATCACATTGGTCGTTAGGGACGTCAGTGAAACCGTCTTCTCGCTGTAATAGGGCACTCGCTTGTTAGAGGTTTACCTTTGGACACGCCCCCTGCAGAGTGCAATCTCGACATCCCATTGGTCAAACAGTCATCCATCCTCCGACGTACAAAAATATCATGCTGGGATTGGCTCAGTCGAATTTCAATCACGTAGACAGCTCGAGCTGATTGATCGGTACGGCCGTCGCTCAACGCTCCATTGTCCGGGGATTGGTGCAGCAGCGCGGGCGGATTCCTCCATGGGCTCGGTCTTCAAGGCTCACGGTGAGCGAATGTCGTCATGAGCGGTGGGTAGGAATTAAAACATTGGTGTTTATATTACATTCTACTTCGTAAAACATTATATTTGCATTGAGCAGAAAAACACCGGACGTTATGCGGTACGAATAAGTATGTTTTAGGAGGACTCGGGCAGTTTTGTGAACCACAATAAGCAATGCACTTCCGGAAAAGGGCTGCCTTTTTTCTGTAACGATATCAAAGAGAGTTTGACTTGCTAGCTAGCTACGCGTCTGCTAGCCAAATATGCTAGGGTAAAGCTATGTGGCTGGTGCTTTTACTTATTTGTCTTGCCAAATATGGCCGTGCTTTCCCCCCACCCATATATTCATCAATAAAATACAGAGTGTGGTGAAGTAACGGTCCTATCTTGGTTCGTTTATTTGTTGAAACTATGCTAGCCACTTTAGGTTGCCCCGGTTATTTAGAATTGCTAGCTAGCTAGCTAACGTTAGCCGCTTGTCCACAGCAAACCAAACCGACAGTATGTGTTTGATGGCGGCGCTATTTTGAGGCCTCACTGTGTTTTTTTTCCTTCTGTGTGTGCATTACTAGAAGGGCTTAAAGACACACTCGCAGAACTGGCTAGTGGTTGAAAAATTGCTGAAGCAGTGTTCAGTGTTGTGAAGCTGTCTGCTTAGTTACTGCAGCAACTCTAATCACCCCGTCCACGTTGGTACGTCCAGAGATTTGTGGTTCAGCAGGCTGAGATGTTCCCGAGTGAAAGTTTTATTTTTTATTTTTTTGGTTTGACAGTGAGGTTAAGACACCATGACCCACAGCTGTTTTTATAATATGTTCACTCAATGAGGCAGGCAGCTATAAAAGAGGAAACTGCTCTTGGTCAACTGATCAGCAGACGAAAGAGTGATCGGTGGCAGAAAATACAATATATTAGCGTTTTAACTTGCTAATAACAAACATCATATCTTTTGTGTGTTGAATTATCTGTCTTTGACTTGCAATGATTAGTTGTCAACTATTAAATTAGTTGCCAATTATTTTGATAATCGATTAATAAGTTTGAGTCCTTTTTTTTTTTTTTAAAGCTTTTCAAATGTGAATATTTTCTGGTTTCTTTACTTCTGTGAGACTAAACTGAATATATTTGTGATGTGAACAAAAGAAGACATTTGGATGTTTAGATGTTTTTCACTTTTTTCTGGACCTAACAACTGATCGATTAATCGAGAAAATAATCGACTGATTAAACGATAATGAAAATAATTGTTAGTTGCAGCCCTATCTTTGTTTGTGCCTTTCATATATTACTATTACAGTGCGTCACAGAGCTAAGCATATGTGTTCAGAAAAATAAATACATGGCAGTTTTTAGTGGTTTTCTAGCCATCTGGAGGAAAGAAATCTGTCCAGTGCATAATAATAATAATAATAATAAAAAAAATTAAACTTGTTTTTCAAGTTGTCTCAGTTTCGTAATTCAAACAAATATGCTAGCTGGAGGCGACACACCCTTGCATATCTTAACCTTTTCATAATCAGTTATATTTATCTGTATTGACGTTACTTTCTATATATATCTACAAAATAACCCGAGCATATTGTTCATGTGGGGTGCAAGACAAGCAAGGAGACATGTTATGTCGACCTAAAGCTTAATTTTTGTGTGTGTCTGCAGCAGACCAGGTTTTTTCATTCAGATTGTCAAAAGATTGTTTGAATAAACTAGGTTGCGGGTTATTTCTTCTTTAAATTGCAAGATATTTCTTTCTTCTTAGTTCTGGTTATACTTTCCTTTAGCAGCACAACCTGCTCTACTTTAATTGCTCATCAGTGCAATCATAAAATCAGCATCTCGTGCAGTTGGAGTAGATCTGTGAGGAATCATTTCGCACCAAGCAGCCTGTGCACTTCTCACTACTATTGCTGGCCTCCAAAACAGCCCTCTGTGGCTGTCATGTGATTACGTGTCACCTGCTATTTGATTTCAAGTGTTTACCAGTTAATGTGCCTCGAGCTCAAAGGGATGTACTTAAATACTACAAATATATATTTTTGTGTTTATTTTACACCCCCCCCAAGCACTATTGCTGCAGAAAACCACAAATGAAAACACTAATAGGGAGGCTACAGCAGATGCAGACTGCCTACCTTTGAATTTGTCTTTTATGCACTTGAATTTGTATTAGTGTATATTCTATTAAACAAAAAACCTTTGTGTACAAGCTGTATTGCAGTTCAGGCAATAGTTGGATGGGTGACTCAGTGTAAATCCTATGTGGACCCCTTTACCCAATTCTGTTTGACAATAACAGCCTCAACCTATTTTGGCCATTAGGCAGCATTGCCTGGTACTGAAGATTTACTCTGCTCTTAAACTGTTGGGCAGTCTGCCCATCATGTACTTCAGCTGACTGTGTTAACAGACATATAATATGCTCAATAAGATTTGTCTCTCCCTTAGATAATGCTTTGACTGCTGCCCAGTAGTGCTTTACTTTGCTTAGAGAGCATCTGAATCGTTTCCAGTAGCTTGATATTTGTTTGTCAAAGATCAACCAGTAAATCAGGCACCTTTTGTGCTAAATAGCAATACAAGGTGCTAGACATTGTGTTAAAATACAAGCATAACCATACAATTAAAATACAGTCATAGAAGAGTCTGCACTGCAAAGTTATTGGGTAAGATAAACAAAGAAAATAAAAGGAGAATTAAAATAGAATAAAAAAATTAAAAGACGTTTATACTTTTCAAGGACCAAACAAAAAAGCTGTCATAGCCAGTCAGCTAACTTTGAAAACCAGGTGGCTCGATGTCTGGTGAAAGGGTTGTGCTGCAACTAACGAGTATTTATTATAATTGATTAACCTGCGGATTATTTTCTCGATTAATCAATTAGTTATTATGTCCAGAAATTTGAAAAAACCTCTTGCAATCCTTAATGTTTAAGAAATGTGAATTATACACTAACACTCCACACATGTGGTGAAGATGAATATGTTAATATGGAAATATTTGCAAGTTAAATCACTAATTAGTGTAATTAATGACTTCATTTGTGTAACTGATGCTGTTTAATGACCATGTGGCGATACAGTGAGATATTATAGTGCTAGATCTGTGTTGTAGGAATGTCTTGTGTCCTTAAAAAGCCTAACCACTGAATCTGACTCTGCAGTGTTTGTGTGTTTTCCAGAACAACAGGACAGTATGGCCACCACTGTTGCTGTCAGTCCCAGCGAATACCTTCAGCCTTCCACCGCTTCCACACAAGTGAGTGCTGTTGAACTCTCCTGACAGCAACCCATTAACCCATGGTAGCTTCATGTCACTGCACGCTTTAGGAACATTTTTGTGCCAGGATCGTATGTGAGCGGCTGATTCTCCCATTTGAAATGAATGAACTTGTACTTGTTGAAGCATTTCACACATGAAGTGTGATCTTATATAGTAAGGCATCCTGATAACAAATGTTCTCCTTTACCAGTTTACCAGTTATCACATCAATATAAAACAATATTGTGATATGAGACTAATTATCTTTGCATGGAAACACAGTTTTGACCTTTTGAGAACAGGCTTTCAACTGCATCTTCAGTTTCAGTTCGTTGGAATATTGCATACGTTTTAAACGTGTTATTATTCTTAAATGTTGACTTGTTAATTTAAATTTGTTTATTGAAGTGAAATGATCAATGAATACACGTGGCTGATTGGTTATTATTTGCACAAAACAAATGAAGGCTTAGCTGTTGGTTTCGCTTCACTTGTTTATTTTAGCTTCTTATCTCTCGCTCTCCTACTTTATTTTTCTCTTAGTGTTAAACTGTTTCCTGTCAGACTGGTTTTAATGCACACTGTGTGTTGGATCTCAGTTGTTGTTGTTGACTGTGTTTGTCCCGGCAGGACACCCAGCCCTCTCCTCTGGCCCTCTTGGCTGCCACCTGTAGTAAAATCGGCCCTCCTGCTGCTCAGGCTCCTGTCACCTCTCCTCCATCTCAGCCGCAGCCTCGCAGGCTTCTCCCCATAAAGCCGGCCCCCATCGCCCCCGCTCCGCCCAAAAACCTGAGTTTCCTTTCAGCCAAAGGCAATGTGATCCAGCTACCCGCCGGCCTGGGCTCCACAGCCCCCGGCAGTCCCATTGTGCTCACTATCCAGCAGAGCCCTGCCCGCACCAACACCTCGGCCCCCACCAACATCCAGTACCAGATGGTACCGCAGATCCAGGGCACCCAGACTATACAGGTGATGCCACAGGGAGGTCAGATCCAGCTCATACCAGGCACCAACCAGGCCATCATCACCACGCCCATGACCGTACCGGCCCCTGCGGCTGCCACCACTCCAGTCACACCGCAGAAGACTGTAGCCATCAAGCCCTCCCCAAAGTCACGCAAGCCAAACAACTCTGCTGCAAACATGGTGCAGCTGCCCAGCGGGCTCACACTGCCGCTCAATGTGGCGACCGGAGAGGTGGGCGGGACCCAAATCATCACAGAGACTGCAGCTGCCACTCCCGCTTCAGCAAAGGGACGACGAGGGAGGAAGAAGAAAGTGGTTCTGGCTGCTTATCCTCCGCATCTTCCTCCTGCGCAGGCGGCCTCCCCACCCCCAGAGCAGATGGAGACCATCCTGATAGAAGCTGGCGACAACATCATTCAGGTACATCTGGCTGCTGCTGCAGAAAAGTACCAAAGGCAAACTGCACAGGCACATGTAGCAGTACAAGCATCGAGCTGCTCTGGGCCTGATTGAGCCAACAGTTAAATGTTGATGGAGCTGATCTTCTGTATTTCCACAGATTTAGTTGAAAGTGCTCAAAAAAGCAGCAAGTGAACCCTGAATTTCTCATTCAGACATACAGTGAGTGGTTTGTTTTGCCCACCAACAGTCTCAAACACAAAGTTGTTGAATTTACAATTATGTGGTTTTTAAAAAATAAAATCTCTATTAATGAAAAAAGCTTAACAATTAAGAGATTATCATACTTAAGTCTTCTGCCAGTTGACAAATTGATTCATTGACTGAACCAAACTTAATCAGTATTTAATTGTTGGCTTAGATCTGCCACCTACAGCTATCTTGTGACAAAAAGTTCCTATGGTACATATTTTAATATTAACAATGCAGATAATTATTAGACTCTGCAGATCATTGTTTTTATTTTAAGACTTAAACTTTGCTGTTTCGGCAGACTCTCACCACCCAGAGGCAGGCAGCTGTTTGTAAAAAAAACAAAACAAAAACAAAAGCTCTAAAAAAAAAAAGAGCTGGATATTTTCCTGAGAAGAGGGTCCAGTGCAAAACAGAGTAAAAGGAAAAGAGTGTGGCGTCTGTTGGATGTGTAAATAAACCACTGGTCACCATATCACCTTTATATGGTGTTAAAATGTCATGTCAGTGTTTACAGCTTGTTCTGCTGCCCTCAAGTGGCCAAAAGCTAAAATAGTGCAGGTTTCATTAAAAGTTATATAAATTTGTGGCGGCCTAGTCGTGAGATGGTCCGATAACTTCGCTATTACAGGGTTTATTGACCTAGTTCTCTTGTATATGAGCAACCTTAAGCCCAACACATTGAATTGTCACTGATTAATCGTCACACTAGGAATATCAAAATTTTCTGTGTTTTCACCGGCGCTTGGTAGCAACACGTCACTACAGGCTTTTGGAAAATGTGTGTTGCATGTTCATTTCGGCTACAGCACTGTGAGATGGGCTTGAGGCTCAGGTTGCAGTGCTACAACCAACTACAGTTCATGACCAAACATCTAGAAAAGGCAACACAGGTAAAGCTAGTATTTTACAAGTCTACAAAGACTCAGTTCTTTGAGAGCAAAGCACTCTCACTGGATGAATGATCAAATAGTTCCAAGCGACTATCGAATACTATTTTTACTGAAAATGCCCATCCCGCTCTCTCCAGATGTGAGCGTTGGCTAAAAGCCTCGTACCTGAACACCACAGGCTAACCTCTCTTGTCTCTGGACTTGCAGGCAGGTAACAACCTACTGATCGTGCAGAGTCCCGGGCAGCCAGCTATGGTGCAGCAGGTCCAGCTGGTCCAGTCCAAACCGGAGTCTCAGCTTGTTCAGATCCCCCAGCAGGCCTTGAAGGTGGTGCAGGCCGCCTCTGCCACGTTGCCGACCGTCCCACAGAGACAGTCAGTCTCCTCGAACCTGCAGGTCACTCAAACAGACCCAACACCAACACAGGTATCCATTCAGACATTCTCTCACTTCAAAACCACTGTTTAAAATTGAACTGTTTTATCAGCCCTGACCGCCATTCATGCTGTTGTGAAGTGAAATTAAAAGTTCACCAGTGACTACATGTATAGACTCAAATATTACTGTTCTAAATCAACAGAGGTGGAAAGATTACTAAAATATTCTACTAAAGTAAAAGTACGATTACGAGTGCAGAGTAAATGTTACTTAGTTACTTTTTATATATATATATCCTATAATAACTTTATTTATACTTATTACAGGCCTACTTATTTAACTAAATTGTTTGTTTGACAAATACTTTGCCAAAGCAATAGTGCAAAACAATATACTATATATATTATAGACCTTTTATGTTATTAAGTAGGAAGTTTAAAGAATGTTTTTGCTTCATTATGAATCTGTGGCGTAACAGATTAGACTATGGCGGTCCGCACTGGACTGTATATGAAGTTATTTACATTCAAACAGGTGGTCATTTGAATGGAACATCATAGACATTGGCAAAGTTAATTTATGATAAACATAGGCTCAGAATGGGCCTTTGTGGGGTGACTTTGCGCGACGGTAAGCATGATCGGTACGTGTTCAGTAAAGGCAATGAGTTACCTTATGACCGAAGTTATTTCTGACAATTTGATAAACAAAATATATCCACAACCTGGAGGAGTAAAGGTATAAATTAGTTTATTAATAAATATTATAACATTAAATAGAAAGTATAATGTTAGTATAATAATATATTTACAGTTAACACTTTATTTGGATAATCTGCCTACAGATAGTTTATTAGTTGAGATTCATCTATTTCACAAAGAAACCATTTTCTGATATTAGCCTACACCACTGTGGTTAAGGTTTGATTAGGGCTGATGTTTGTATATTCATTATAATTTCAGATAATCGTACAGGCTACTATAGCTTACCATTAGTAGCCTATAATATTAATTCCCGTTGGACAAAACTGCAGTTTCATTTTTGCGGGTTGTTTTGAGTCATTCAATTATTGTGCAAGAAAAATGCTCTACATGGTGGTCTGGAACAGGTGAGCGTCACATAGTGACCAGAAACCTGATCTGGAGATGGCAGAGAAGAGTGCCGGTGCCGGTACGCCAAAGAGTAAAATGTAAAAGTGACATTACCGGTGAATACCGGCACACTTCAAGCAAAAACGGCTTTTAGATGGTGAGAAATAACAGCAAGTCATTAGTGCGAGCTTCGTATCAGAGCGTTCAGGTGCAGTTAAACCTACGCAGCAGCTGGTTTATAAATCCAGCGCCTGCTGCATGTGTAAAATCCAGCGGCTGTGGATGAGAGGAGAGGTAAGTAAGTAAGAGATGTTTCATTTAAGTTTATGTTTCTGCTTGCTCAACAGTTGTTTGGCCCTTTAAACACATTCAGAGAGGATTTGAAAGGTTGTGGGTTTTTTTTATTTTTCAATTCTTATCATTTGGACGCTGGTGATTTTCCTTTGGCGCTCACTACTAAACTTCTTTGGGGGGCGCCAAAAATTTCTCTATGCAGGGAAAACCCTGGCCTAAGCATAATTAGCTAGTTACCAGCAGATTGCTAGTGCCAACCAACATTAGCAATGTCATGCACCAATGACTTTGTGGCTAATTTGAGCAAGCCTCTTTTTAAGCCTCTTACCAAACTATGAAAACTTCTTTTACTACTTCCCGCGGTACAAGCAGTGTGCGAACTACAGGGGAGCTTGGCTCCTCTTAATAAGACATGACATGCTAATTTTGCTTATTTTTCCGGATCATCATGGATCATGTGTAAAATCAGGAGCGCCAGAGGAAATGATCAACGACCGTGTGCGTGAAGTTTTTTACTCCGTAATGGATGTAATCTAAAATGTAGCGAAGTACAATACTTAAAATAAAACATACTTATGTAAAAGTAAAATTGTAGATTATAAAAACGACTTTAAAAAGTACAAGTACACAAAAAACTACTCAATTACAGTAACGCGAGTAATTGTAATTCGTTACTTTCCACCTCTAAAAATCACCACTCATAGCAGTGCTAAAGTAAAGTTTCTTTACAAGGAAATAGCATTCAGTTACTTTTATTATTCATATTGTCTAAAACTAATTTACACCGCATCTGAAAAAGGTTTTACTGAGTATTTGTTTTTTTTTTATTCATTGTAATAATAATTATCCATGTGTTGTAATCATGTCTAGCGGTGGTTCCTGTGTAAACCAGAAATAAACAAACGCACGGAGAAATGCACTGAATTAAGGACACAATTATAAATCTCCTGTGACGGCTCATCTTTTGAAACAGACTCACAACAAACTCACCTCTTTTGTCTCTCCTCAAACGGAGGTGCAGAAGGATCGCTTGCTGTCTTGTCCTTCTTTCCTGCCTATCGGCGCCGATATACAAAAGGAGATTTATTTTGCCAAATTTGAACTAGCCTTGAGTCTTGTTGGTGCTGCAGGTAGTAATGCCATAATAATAACAATATAGTGGCAACGAAATGCATCTGTTTATCCCTCATTCATTCATTCATTCATTCATTCTTGTCAAAACCTCCCACGGAACTGTGTGTGCAGTCAATATTGACTAAACCCAGCTGTATTCTAACATTAACTTAGCTCTCCTGATTAGCTACGCTCCTTACATGCTGGCTAATAATTATTTTAAGCTGGGTCGCGACATTGACAGCGTGAGAGACAGAGATGGCGAGAGAGAGAGGGACGAGCGAGAGGATGTGCTGTGTGAATACGCGCTGCCTGCAGCTCTGCAATCAAATTTTAAATTTTAAAAATTGAGAATCAATATGTGGCGGTCAGCGTTGATATTGTGGCGGGCTGCAACAAATAAATGAACGTATGGGAAACACTGATGTGAAGTTCTTTAGTGCGCTAACTAACCGAATGTATCAAAATGTATAAAAACATGAACTTTGGTTCAGACCTTGCAGCCTTTCAGGTGTGAAGGGGCTGAAGAGATGGCAGTGTTGGTCTGGCCATTCGCTCCAACACTTTGGTCCAGTCTGTCATTGTGAGCATGTTAGTATCCTGACGTTAGTAAGTACAACCTGACAGAGCGTCTAGCATGATGGTAAATTTTCAGTTTTGTTCAACTGATGGAGGAAGACCAAGATAAAAAAGATTAAAATGGAAAAGCTTTATTTGAAAAAAGCTGTCACTATATATATTTTAGCTATTGCCATTTCTATTCTAAACTATCTGTTTTCAAGTTGCAAAATCACTTTATCCATCTGTTATTTAAAATGTGTAATTCATTGATAATAAATTGTTTTGCTTTCTTTTTTTATATATGTAAAACTTGTTGAATTTTCTCTCCATAGGATAACATGCAGTGATGTAAACTTTGAGGGAACAAACTCAAATCTCACTGCACAGTCCAGTTTAAATTAAACTTTAGGTTTTCTTCCCTCAGATCCTCTTCAAAACGGCATCGGGTGAGTGGCAGTCTGTTCAGCTCCAAGACTCGGTCTCCACGACAACAACTCCCACCACTTCGGTCGCTACCCCCACCAACTCGCCACCGACTGGCACCAAGAGGACGCTAGGGGGGAGGAAGGAACGGACTCTAGCAAAAATTGCTCCAGCGGGGGGAATGATGGCGTTGAATACATCACAGCTCTCCACAGCATCTCAGGCAGTGCAGACGATCAGCATCAACGGGGTCCAAGTTCAAGGAGTTCCTGTCACCATCACCAACGCAGGGGGTGAGTTGATGTTTGTTAGTTTGTTTCTGTTGGTTGTTGATCTTTAATAGTTAGAAATAATTAAATTAGATAACACAGTTGGTGGTCCTATCATTGCGATACAATTTGACTGAATGTAGATAAAGGGTAATATTCAGTTACTGCCCGGCTAAGGGGCAATAACTAAAATCAGCAGAAAATATCTACCATGAATATTAGATGACATTTTGAGTTTTCTTATTTAAACGTAAAAATCAACTGTCAACATTTTAAAAGATGGGAAAAACCAGCAACCACAGTCTTTATCGACTCCTGATAAAAATTCTCTTTGTTTAGACATATTTTCAGCTCTTTGCTTTCATGTGTCTGCAATGTTAATTAATCATTAATTTGATTTTCAGTCCACTTTGACTCATGGCAGTCAGCTGGTAGACTAATTAGATTTTAGAGGCAATTGGCGGACCTTGCAGGAGCCCTGCTGCGTCTCTTACCATGCGTCTGTCTCTGTGTTTGTCAGGCCAGCAGCATCTAACGGTGCAGACGATGCAGGGCGGAGGGCTCCAGCTGGCAACAACGCAGGGCCAACAGGCCATCCAGGTAGACCAGACTCTCACCCTGGAGCTGCCCGGCCAGCCAGGAGAAAAGAAGCGACGCATGGCTTGCACCTGCCCCAATTGTAAAGACGCAGACAAGAGGTGTGTCTGTGTCAAGAGATGGACGAATATGTGCCAGTATTACATTTTACATGCCCAGATTTTCCTGGCTGTTGTTGGCTGAGAGAAACATTCATTGAGGACACAAGAACTGATTTAATATTGTAATGCTTAAGGGAATATGGAAAATTAAACTTTTTAATGCCAAATCAAATGGTGTTAGCTGTTACTTGAATGCTCAGCTCTACCATAAAAACTGAATGTCTCATGATTTGTGTTTGTGTGTGCGCACTCTGCAGGCCCGGGGAGGTGGGGAAGAGGAAGCACATCTGCCACGTCCCCGGCTGTGAGAAGACATTCAGGAAAACGTCGCTGCTCAGAGCTCACGTCCGGCTGCACACCGGTGAAAGGCCCTTCGTCTGCAACTGGGTTTTCTGTGGGAAACGTTTCACACGCAGCGACGAGCTGCAGCGGCACGCCAGGACGCACACAGGTCTGTCTGCTGGAGACACAGAAACACACTTGTAAACACACACAATGGCATACATCATCTGGATCACTAATGTGAACCCTCATCCTGAAGTATAGATGGGTACTTGATGAATTGTGAAACAATTAAATGCGGTTAATTGTAGTAGAGAAAAGATGTGTTTGAGGTATTGTCATTTAAAAACGGTATCAATAATACATAGTTCATTAGAGAGCACGGACAAGTTTATTTTTACGCTGTAAAATTTTCCAATCAACTTTGGCTGGACCAGAATATTCGAACATTCGATCATTGGGTGCACATTCGATTTTCAGTTATGAGATTCTAATATTGAGTTTTCTTTCGCGTGCCGACCTCCGCTCACAGCAGTGAATGTAACGCTCCAGTTCACATCAAAGGGAAAACAAAGCGAAGCACTCAGCTGTGTGGGAGCACTTTAAACTGAGTGATGATAATTATAGTGTGGCAGCTATGGCCTTTATTAACTTTACAGTTGCTTAATTTAATTACGATTCAAAACAGTCAAATAGCCTACAATTTAAAGTTAATCATTAAACTGTCGGCTAATAATTTAATGACAAACAACAACATAATGAACACATTTTTATAATTATTAGGCCGATTGTAGAAGAAGAACATTTAGTAGGCCTTTGCTATAATAAAAGTTGAAAACAAATTTTGCACAATAATATGTTGTTATTTTCTGTTACTGGAAATCCCGTCTCTCTGGATCCCTGCCCAGCTAAACTCTTCCCGTATTCTGCTCTGGACCTGCCCAGATCAGATTCTCACACTCTGAACTCTGAAGCTATGGTGTCCCACCTGCTCTGTACAGCAGCCACCAACCTGGTTCTGCAGCATCTAGTCTTCCTGTCCGCCTTGCTCTTCCCGGGCTTAATCTCCGATAGCCCTTCCATCCCGCAATAAATATTTCTCTTTTATCTAACTCCTCCCTCTCTCAGTCCTGCACTTGGGTCTACTAGGTTAGCTGTAACAAATTTAAAAACGAAGTTTCGGTAATAAAAACTTGCTATTTTAGTACACGCACACACAGACAGACTTCCCCACCCATGCCAGCCATTGTCTCTCCCCCATCTGATTCTCCCTCACTCATGTCATTGCCAGAACTTCATGGGCATTCATTCTTCTTCTGCTGTTCTGCTTCTGTATATGAAATACATAGCATTAGCTCGTGAAATGACAGCCTGCTTATCAGACGTCTAAACAATCGGTGAACTTCTCTTGTACTAGCATACAACTGAGTTTTGTAAAATGATAACATGACACTTTAGTCCTCTGCTAGTACAATGATTGTATTATTGATTTATTGCCCAGCACTAAGTAAATGCTTTTATAAATATTTTTAGTTTTGTTGTGTTGCCCCAGGTCTCTTAATATTTGACACTACATTTGACACTAAAAACATTACCCCGTCGCTTTCTTCTCGTTTCTCCCACAGGAGACAAGCGCTTCGAGTGCAGCCAGTGTCAGAAACGCTTCATGAGGAGTGACCACCTGACGAAGCATTACAAGACTCACATAAACACCAAGAACCTGTGAGCTGCCTGTGTATACGCAGACAAACTCTCTTAAACTAAAGACTGTATTAGAGGACGGAGGGGCAGAGGAGACGATACCAAGGGAGTGTCTGTGACTTATCCCGTAATGGTAAATACTCCAAAAAAAAAGTCCCTTTATGCCCTCTCACTCCTCTAGGACACTGTAGCGTGGTGTACAAAGAAATTCTTCAAACTGATCCAGCAAATCTATTAATAATAGTTTATCTTTGTTTATTTTCTCTGGTCTGAGCGGAGACCAGAACCATCTCTTGAGACAGTGTTGAGATGGCGAGGCTTCTGTCACAGATGCTTAACTCTGCTTGCTTATTTATGAACTTCTCTGGTGGAAGAACGTACACAGAATTATTCAGACGCCGAAATCAAGACCCCAGGACTCCGGTCACAGTTTCCCTCTCTTGAGTTCTCTGCTTGGTTTTCAATTTGTTTGTTGTGGAACATTGGAAACTCACAGAAATTGGCTATGAAGCACCAAAAAAGGAAAAAATTCAACACCATGTTTTGTAAATTTAACAGACATTTGTTTTACCTCAGTGGAATGGTGATTTTGTTTTAAGCTATTTGGGTTTCAGCAGGAGTCTCTTCTGATATGAAACCTGTATACCCCAGAAAGTTGGGGGAAACTCTTCTTACAAGACTTTTGAAATCCTTTAGAAGGAATTGGCAATTTTTAAAGTGTGTATATGGATACTAGTATACATAAAATTAATAATGATGATAAACTATTTATAACATTTTTCCATACAATTATTACAAATTGATTTACAAAGAAGGTATTTAGAAAAGCTTGACATAAAAAAGGAAACTGAATGAGACAAAGTTAAAAACAAGAGGCGTAACACTTTACAGCAGAAATACCAAGAGGCTGTAAAATGAACATTATAGTTCAAGTTTGCTTTAACGGTACTGATCGGGCTGGCCAGCAGAGCGATCCAAGACCTGGCATCTCTGACGGCAGTTTGAGATGCAGTCACTTAGCTGCCAAGACTTCGGAACAAAAGAGCAGCACTTCAGGCTGAGCTCAGGCATGGAAGGGGTTTAATATGCAGCTCAGGGCCTGAAGTCACTGTGCCTTTAAAGTTTTCATTAAAATCCATTTCCAAACAAACAAAACATAAGACGTGAGAAGAGCTGCTGAAATTTGAGTAGTACAGTGATGTCTTGGTGAAGATCCTGACTCTTGCTGGAAATATAGTGGTCTAAATGGAACAAGAAGATAGGATGGTCAATTTCAACATCAGCAAAGGCTACAAAAGTCATGTTCTTGCTTAAACTGGGAGAGGCAAGACTAAACATCTTTGATAATTAAAACAAATTGAATGTCATACTTAGTAAAGCTTAGTAGGGTTTCAAATATTGTCTCATGTATGGTTGATTTGAGGGCAGGGGAGACAGCTTTTTTAATTAATTTGGACATTCTGAAAGGACATCAATGAGGTTTTAAAAGGACTAGAGTTTCCCATTTTTAGCGGTACATCAAATGCTTATACTGTCAAAACAACTGTTATGGTTAAGCACAATGTCACAGTTGGAGAATAATACAGGACCCAGGATTGATCCCTGTGGAACACCAGGACAGAGAGCATTTAGATTTGACCTGCCCTACCAAATTTTCTGAGCGATCAAACAGTATGTTGTGTTCATATCAGCCTATGATATGAAAATATGATCCCATTCAACATCTCAGATGATTGGAGGATTCTTCAGAAATGCTTATTACAGGTGGTTTAAGAAACTTATGGGAGTTTATAGACAGTTTTAATTATTTTTTTTCTGTTGAGGTTTGACAGCTTAGTCTCTTTTATCAATGAGTCATGTACCGATAACCTGTTCAAGCATGTTAGTCTGGATGACGTCCAAACAATAATGAAGATTTCCCATATGAGTCTATGTATGCTACCTATAATGCTCTACCATTAAGAGAGGTACTGCAAAAACTTTCTGGAGAACATCTGGTGTTGTGAAGGGTGGAGATGATAACAGTCCAAGAGGTTTTTAAAGTTTGAGAAGTAAGGTCAAATAGGTCTTTTGAATCTCCAGGTGTTAAGGATGTAATTCAGTGAAATATTAGTGATGCGAGGAGTCGATCACCCAGGTGATAAACCTGGTCACTCCAGGTCGCATGGTTGGTTGTCCATCTTGGATACCACAACAGGTACGCTTATGTCTAGGGCTGGGTATCGAACTTCTTTTTGGTGCTGACCAGTACTGAAATGTGTCCTTAGCACTGAGTATCGAAGTATTGAGAGTTGGTGTCGAATGTTTGGCCAGATTCACAATGTTTACTTGTTCTTTTATCACATAGTCCCTGATTTTTTTAGATCTTTTTTTTAATTCTGTTTTAGACATTTTTTTATTTAGGTCAAGTTGTTGAATGGCTGTGTGTGTTTAGATAAAATTTAACATAAACTTAACAACTTCTTTTGTTAACCTAAAGGGTTTGATTGTCGTTATGATGTATATTTGAGAAAATATAAATAAATTAAGTGTAAAGTAAGGTATCAAGAAAGTACGATTTTGGTACCTGTACCAAACGATGCCCAGCCCTACTTACACTATGTGTACTGATAAATAAGAGCAACTAAATTCCAGGGTAACTCTGCTGTTCTGCTTTACTTAATGTATAATTTTGATTTGATGATTTAGAGCCTATGCATTGCTGTATATATGATCAGATTTGCAATTATTTGGCCTGACTTGACAATCACGTCTCAAGATGGGGAAAAAAAAAAAAACTTTTTCTCAGGCCTTCGATCAATTTCTTTGTACATGTTCCAGCTATGTGATAGCTTTAATTCTGAATTAACACTTGAGAAGTTTTTGTAGATATACAGATGACCAGCATTAGGCCTACTGTACAGTATTAACTCAAGTTACTTTAATATCTTTTGCTTTACAAAACAACATACAGTAAAAATATTGACCTTTCAGTAACACGTCATGAGTGAGTTTGAACTCTGAGCTTGTATGAGAGTTCCTTTCATTTAAGAAATACGCAGACTTTTTTGTCAAATAAGCTTTTTGGTCAAATTAGCGTGGTGCCATCAGACAGCAGGTAGTGTTAAATTGTCTCTGTGGCGTGTTTTAATACTGTGACATACATGTTTAATGGATGGTGCTGCCTTGCTAAACATTATCCAACAACGTCTCTGTACACAACAGAGAAATTTGACCAAAAAGCTGAAGTCAGATTTATTTTTAAGGCACTTTGAACCAGTTTCCCTCAAAGTGCTTCACAGGAGTGACAGATAACGTAAAGCTTAGGTGGCCAATATTTGGTGTATTTTTTCAAGAATGTGTTGAAAGACATGCAATGCCATTGGGATGGGTAGACAGAGCCTGCTCATATTTATGTTTTTATTTCTAAATATGTAAGTACAGTGTGTGTCTGGTAGACACGCAGATGTAGGATATTAGAAAACAAAAGTTACGCTGCCTAGTGTTGTGGTTGGCGTTGCCAGCCCTGAAGGAAATGGACTTTGTACAGTGTGTAAGGAATAAAATATAATGTGACATTGTATAGCTTCATTCCTGCTTTGTATAAAACTTCTAGATCTTTTTTCTATTGAATTAAAGATGCCTTAGACAGCTGCACCCAGTATTTAAAGAGGTTTTTGTTCTCTGTCTAATTCCAGGTAACTACATTTGTAAAATTCCTTTTGTGTTTTGTTAACTTATATTACATGCTAATGTAATGTGCACTGATTTAAAGTCCCAGGTTCCAAAATGTGTAAATTTAATCTAGATTGTGATTAAATATAATGCGATTTTCTAAATTAAGATATTTCTGTTGCTTGGTTTCTGTGAATTAAATGCTTCTCCTTCTCCAAGTCTACATGTCATATAATGTTCTGCAGCCAATTCTTGTGTTTATCAGGAGAACCAAGAGAACCAGCAATTAATTTTATAACTTGTATAAAGGTGCTGAAACATAAAGTTTGCTCCTTTTCTACATTCACCCCCCCTCAATAAAGAACTCAAACTGCTTGCTGCTTCTATTTTTTGAAAACACTTAGTAATTAAGTAATTTATCAACACATAATGTAGTCCTTAGTCTGGGATTTTTGTAAAAATGCAAGATATTAGACATAGTGAAGATTAGAATGAGAAACAATCAGTCTTTATATGTCCCCTTGGGGAAATTTGTTTGCAGCACAATCAGAAAGCATCATCACGACACAGAGACACCAACAGATATACTGATGCACTTACCCTGCACCTTGCCACAGATCAGAGGCCAGACCAGCTGAATATCCAGCTTGTTTTACTGTATATGGATTACCTGATTACCTTCATGTCTTGTGGCACAAATTAACAATTTGGTGTATTTTTAGTGAATAGAGGGATGCAATTTGGTCGCCAAGAGGGCAACAGTTTATATGAAGAGGCGGAGGTGTCTCGTCATCCACAATGTTATTTTTCTTATTTATCATTCTTTTTCTATAGATACTTTACATACTTGGTAACTTAATCCCTAATAGTTTACTGGTGGTTGTTACAGTTTTGTCTTTTTCTGTGCCTCAGTAACATTGCCAAACCAATAGATGATGCAGAAGGCCAAATCACTTTCAAAATAAAAGCACAATAAAACATCTGAAGCATGTTGTTGTGGACGTGAAAAGATAACATTGCCTTTAAAAGGTACATTCGTTGTTGTGTCTTAGAGCATATGAAGTCAGACCACAGATCACATTCTAGTTTTCCATCATTGTCCCTGCTGTTTAAACAGACAGTGGTGGTATGACATAGTTCAAGGAACAAATATCAACAAATTAAGACGTTTTCTATTAATTATTGTGGAGTTATCTTGTGGAAGGAAAATATGCATTTAATAGATTACCTCTGTGTCATTGTCAGTGTACCAAAAGAGAAATGCCCAGCTGTCAGAAAATATTTGAGTTAGAACAAAAATGAGCACTCTTATAAACAGTTGTTCATTCTATAAATTAGGCAATTACTCCTGCATCCCTCATTATTAATTTTATTACTTGCAATTTTTATTACTACTAATATTAAAAATGTATTTGTGATTTTGTATTTTATTTTACTGTATGTATGTCTTTTGGGTATGGTTGTACATATAAGCCATTGTAGTCTTCTACCACAACCTCACATGGACACAAACAACCCATTAACATCCAATGACATATGTCATTGTAGAGTCTTCAAGATGTTTAAGATGGGGAAACTGTTGTATAAAACCGTTTAGGGACATAATTTTTGTTTTTCCAGTGCAGTAACATTAACCTTTAAACCATTTTTAATTGAACTGTGTCAGCAATTTAATATCCAAATTCCACAAACATAAGTCCACACTTTTTAGATGTTGACAATTACTTTAAATGAAAAATAAAAAACAATCTTTAAAACTGTGTTATTTTGCCTTTAGTGACCTGCTGCTTTGATTTTATTAGTAAAAATGTTGTGACATTTATTTTGAAAAGCTCGTAGCTTGCGTCATCAGAAATCGACAGGAGTATTTTTTGCTAGCTAGATGGATGGAAGCCGGTAATATGCGAAGGTTGTTTATTTTGATTATCTTGCATTAGTTGTGTTGTTGAGTTATATTTAGCAGTGGTCTATCGCGTGAGGGTTTTATTTTACATGATATTTGTGTTCGCGGGTCGGTATTTTGTTAGCTAGCCTCATTTGTTTACATCCAGCTGGTAACTGTCACCATCAGGAAACTCCCTGATCTTGTTTTTCCTGCTACATGAGTGTTTAAACATCAGTGCTAAAACACATTTATGATGGAAAATGACCAACAAATTGAAGTGATAATCTGAAGTATGTCAAGTTCGTTGCTGAAGTATGTTTGTCTTAGCTTGTAACCCTGTCTTCTTCCCGTGAAAGGGTTAAATGTTGATGGTCTCTTGTATTTGTAGACTTTACATTTGGACTCTTCTAACTCCTTTACAGAAGAAGGAACAGGTCATTTTGGGGGAAAATCTATTTAAATGTAAAAGTTGCCATTGTCCAAATAAAACTATTAAAAGCATCAGATGCTGTAACGTTATATCTACTAACGTTACATAAGAAGCTGCAGGATTTTATCACAGGTCTAACTAAAAAAACATGTAGTCAACCAAAGAGAATTTTCTTTTCGTCTCTTACATTCTCAGAACAAAAATCTGTGTCATTGTATAAGGTTTTCATAGTTAAACACAACAATATACTGTGTGATGTTTTAAGGCACCTTTAGGGAATAAACACTTAACCGCTTACTCAAATCTGAACATTTCAGAAAAGACTGAGCAATACCAGTGCCGATTGATTAGTCAGCTATTAAATTAACAGGCAACTATTTTGATAATTGAATAATCGGTTTGAGTCATTTAAAAAGAAAGACAACATTCTTTGATTCCAGCCTCTTAATTATGAACACTTCGGTGACCTGAACTTGTGGACAAAACAAGACATTTGTGGACATCATCTGAGGCTTTGGGAAAGACTGATCGACATTTACCATATTCTGACGTTTTATAGACCAAACAAGTTCTAGATCCACCTAGAAAATAAGCTTTTAACCCAGCATGAGAGCTGTCTGGTCTTCTCTTGTTCCCTTTCAGACTCGCTCGTCAGGGAGATCCTGCTGTTTTCAATGTGCTGGCTAGAAGAATAACTAGCATCTCCGTTATCTCTCTCTAACAGCCCTCTTAACCTTTACAGTTACTAATTCAAATGGTCTTTTTGCTCTTCAGATGTTTTCTAGAATGACGGCAGTCAAATAGGAGGAGGAATGATGGACTTCGGGCCAGCAGAGCTGGTCGCAGGCCTCTGTCATACTGACCAGCAGAATCCCTTCCCTGTGTGGCAGAATGGGCACATCAGCCCCTGTTTTAACCAGCTTGTCCTCGGAGCCTTGCCTCATGCGGGGATGGCCATTTTCAGTGCCTGCTACCTCAGCATGGCGAGGTAGGTCGTACCTGTCTGATATCATTCACACCATAGTGATCATTATTTTGTAACCATGTAAATATTAGAGAGCAAAAGTAGTTTTTCAATTGCCAATGCCGACATTGATATAGAGAGCAGGGTGGCCGATATATAATGCCGATATCAAAATAAAGAAAAGTCATGTAAATGACATTATTCCATGCAGAGTACAATCTAACATATATGTTATCTCGGTTAGTAATGTGTTTTTTGTGAATGAAACGGAAACATAAATTGGGTTCTGCTGCAGATTTGCAGAGTGTGACTCGTGTTTAAGGGAGAGCGGGGTACAGTTTGTCAGAAGTGACGTCATTCAGCTACATTATTCTTTACAGTACAACAATATATATTTAACACTAACCAGAAATGGTGTAAGATTGTGCCTGATCTGCTGTCATTAAGGATGATATATTTGCCTCGTGAGTGCAGGTATGCACCATCTTTGTAAATGCAAAACAAAAAACTAATTTGCATTTACAAACATTAACAGCGTCTAACTGTATTTGTCAGATGTGATCATGGACACCAAAATACTGAGAAAGATCCTAGAAGATTACTTGACCCTCTCTCCTGTTCACATAGTGTAAACTGAAGATTGAAAATGATAAGCCATCATGCACAACACTTACTTTCCACAGGCAACTGTTACTGTCTAATAGATTTGTGGCTAGAAAAGAAGAACTGGGCAGCTCATACATCAAAACCTGAAAATTATGCTGTACTAAATAGAATAATATCAAAAAAGAGCTTTGTGTGTTTGCGTTTAGTATGTCTTAGATAAATATTTTAACATAATGTTTGTGTAACTTGTAGGCATGAACAACATATCACTGACATATGTATTGCCCTGCGTTAGATGAGAAATTAAAGCCTTTTTAGTCTTCACATTACAGCAATTGCAAAAGGAATGTTATTTGTTATTATATTAGTATTGGCCACAAAAAAGAAAACAATCTGTAATTGTTATCAGTCCTGAAATATCATATCGGCGCTTCTCTGTTTCTGCTAGATCCAGCCTTCTCCAGACGTCTCCTCCCTGTGGTTGGACACTCAGGTTGGTGTCCACTCTGCTGGCTGCGCTGCTCTTCACCGCAGATGTCATCCTGGTGAGCCTCCTCCAGCAGGCGGATGTGTACCTGGATGTCCTAGCTGACAGCTGTGCCATCCTGGCCTGGCTGGTCCACTTCAGTGCCATCGCAGTGCTCCAGAGGACTGCTTTCAGGAGAACCAGAGGACCTCCACTGCTGCTTCTGCTGGTTCTTCTGTCTGTCCCAAACCTGGTCGTCACCTTGATGATTAACTGTTTCAATCAGGAATATTTGAACCTCAGAGAACCTCTTAAATTGGCTCGTTTTGTGCTTGTCTCAGCCCGAACACTTCCCCTATTAGTTTATCTTCTGGCATTTGCATTTCCCTGTGTCAGTGATGCTGGATATACTTTGTATGTCAACGCTGTGGATGGATCCCCACTCATCCCAGAGAGCACCCAGACGGAGACAGGTGAGATGGTGGCCGAGGATGGGAGCGGTTGCTTCTCTCGCCTCTTCTACCTGTGGTTGACCCCTCTGCTCAGACGAGGGCAGCGAGGGGAGCTGGACAGACCAGCTGATGTTTATCACCTCCCTCGGAAACTTCGGACTAGTGTGGTTTGTCGATACTTCCACCAGTGCTGGGAAGCCTGCCGACGAGGGGCGGCAGTCAGTAACGGGCAGGATCAGTGGCCCAGGCCGGTCAGCAGAAACCTCATGAGTGGCACCTGGAGTTCACACTACCAGGAGGAACCACTGGAGCTGGAGGGAGATGTAGGACTGCTGAGGGTGCTGCACAAGGCATTTGGTTTGTGGTACTACATCCTTGGTGTGCTAAAGGTGGTTGTCAACATGCTGGGCTTTGCAGGTCCGCTGCTCCTCAGCAGTCTGGTGAACTTCATGGAGGACGAGGGAGCTCCAGCCAGCACGGGTGCCTGGATCGCTTTAGGGCTCTTTGCCACAGCTCTTCTCTCTTCCATCCTCCGAAACATATTCGTCTTTGAGGTCTCCAAGGTGGCGCTGTCAGCACGCGCCACCCTTGTGTCGGCCATCTATGGCAAAGCCCTGCGGGTCAGTGGCAGCAGCCTGGCTGGCTCCACTCTTGGAGAGGTGGTGAACTTAATGAGCACGGACACCGACCGGGTGGTCAACTTCTTCAGCAGTTTCCATGAGCTTTGGAGCATGCCCTTCCAGTTTAGCATCACCCTGTACTTGCTGTACCTACAGGTGGGTGTGGCTTTCCTCGGAGGGCTGGGTGTGGCGCTGCTTCTGGTGCCGCTCAACAAGTTCCTCGCTGTCCGTATCCTTAGCAACAATAAACACATGCTCAGGTACAAGGACAGTCGTGTGAAGGTGAGAACTGTTTCTACATACACCTGCTATTACTTTGGCCGATTTTGAGTTATGACATAACTTTGAGTTATATCACCATATTTTATGTGTCACATATGATATAAATGTTTTATGGGTTGCAAGCATTAAATAATTATAATATTATTTATTTTTTATTTATAATCAATCACGTTCATTTCCAGTGAAATCAACTTTGATCTTAAACTTGGTGGTTTAATGTTATACCTCTCTCTCCCCTTCTTTTCTGTCACCTTGAATTAAGAAGAAATACTTAAAATTACCAAATGAAGTGTTGCAAAAAGATCAGCCTATATATAATTATCAGATTTTTTTAAAACTCAAAAATATCAGCTTCAGGCTCAGAAATCCAGTATTTGTTGGGCCAAAATCCATATATATTATCAGACTTTTATTAAAATAGTATAATTGAATAGCAATTTAAAACACTATATGTGATATATGTGTGATGTTTACCAGAATACTATTAAAAAACTATTAAGTCACATTGTCCATTGCAGGATTCCTCTCACTCCCTATTGTCACTGTCCCTAGATATAGATTGTTCTCTTAATTTGGACTTTTTTTCTCTTCCAGTTAATGACGGAGATCCTCTTTGGTATTCGCGTCATCAAGTTCTACAACTGGGAGCCTCATTTTTCTCAGAAGGTAGCCAACTATCGTAAGCAAGAGCTGTCCCACCTCAAGGCCATCAAGTACCTGGATGCCATGTGTGTTTACACCTGGGCTGCTTTGCCTGTCGTCACCTCCATCCTCACCTTCGTCACGTATGTGCTGCTGGGACACCAGCTGACTGCAGCCAAGGTGGAGAAGCTTTTTGAGATGTTTTGAAATGTAACTGTGTTGCTGCTTTTCTGACGGTGTTGATGAGCTAGGGGGAAATGTGGAGATTTGGGGCAGTGTGTTGTTTTGAACAGCAGTAGTTTTCAGGCTTCAAGTTTCTAGAAATGTTTCTTTTGACATGAGAAATAATGGCTAACAATGCATTTGAAATGCAGCTTTTGCAGGTGTGAATTAGTTTAATAAGTTTTTTGCTGTCTGTGTCTTGTTGATTTAACCCAATCATGATTCAACCTAATGGAAGTTTATGAAATGTTTTTCACACTCTGTGTTTGGTCTGACAGTCTTTTCCATTAAAGCTCCTCTGACTCATAGAAAGTGCTGCAATATACGGTTACTGGCAGCAGCAAAAGTTTATTTTGAATAATAATATGAAAAAATCCGAACAGAAAAAAACAGAAAAATGAATTTATTGAAAAAGAAAATAGTAAAGAAGGAATTTCTTTTTTTAATTGTAATGCAAGTTGTAGTATGTTTGTTAGTTCAGACTGAGTAGGTAAAATCTTCCCCTGCAGGTGTTCACCACGCTGGCTCTGGTGGGTATGTTGATCACCCCACTCAACTCTTTCCCCTGGGTGCTCAACGGCATCCTGGAGGCCAAAGTGTCTCTGGAGCGAATCCAACGTTTCTTCAAACTGACCAACCAGGACCTGCAGGCCTACTACGCCCTGGGTAGGCTGCTGCTGTGAAGTTTGTGTGTTTATTCAATGACCCAAAACAGGTTATAGTATTTATTTGGTCCCATGCAGTTGTAGGCATAAAAAAATTTGATGTGAATGTAAAGTTCCACAGCATTTTGGCATTTTCTGCCTTTTTTATTTGCAACTTGAAATAATTTATGGATCACCATATCCTGTTAAATTATATTATTTTAAAAGGGTTTTTAAGTAATGTTCCCTAAAAACAACATTTTATGAAGTATTTTGTACAACACAAGTTAAACTTTCTGCCTTTTTCGAAAGTTAGGAACTGTTATTGTAATTAAATATCATTATATAATAATATATATTTCCATTGGGCTGAAAGTTTCTCCTGACGACAGCCAGACATCGGTCCTGTTAAGCCAGGGGACATTTTCCTGGCAGGGGCCCGATGGTTTGAACCAGAACAAAGAGGGAGAAACTGAAACTGGAGCCGCTAAAGGGAGTCTGATGCTGCAGAGTCTCAATCTACAAGTGACCAAGGTACAATCTGTCTGTTTACACGTAGAGTAGATATGAATTGCTTTGTTTCATTCACGTTCTCTGTTCTTTATAATTCCTGATGTTCAACACGCCAGCTAAACACAGTGAATTTAAAAGTCTAATTTAAATTCAATTCAAATTTCCTTTCAAAGAAGAATCAAAACTACAAATGTGCTCAGACACACAGAAAGTCCTGTATACACATTTATTAATCTTGTCCATTAGCAACATATGTACAATATAAATAAAACTGTGAAATTACGATATTAAATATTGTATTTTCTTTCAAAAAATACTTTTATGGAGACCTAATTACTTTGCAGTTGTTTTGAAATGACATTTGTACACTGTATGTTGTACACAGGCATGACGATGACAGACATAACAGGCAACTGATGAATGAGTGCTTCAAATTCAATTTAAGTCTAATTGAACTATTGGCCACCTGAATAAAATATATTTTGTTCATGTGAAAATAGTTTTTTATTTGCATTTTGCCGCCAGTGTGTTGGCAGGTAAGAGCAGTAACGGTGATGACTTCTGTCTGTTCAGGGCTCTCTGGTTGTTGTGGTGGGGAAGGTCGGCTGTGGGAAGAGTTCCTTACTGGCTGCTCTCACTGGAGAACTCAGCAGGTATACCGGCTCTGAAACTTTAACACATTCGTATTGACGTTTGCTTGCATTGTGGAGATCATGTTATCCGAGAGAATTTAAGGGAATTTGTTGTTTAGGGAAGTAAAGGAGTATAAAAAAACCTTACGAATTAATTTACGTGAATGTTTTGTACACATTCACTACATTAGCTGATACTTTTCATCCTCTCTGTATTGGGAACTAGGTTTGTCTGTCCTTCATAAAAGCATCTTTAATACATAAGGAAATAATAGAACTTTTAGGTCTTAAAAAAATCCAGGTTTCTCTGTTCCCATGTTCTCATAAAACACACATTATCAGAATCCAAGAGTCCTTGATATCTTTCACATTCTTGGATGATGATTACATAACTGGGTATTTCACTTCCTCCTGTCTGTGCAGGCTGAGTGGAGTGGTATATGTTGCAGACAGAGAGGCGGGTTTCGGTCTGGCTTCTCAGGAGCCGTGGATCCAGCACGCATCAGTACGGAACAACATCCTGTTTGGCAAAGACTACGATCCCCCCTTCTACCAGGCTGTGATCGAGGCCTGTGCTCTCTCAGACGACCTCAATGTACGAATGCTGCACCTTTTTATATATCTGTTTTTTTTACTGCTTCTTACCTTAAGTATCTCTACACAATACTTATTGATTCTTTGGGTTGCTTGCAAGGCAAGTAGACACATTAAGCGGCCTAAAGAGCCAACGGCAGTCTGGTCGATCCAACACGTTAGTCCAGAGTGACACATCTTTAAGACAGAGATCTGTTAAATGTGGATATTCATGAACCCAGACTGATTGTAGTGACCCTGTGGCCTCTTCTATCAACTATCTGATCAAATATCTCCTTTATCAACATTTGGGGTCAATGCATATGCATGTTATGGATTACATGCATATGCATTGACCCCAGAGGATTAATTTTTATTGTTCATTGTTTTTTGCTCAATAGACCTTCCTCTTCAGCTAATTTAAGGCCAAAACAAAGCCTGACTGAGCCTGATATAATCAAACCAAAGTTTAGCTTTTTTAACTGTAAACAAGAGAGTCGTTATACAGTTTGTATAATCATTTAAAATGTGTCTTCAGGTTTTGCCAAATGGTGACAAAACAGAAGTAGGAGAGAACGGAGTGACGCTGAGTGGAGGACAGAAGGCTCGAGTGGCCCTCGCCAGAGCTGTTTACATGGTCAGTCCTCTGCACACACCAGCCATCTGCTTTGAGCACAGGGAGACATGGATGAGGTTTTACCAAACAAACAAGTGTTAGTTTGCAGAAAACGACAAAAAGGGATTAATGTACACCAGAATTTCATGTGTATATGGATTTATTTCTGTTGCATGTATTGCATTGTTTTTGTTCATTTTAAAAATCAGTAGTAACTTTTATACACATGTACGAACACGTCAGGCAGATGTTTAGATAGACTTTATAAGATTTAAAGTTAGCTAGTTAAATTGGCGGTTTGAGATGCCTTCCTGTTCAGTAGCCAAATGTGAACACTGTAAAACACGCCTCATAGTTTACAGATACAATAATAAAACCATAAAAAACACACGTATTTATGTGTAATCAGCATCCTTTAATTTTTCTGTCCGACCTCGCCACCTCAGGACAAAGACATTTACCTCCTCGACGACCCGTTGGCAGCGGTTGATGCCGACGTGGCCGAACACCTCATGAAGAAATGTATCATGGAGCTCCTCAGGGGAAAGACCAGAATCCTTTGCACACACCGCATAGAGTTTGTGGACAAAGCCGACATGGTGGTCCTCATGGATAATGGAACGATCATCAAGACAGGTAGAACCAAAAAACGTGGCAACTCCCCATTATAATGTGGTATATAATAAAGTGTTTTGTTTGTTTACTGCAGGGTAAAGAATGCTTTCCATCAGATTTCTACAAGTCAGATAGATTTTCTGTCAACTGAAGTTGCTAAATTTCAGAACCAATTACGATCATTTTGTAATAACTTGCTTAATTTAAAGGCTTTTACGTTCGTTTTGTGATAAATCACATGCATCACCAACAAGGCATCAGCCTCTTACAGCTCTTATAAAATTTCTTTTGACCCCATAGAAAGTAACAAACTCCTGGGAAAGGAAACAAGTAGCAACATCTTGAGTGTGCCTCACTGGATTATTCCAGTTTCAAAGTTTATAGACACTTTTTCTTGTTTGAGTCAGGGTGACTCCACTAACAAGCCCTTTCTTCTTCCACCTGCGCCGTCCTTTTGCTGTTAAACAGGCACACCAGCAGAAATCCTTCCTTTGGTCGAGGCAGTGCCAAAAAAACGGAAGAATGATCACAACATGAAAGAGAAAGGTATGTTCACCTGTTGGTCCATCCACCACTTTGGATGGATTGCCATCAAAATTAGTTTCACACATCACTGTTCCCCTCAAGATGAATTGTATTCACTTTAGTGATCACTTAAGTATCAATAAATCTCTATATATCTATCTATAATACTTAGGTGTATGACTTAATTCTTGCAAAACTAATGACTACACTTGTAAACATTATGCATATCACTGCACAAACTGCCATTGCATGTATTTGTTATTTATCTTCCATATTTTTACATTTTGTATTTATATAAATATGTGTAATATGTCTGCACAACACAAACCCGGAGTAATGCACATGTAAATATCTGCCATGTTGTTCTTTCTCTGCACATAGTTCTATTATTCTTTTAGAACTTGCATCTGTTTATTCCATAATTATATATTTTATATATATTTATGTCAACTGTATGTTTGTCTTCGTGTAGCACCTTATCACCCAAGCAAATTCATCAAACATGTAAAATACTACATGGCAATAAAGCTCTTTCTGATTCTAATTCTGACATTGAGTTTTGTGCAAATTAGAAAATGTTAGCATGCTAACTGCAGAGATGCAGGGCTGAAGAGTCTTTGTCTTGTTAGACATTAAATGTTGACTTTCACTTTTCATTAGAAATCTTGATAAAAAATAACTAAGACTTCCTCTTCGTTCTAAATATTTCATATGTTTAGAAAATTAAAATAAATCCTCTTCTCAGAGATTCTGGGTAAATTATCCAGTACAGGATCATCGTTCAGCCTCCTATTGACTATTTATCCAATCTGGTGTTGCAAACATTATTTTCACGGCCCTTCTTGGTTTTAACCAGATGGTGTGGAGCAGGAGGAAGAGGAGCCGGGCTCATCACCTGACCGATGTGTGGATGATGACCCCGACCTGTCGGTGGCGGAGCAGAAGCAGGTGGGCGGGCTGGCGTGGAGAGTTTACAAGACCTACTGGGTTTCTGTAGGCGGAGTGCTGGCTGCTTCCATCCTGATGTCTCTGCTCCTCATGCAAGGTTTGGATCGCTCGCTCGGCTTTTCAGCATGATCTGTGTATAATGATGACACTCCCGGTCATTTGAAGAACTCAAGGCTTTGTTCACACTGCAGCTGAAATGTTGTGATTCTCATATTTCTACTCAAATAGGAATAAGCCAGTTTAAGTTTATTTTATTTATTCATTATTTTATTTGTGAATGTCCATAACAGGTTTGTCTTAAAGGAATTTATAGAGATCAAGCTTAAGCAGATCTAAATAATCAACAACATTTATTTAAATATTTCTTGTAACACAAGGAAACAAACACAGACAAAATGCTTTTAGACTTCTTTGGTGAATGATAAATTCACCAGTTTGCATCAATCACCTCAGAACAGGTTTGGCATTGTCGCATCTTGGATTAAAGTCACAATCCCACATAAAAGGCTTGATGATATTTATTTTGGCCCTAAATCATCAGAACATTTGTTGCAACCTTGAAAGCAGAAAGAATTCACATGTTTTTTTTTTAACAACAAACTGCTGTTTGTTTGTTTTCTTGTTATTCAGCCTCTAAGAATGTTTCTGACTGGTGGCTCTCCCACTGGATCTCAGAGCTGAAAAACAACAACTCATCTAGAACAAATGTTTCTTCCTCCAGTGCCTTCAGCTCACCTCACCTGCTACTCTTCTCACCTGGAGGGTTAATGTAAGTTGTCCAATCAATAAAACATTTAATTGAATGTTTATTCAACATTTAATTACACAATGTGCAGAACATGGTCAGGTTGGCAATCTAGATGAGCACCAGAAGATTGCTTTAGAACACTATCACGTTTATATTAAACTGATTTGAGTAGTTCAGCACATTTGACTTTGATGTACCTGCATGATCATTTCTGGTGTTGTATCCACATGACTGAACGCATTTGAAGTCTCTTTGTGCTTTATTTAACACAAAGATTCAGGATGCAGTAACTGATGTTGATTTTGATCTCCTTCTGTATTATCTATATTCTGATTTTAAAATATATATATTTTTTAAATGCACATTTATAAGTTTGACATGTCATGGGTGTGATTTCCAAACACAACTCAGATTAGGCCGATAAGAATGTGACTTACTGAAACGTGAAATTATGTGTTTTTGTAATTTAAAGTAAGCCTGTTGTTGGTAGTGAATGAAGTGAAGTAATCAGGCCTTTATGCAACCTTATTACTGAAATCTATAATAAAACATCCACATCTACGCACCCAGGTCTCCTCTGTACTCCTCTCTGCAAACATCCCCTTCAAGCAACTTGAGCTCAGATGTCAAGTTTTACCTGACGGTGTACGGCTCCATTGCCGCAGCCAACACCGTCTTCACCGCCCTTCGAGCCTTCCTCTTTGCCTATGGAGCCATCTGCGCTGCGACTGTCATCCACAACAGACTTCTGGAGCGGGTCCTTAAGGTACGTCATCTGAGCTCTGAGCCATCAAGCGGCTGTCAGACTCCCCAGGCCGACCGTCAGAGCCAAGGCGAACAGATTGAGCGTTTATGTTTGGATGAAGGTTAGAGATTAGCTGATGTGAGGATGTTATTGAAACATAATCTTCCCTTAACCTCAAACGCCCAAGACGCATAAAGCAGCTAAAATTGATCACTTTCATATTTGCTTGTTAAATATGAAGCTGCATGCAGGAGACAGTTATCTTACTAAAAAAAGACTGGGGGATAAAAAATAACTAGCTCTGTCCAGAGGTAAAGGGAACTGAGAGAAATATTTGGATATATATATATATATATATATATATATATATATATATATATATATATATATATATATTTTAACTTCCTGTTCCTCCCCCAGGCCACAGTGACCTTCTTTGACACCACCCCAATGGGTCGCGTTCTGAATCGTTTTTCTTCAGACCTGTACAGCGTGGATGACAGCCTGCCGTTCATCCTGAACATCCTGCTGGCCAATGTTTTCAGTCTGCTGGGCATGCTGGTGGTGATAAGCTATGGCCTCCCTTGGGTCCTAGTGCCCCTGCTACCTCTGGCTCTGCTCTACCACCGCACACAGCACTTCTACCGACACACCTCTCGGGAGCTGAAGCGCCTGTGCAGCCTCACTCTGTCACCCGTCTACTCACACTTCTCTGAGACGCTGACTGGGCTGGGAACCATCCGGGCCAGCGCTAGCTCTGCCAGGTGAGAGGCAAGAAAGTAGACCCTTTCAGAGCCTGATGAAGATGCAGATACTGAAACACACATGTTGTGATGTAAAAATGAGCGCAACATTTTACAGTTGAAAAATAAGTAGTAGCAGTACTCTATGCTGGACAAACTAATGGTGACACTGTTTCAAAATGACCCCTAATTGAATTTCTTTACTGCAATTTTGTTGTTACTCATTGGCTCAAATAGATGCTCATAAAAAATATCTGTGGCCACTTATATCAGCCTGGCCAATTTATCTTGAGCTGATTTATAGTTTTCAGCTTTCATTTGTGCACAAGCTCAAATTGTCAGCAACATTTATATTTGGGAAAATTTTCCCAACATTTTAGACATTAGGCATTATTCTTTATAACAACTTTATGGGTATAAATTTGTTCATGTTTAACACATTATGTTCATGATAAAAATAATTATTATTCCTAGTACAAATTATGTGTCCCTACATGAATTGTTAGTTTTTTGCTATTTTGAGTAGTTATACATAAAAAAATACTTTCTTAGCGCTTAACTGTAAAAAAGTTTTTTCTTTGCATCACAAATACATAACTTTTGTGAAAGAGCAGGTCTAGACCGCACTTTGTGATATTATTTACAGAACCAACAATTCCCACCATGACAAAGCACTAGGAAGAGGCAAGGAAAAACTTCATTTTAAGAGGCAGAAATCTCGAGCAGAACCACGGCTCAGGGTGGGCGGCCATCTGCCTCGACCAGTAATATATCAATTAGCAAACCTAGTCAAAGACTACTGCACACTATCTGACGCTGCACAGTTGGACTAACTCTCTAAACACGAGACTAAAGGAATCCGTTTTGTTGTTCCAGGTTTGAGGAGGAGAGCGCCAGGCGTCTGGAGCAGAACCAACGCTGCCTTTTCCTTAGCAACGCCGCCATGCAGTGGCTGGACATCCGCCTGCAGCTGATTGGTGTTGCTGTGGTGACGGGCCTCGGGGTGATCGCTGTCATCCAGCACCAGTATAAATCTGTTGATCCCGGTGAGTCCGCAGCTGAGTTTGGTGGCTGTGCACCAGTATATGTATGACAGTCACTTTTATAACGTGTGTCGCTGGCTGTGTTGTCTCTGTCAGGTCTGGTGGGTCTGTCCCTGTCCTACGCTCTGTCCATCACATCGCTGCTGTCTGGCCTCATATTCAGCTTCAGCCAGACTGAGATGCAGCTGGTGAGCGTGGAGAGAACTGAGGAGTACTCCACCGGCCTTTCCACCGAGCCACAACACCAGAACACACAGGTCAGATCTACTGATGTTTCTGATAATACTGATAATTAACAGCAATTAAAGAGGGGGTTTTATGGAGGACATGAATTGTGTAGAGCAGGTTGGTATCCAACTGGTCTCAGACTACAGATTTGTCCTTGTCTTCACACAGACCATCTTAAAACACAATGAATTTATTTCCATCCATTCCAATCGACATCTGTGCTGCCCCTTTCATTTTATTTCACAAACTGAAAACTAAAATAACAACATAAAACCCCAGCAGCAAGTGAGAGAGGCGTAAAACTAACTGTTAAAAGTTATTGCAATAACAGTGACACCTCGTTTGAACTTATTCAGGCTACTAGAAAACAGCATCACATGTAAACAGGTGAGATTAAAACAACAGGGAAGTAAATGATAAAAAGAAAAAAATTGGAAATGGGAAATTGTACAATATAAAAATGACTACTACTTACTTGACATTTCAATGACCCACAAGTATTCCGACTAGTCTTTATGGGCTTGTGCAGTTAGAAATGTTGTTTAAGTTTTGTTAAAGCAAAAATTTAATCACATTTCCTGCTAGCGAGCTGCATTATGGCTTCCATAGGGAAACCATGGGTAAAATACAAGTAGACTCCCATATGATTTATTTATTTTTATAATGTAAAATAGCTTTAGGCTGATTTTCAGATATTTTTTACAGTATATGTAATAATGTGTCCCTTGTCGCCTCTGTTTCAACAGCAGTTGTCTCCAACGTGGCCCGAGCAGGGCTGGTTGGAGTTCCGCGGTGTGGTTTTGGCCTACAGGGACGGTCTTCCCAACGCCCTGGACGGGGTGAGCCTGGTAGTGCGACCTGGGGAGAAAGTGGGTATCGTGGGACGTACAGGCTCCGGCAAGTCCACCCTGTTCCTGGCCCTGTTCCGTATGGTGGAGCTCAACCAGGGTCAGATTCTCCTGGACGAGCTGGACATCAGCACCGTGGGCCTGGCTCAGCTCAGGTATGGCAGAAGTGCTGGTGGGCGTGGACGAGGATTTTATAACAAATTCTGAGCCAAAATGTGTCATTCAACACAGTTTAAGAGGTGAAGGGTTTCTACAGCTCCAGTTATACTTATTCTGATTGTGATATTGCTTTGTTATCACATCCTGGCAGGAGGGGGTTCACGTTTCTGTGTTCCATCCAAAGATTTCATCTATTTTCCCTTTCAGTTTTTTGTGTGATATACCATGTCCACTAAAAAATCAGAGAGAGAACTTACTTCCACTAAGGCTGCTCATTCCTCTAAATGTTAATTATAGAAAATGTGGAAATTAAATATTTAATCTGCTTCCGGATCCAGACATACATCAAAAACACTGGCCCGGTTTTCTTTCAGTCAAGTAGGAGCAGTATTTCATGAGAAAATAGTGAAACGTTTTAAAAATACACTAGAAATCTAGCAAAGGAATTCTTGGATCATCACTAAAATCTGATCACTTATGACTCAGAAACAGCAGGTCCGAGAACATAACTTACCCAGTGGAGGTGAACTTAAAATCACTCTATTATAATATGTATAAAGTTGTGAAAATGCACTTTGCGTTGTTGTTTTCTCAGTACATTAGACACATTTTCTTCCAGAAGGTATACTATGGACATGCAATACCCACCCTGTTTAAAGGGATACCTTGGGTTAGCCATTGTCCGTGAAGTGTATTACTTGCAGTAGATGGCATTAGCTGTAGTTTAATTTAGACTTTGCTGCTGTACAGTTTAATAAAAGCAGTCAGTAACAAATTAAACTTGACACTTTTGTGTGCGTATTGTGGTGGCGCCCTCTGCAGGTCCAGGTTGGCCATTATCCCTCAGGACCCCTTTCTGTTCAGCGGAACCATCAGGGAGAATCTGGACCCATGTGGACGCCACCTGGACCAGCAGCTGCTGGATGTCCTGGACCAGTGCCACCTCAGATCTGTGATGGATAGGATGGGTGAGAGACAGAGTCAGAGGAATTTAAATGCAATGAGAAAGTTGTTAAAGAGGTTTGTGAATTAAGGATGAGCAGAAGAGATGAGCGATGCTAATTAAGCCAAGGTGTGTCTTACAAAGTTCACCCCACCTTTCCTCATTCCTGTCACACGATCACCGTCAGTTACATAATGTTTCTTTTGGTTCAAAAGCCTTTATCTGCTTCGGAGAAAATCGATTGTCGATTCAGAACATCTGATGATCTAATCAGCTTAGTTTTACCGCAACATAAATAAACCACTTTGCTGATTATCCATTCACCTGTTTATGGTTTTGTTCAGCGTTGTGGAAGCTGGAGCTTCTGTCAGCATGCATTAAGTATACACCCAGGACAGGTTGCAGGTCTATCACAGGATGCATTGGTGGTTAGTTGCATAAAATCAAATTATAGGTACGATCTACTTGTCATCTTTGCCTCCTTCTTTTCATATTATTCTGGCAGAGGGAGAGACGGAGAAGAGGAGGCACTTTAGAGATGTGGTGGGATTTTGTTTTGGATGCAGTAGAAATGGCTGCTTTAATTTCAAGGCTCTATTAAGATTGTAATATAAGTATAAAAACATGATCTGCAGAAACCTCTGCAGCAGACTTTTTATTTTTTTTCCCATTAACTTTTTATTGATTCCATTCAGCACTGACATTTGGCATCTCTCACATCAAAAGCATGAATAGACAGAAATTCTCAATTAAACACAAGATTCAGTAAACTACAGAACTCCCAACTACAGGTCGCTACAACTCCCGTAGCGACCTTTCACTCCTGATAAAGGATAATGCCGAACACAATCTTGTGAACAGTAAACATTTGTAGCAAGAACCAAGGGGGGTCTCTGCAGCAGATTTTGTGTAACATCCTGTTAAATATGTTATGTGCTTCACACCCAGTTTCATCCATAAAGCTTCAAAGTGACGTATCAGTAGATATGAGACATGATGATGGTGTCAGATTCATATTACATTTCTAATGCCTTCTCTGCGTGTGTGTCAATGAGAAAGGTGGTCTGAATGCTGAGGTTGGGGAGAGAGGAAAATCCTTCTCGGTGGGACAGAGACAGCTGCTGTGTCTGGCCAGAGCTCTGCTGACCCAGGCCAAGGTGAGACGTCTTGTCTTGATCCAACTCATGTTGTTTTAAAAAAAGAAGTCAGTCAACAATTGGCGGGATTAGTTTTCCACACAACATCAGGTGGAGTTGTTTACTTCGCTGAGGAGTTGGAGGTGTGCAGCCTGTCACCTGCAGCTCTTAATGTAACAGCTCACTGTGTCCTCTTGTTCCATTACTCCATGCAATATTTCCTTGTTTTGTAGACACTTTTTTGACTTACAGTCACAGTCACAGTCACTGCTAGCTGAATGCTTTTAACAGGGAGCAGCAGCAGTAGGAAACGTTCAGTTTGCACTAGCAGTAACTTAATACAGTGATGAAAAGGCTGTAGGAGAATAAAGATCAAACAAAGTGGCTGATATCAATATGATTAAATCAACAAATCGCAACGCTGGATTACATGCTGCATAATTTCCTGTGTCCCTCGTGTAGAAGGGAGATTTGACACCACTAACTGCTAAAAATATAAACAACAGTAAATACATTGAGTGGGGGGTGATAGAGCAGTGGATAAGATGCCTTTGGTGTGGGAGACCCGGTTCAATTCCCCACTGTGACGCATCCCCCATTGTGTCCCTGAGCAAGACACTTAACCCCTAGTTGCTCCAGAGGTGTGCGACCTCTGACATGTATAGCAATTGTAAGTCGCTGTGGATAAAAGCGTCAGCTAAATGAATTAATGTAATGGCTGAGGCTGAAAAAATGCAGACTATAAATACAAATAGAACAAACTGGGCTTGACTTTTGAAAGGATTATAACAGAATGTACCGACACGCCTTTTTATTGTTATGAATGTGATTTGTTCTCATTATGAGAACCTGAAACTACTTAACCTGTTTAAAGGTGGTTTAACTTTCACACACTTCACACTGAGGACTGAATTACCTTAAACCTTTGTGTCTGTGGCTCTTAAGCTTCAAAAGATTCTTGACTCTGACAGTAAATCTCCACTTGCTCAAAGAAGAAACCTAAAATACAAACAAACGCTGTCTATTTTTTCAACACTATATAAATTCAATTGTGTCTCTTTATTTTTTTAGCAGCAGCACATGAGATAATAAACCTGGAGCCAGTTGTCAAAGCAACAATGGTGGAAGGAGCACACAATAAAAAAATTCCACTGCAGTTCAGTACAGGAACCCCTCAGTAAATGCGGTCGATGTGCAACTTGTAATTTTTGTTGACTGCAATGTCAGGGCCGATTCACAAAAGGATTGCACAGCTTTTGCTGCCACTAAACTTGCACAAATGATACAAAAAGTAACCGTCTAATTTTAAAAAGCAGCTTCAAATGGGGAAATGCAGTTAGGGAACTGCACTGCCAAGCAAATAGCACCTCAGTGCTCTGGTACTATTTGCACTTATGTAATATGCATACAATTGTCCCTAAATCAAAACCCTTTCTATGCAAATGAGCCTGATAGCAAATAAATGTTCTGTTCACAAACCGCAGCGCTAATAGCCACATGCAGTTAGAGTGAAATTATCAGCGTCTTCAGAGAGATGGTTGGTAACTAACTTTCAAATCAAACAATTTAAGATATGAGTGGAAAGTTTTGTTCTTGCAGCTGCATTTATAACATTTTTTGACTCAAATGTTGCTTAACCATGTCGAGCGATATACTACTTCAGTACACGCTGAGCTCCAAATGACAACACTGGAACATAAGACACTGTTTTCCCATCATGCAGGTCCTGTGTATTGATGAAGCCACAGCCAGCGTGGATCAGAAGACCGACAAACTGCTGCAGCAGACCATCAGAGAGAAGTTTCAGGACAAGACTGTCCTCACTATTGCTCACAGGTAAAAGGTTTTCTAATCCTGTCTATTTTTCTAGATGTTATATCATCATGGACAGATTAAACAGAATTAAGTTCACATTTCATGCTCTAGTCTTTATCTAATTAATTATCTCATTTTGCAATTGAAACCATTCATTTATACTCTTGGCTCATCTTTACATAAAAATTTGGGGTAAATAGAGGTGTTTTTGGCATGTTTGTGTCACTAGGATCAACACCATCATGGACTGTGACCGGGTGCTGGTGATGCATGCTGGAAAGGCGGTGGAGTTTGACACCCCAGCTGCTCTCTGCCAAAGTGACCACTCCATCTTCCACAGGCTGGTTGGTCAGAGAGGAGAGTGAGACGCTTAATAAGACACTGGCAAGAGGGACCTTATCAGAAAACGAAAGATTTATTTTTATTTTTTTATCCTGGAAAGGTTTGCTGAGAACTCACTGCCTGTTTCAGAACCGTCCCTTCATACATGTTTACGGCTTTTATTGCACACATTTAAAACAAAATAGTTAAAAAGCTCTTCCACTGTTGGAGCACAGAAGCAGTAATGCCATGTCCAGGCTACACTTTTGTTATTTTGTGCTGACATTTAGTTTATTTTAATTGATGACTTTATGCTAAACCAGCATTAATAGATTTTTTGCCTGCTTGATCTTATTTTTGGGGACAATTTATAACTATGAAGCAATACAGCTGCACTGCATATTGGTAAATCAACAAATCATCAAAAAATTTCAAATGTATTATTACAAGTGGGTAACTTTCTCTCTCTCTCTCTCTCTCTCTCTCTGGACTCTTCTTACGGAAGAAAGAATTTAAAATGTGAAAAGGGTCAAATATTAAAATGTATACTCTCTGTGAGCTGCTATCAAACATTAGGGAACACCTTTGCTCCTGGTCTTTTTATATTTTAACCCTAATTTAGGCGGTTAAGGAATTTACATTTACATTTATTAATTTAGCTGGATTCAAGGACACACATTGGTGGATGTGTCACGGGGGGTGGGGGGGATTGAACCTGGGTCTCTCCCACCCCTCCACTAAACCCCAGACTGTGGAATTATAATAACTGAGTAAGAAGTTATGCAAGACCCTTAGCTTCAGTTGTATAAAATCTCTGAATATATTCTCTTAAATTATGAAATTTATGTAGAAAAAATATCTGTGTACAGTTAAATGATATGTCAGATGTCACTGCAAGTTTAGGTGCCTCTTTCTGTAGTTGCAGTCAGGGATGAAGCAATATCAGCCTGAGATAACAGTCCAACGCCTGAATGAGTGATCTGTCGATTAGTAATCTGTTCTGTTCTCGACTTCTACGTTAAAGTGTGAGTTAATGATCATTTTGTAATCATCATAAAGTTTTCCTGTACATAAAGTTTTCCTGTACTTACTTATATGGTCGAATTATTTAGAGATGTTCTGTGTAAAATGAGGTTTAAATGAAGGTCTTTGATAAAGTGTTTTTCATTTAGATTTTTGCAGGTTTGGATTTTCTATTGGAACATAGATTTAGGGCACAGTTAACTGACCCTAGATCAGTTTGAGATACCTCAGCTCAGAGGCAAACCACTAAACATTGACCTGTTATAGCTGAAAGCATTGTTCAGAAGCTATCCGGTCAGATTTCAGTGTTTTTCACAGTACAGAGTACAGATTTGTACTGTATAATGTACCACTGCTAATAAAACCTCAGTTCACCATCGTCTTGATTTAATGCATCATTAGATGCAATTGACTGCAACATTTTTATAAATTATCTCAACACATTAGTCTTGGAGATCAGGAAATAATGACATACTGTATATTTTGGTGTTCCTCAAGGAAGCTGTTTTGGTCCCCTGATGTTTTTGTTACACATGCGTTTCTTGGATGATATCTTCAGAGAACATGATACTAGCTACTGTATGCTGATGATAAACAATTCTACATTTCCCCGTCTATCATCTGTAGGCACTCAATATGATGATATCTTAAAATTACATTTTATGGGAATTTTAAAGGCATTTATTAGCATTGCCGTAGCATATTATTTATTTTCCACTGAGGGTAAATTAAGGTAATTGGTCATCTGGCTCTGTATTGTCTTACATCTTCTTTTATGTTGTAATAAATAAATTCACTACTCATATGTATTATTTTAATAAACTTACAGGTCTCTTTTGCTACTAGTTTGTTAGATGGTCACAGCCATGCCCAAAATAAAACTGGAAATGGAGCTTTTATCTTAATATGCTCCTAAATTTCCTTAACTTTGGAACATAAAACACAAGAAAAGCTGAAAAATTTACATACATGCTTTTAATAATAGTTTTTTCATTTTTGATTTGTTCAGTTTTTTTTTTACTTTTGTTTTTCAGTTTTTCACTTTAATATTCAGTTTAATGCTTTTTGACTGGTTTGAACTGTTCACTCTTAACACGCAAAATATATACAGTTTTTCCACTTTAATGAAAAGCACATTAGCTGCATTTCATGAATATTGAGAGCCGTATACATAGTTAATCATTATTAGCATATTATTGCACAAGATCACAAGGTCAGACAGGGTGGCATTTGGGACTTCTGAATTCCCTGGTTAGTTTTCTAACCGTTATCTTTGTCACTTACATTTTTTTGGTAACCTCTTATCAAAACAAGATGCAAGTTTTCTAAGTGTGTGTTTTAGTATTTAAAACACAAGCTATTTTTTATAACCAGAGGGGATGTTTTTAGAATGAATTGTCTTCTCTGTGAATGATTTGCTGTCCTTCACCAGTCAGTCATAAAGAGGATTTGCTGTTATTGCCGGTGAAGAATGAAACTTTGTGGTGTGTTTGTCTTCTCTTGTCTCTCGTTCATATCCACCGTGTATCTGTTACAAACAATTGTGACTTCATTCACTTGTGACATATTTTTCTGAACTTGGGTCAACATCACATTGTCCAAACATGAAACCTCGCTAACAGTACATTTTATTCACCCTGACTGTTTTATACTGTATTTGGATATTTTACGGAAATAAAGTCTGTGAACTTGAGCCGCAAATAATGATTATTCCTGATTATCAATGATTAATTTTCTTATTCTTATCATAGAGCTTATCGCTTCAAAATATTCAATATACTATATAATTAATGTAAGACCAATAAAAGCAGATAATTCTCTCGTATGAGAACCTGGAACCATCAAATATTTGGCTTTTTTGATTAAAAAGTTAATGAATTTATTATCAAAATAGTTGCTAATAATTTACTTTAGATCAACTGATGGATTAATCGACTAATTGTTGCAGCTGTAATGTAACCTTTAATCCAAAATAAATTCAAATACTGGCTGGAAGAACAAATCATCTTTTTTTTAATGCACCACTGGTTTTCCTGAACAATTAGAGCCACCAAATACACTAGACAACACCCACTGTGCAATGTGATGATAGCTGATTTATTTAAGATATTTAAATGACTAATCATTTGAGGAGGATGTCTTGTTCGTTCATTTTTTGCTTTTGTCAACCATGTACTTTATAATTAAAGGACTCTACATAAAAAATAAATCTGTTTATTTGTAATAACTATTGTTGTCATACCTTGTTTTATTTCACCAGGTTTGCCTGAGAACAGAGTTGTTCTTATGTAATGTCAGAGCTCTGCTGCAGCTGTACCTTTACCGGTAGGATTATGTAATGTCTTTGTGAATGCCACTCAGCTCTCTCTTTTCTTTCCACCCAGAGTCACACAGACAGCAGTCTTTGTGACCAACAAGTGACTGTAATCAGAGTGACTCACACAGTGAACGCCTGCCGCTCCCTTGGCACAGGTCAGCATTTTTCATATGTTAAAGCACTTGTTGTGTTGCCAGGGGGAGTGTTTTGATTTATGTTTTTTTGCTCTGGCTTGGTTCCTGAAAGTCAAGGTTTCGACTACAATGCGGGCTGTAATATGTGTGTGTGTGTGTCTGTGTGTATTTAGATTGCATCTGTGTGCATGTGGGAATGGACGTGTTGATATATGGAAGAAAGCAATCAGAGGTTGAAGTTGCAGTATTGCTACTATTGTCTGCTGTGGTGTGTGTGTGCATATGAGCCGCATGCCAGTAGATGAGGAAGCCAAGCTGTGTATGCGTGTCAGTGTGTGTTCGTTTATGTCTGTTGACAGTTGCAGGCGGGTCTTTTAAGATGAAACCTGTTTGTCTTGCTTAAAGACCTGAGTGGCGGTCCTCTCCTCAGTCACATCCTGCCGAGCAAACAGCATGGACTGATAACTGTGTGCTGAAACCCGTCGCACAATTTCAACAACACACGGAGGTCAGACACCTGCCAAAACACCTGCCTGATGGATCCTGAGGTCAGTTTCATTTATGAATTTACTTTATCTTGTGATGCGCCTGGTACTTTAGGTGGCAGGTTTTGAGTGACAGGCATTTCAGGGGCCATCATCCAGGTAGGTTCTATCAGGTATCAGCTCCTGTACTGTTTATCTTGACTCCTTTGAGTCTTTTTTGTTATGACTCTTAGTGTGTCATGCTTGACTAGCAGGCAGTATGTGTCTATGAAAGGATTTATTTCTCTTTCTTGTACACAGTCTGTTTTTAGCTTTCTGCTTTTCCACTTGCTTTTTATTACAATCCTCTCATAATTAAAATTTTCTAAAAAAACCCCAAATTTTTATATTTACAAAGTCATGTCAGTTCATTTTGATGCACTTGGCATTGTTTACACTGGTCTACACCTTGATGTTTGTTCCCACAAGTTCTCTGCTGCTGCCAAATAACAGATGTGCTGATGGCTCACAATGTTGTTTTGGTAATGAACATTTTCACTTTTATAACTGCAGGCAGGTGCACTTCGGCTTACCCGTAAAATGTTTAATATGTTACTTTTTAAGTAGTAAATCAGCTCCTTCCTTTGCTCAGATGTCATTTGAAGGTGTGTAATATGAGCTTGATGTTATGATGATTGTTGTTATTTGGTTTCACACAATAAATACGAAGGCAGTAGATTGTATACAGTTTATTCATTAAACACATGATCAAAAACTACAAACTGATAAAGTATTTGAAACATTAAAATACTCTTATTTTAGAATAAAGGACAATTTCATAAATCATCTTAAGGGATTTGATTAATTAAATAGTGTCATGTCTTGTCATATAATAATATATTTGCCAAAATTCTTGGGGAGATTTTGTTGCTCACAGTTGTTGTGTCTGAATAAATGCTGAGTAAGATTTTTACCAAAATCTGTCCCCTCTTGAAATCTTAAATACCTGAAAACATATATTTCTGCTCTATATTTGACTATAATTTGACTTAAAAGGATGAACAAAATATTAACATTCTACATTGTAATTTTTTAATTCTTTAGCAAATAATACACTGATAATGAGATGATCCTGCGATAATTATCATAGTATTAATTTAGTCGTTATTGTCAGATCACATTGAATCCTTGTTGCTCTAATGGCGCAGTGATGCTGTGAGAATGGTGAAGAAAATCTGCATTTGTCGGTTTTTAAAAAATTATATAGATTGAATTTTACATGTGATCGCTAAGTACCATAAAATCTTACTTTAAATACTTTTATTCTGATTTGTAGAGTTGTAAAAACTATAGATGTGGAGGTGCATTAGTGTTTTGTACTAGAAAGAGGTGGGTGTGGTACTTTTGACTTTGTGTGCTTAGAAAAAGGAAACACCCAGCACAAAAACACTCTCCGCACTCTCGATAAACCTGTTCCTGGTTTTCATCAGGTATTGCCCAAGAGAATCAAGGCCATAACTCAAATACCTGAGAGATGTACCTATGGAGTTACATGCGTGTCACTTGTCCACCTGCAAGCAGTAAAACTCTTTGCGCTGACTGTTTTTTTAACAGTTGAGTAAAATAAATTTATCTCAGGTCATGTGACACATGCGAGAATTTCATAGTACATTGTATTTATTTTGGTCTAAATAAACTCTTAATATACTGAGAAAGCATGTAAAACATCAATGTAAACAATATTAAAACATACTTTAATGACCATTAATGTAAATTGTAATTTTCTTTCTTTTTTTTTTTTTTAAAGCTTTTAAAAATTTATAAAGATATAAATTAAATTTTTCCATAAACTGTTTTCTGTTTCTGCTGTCAAAACATTGCTTTCTAAAGGCATACCATTCCCTTTGTGTTTGTTGATTCTTGTAACTGTAATAAAATAAAACAATACCATTGTTTCCCATACATAGAATTTATGTAGTTGGTCGAATAGGTTGACACACCCAAAGGTTGTTTTATTATTTATATATTTCTTGTTCCCTCCTTTCAAATATCTGCTTGGAATTGCAGTTAAAACTGTAAACAATCATGTGCAACTGTATAGATTGAAAAAAATGTGATTCCTTCTTGGAAGTTTGTGCAAGAGAGCTGCAATGTTTTCTCTCTCAATCCCTTCTGCCAGGGATTGATCAACACAAATAAGCACAAATAAAACCTTTGGGAAACACTGCAGGTGTTCATATTTTAGAGATATAGTGTTAATATGTTTATATATCCATCTTAAAAATATTCTGTATAGATCATCAACTATTACCAGCATTGTTTCAACACAAACTTCTTACATAGGCTTCCTTTACCTCAGTGGTTTAAAATAATTTGAACAGTGAAACTATTGTATAATCAGAGCTGTTTGCTGTTTTTTACTGGTTTATCAGTTTTATTGAAGGCCACCTAATGCTGTTTTGTTTTATAAGCTTTAATGTTTATGTTACAAATTGGTGCTATATAAATAAAATTTAATTTAGTTGAACATAGAGAATCTCATAAGCTGCAGTGTATGTCACACATCTGTAAAGAACTGCTGTATATAATGTTCCCATAACAGCTTAATCTGTTTACTGAACATTTTATTTTCTTCTATAGGTTTAGTCGAAATGGATTTTTCAATGCCATTGTGACAGAAACACAAGGATCATGGTAAGAAACATCAGCATAATGTTTTGGTTCTGTGTTAAAATGTTATAAATGTAGCATTTTTTTTATAATCTTTATATTTCTGTTGCTTTTAAAAACTCATTCTGTTGAGGAGTGCTTTTATTTTAATCATTTTATGAAATGTCTTTGCTTGCAGCCATCACACCGCAGGGGAAAGAGTCTCTCTGAGGCTTTCACCCTGGACCAATTAGATGAGGGGGGGCTGGTCATTTCCGGCATCAACAACAGTGCCTCAGCCAATCAGGGACTCAGGGAAGGTATGACCCTTGACCCTTCTATAATACTTTTGACTATTTTGAAAGCAAGACATAGTGTCTTAGCTTTGAGGGTTTGCACAGCTCCCCACATGAATACACTTACAAATTCAAGGAATTCATTGTATATTTGATTTGAATCTGAGGTTGTATTAACCCTATATATTTTTTAAATGTGCAGTTTTTGTTGAGTTCACTACTATTTGTTTTAGCATTGAGCCATATGGCAAATGTTTAATTTAATTTAATTTACATTTATTCAGCTGCAATTTGTGTTTTTTGATTGGCAGTATTATGCTGCATTAAATTGAAAGCTTTCTCCAGTATATCTGCTCCTCCATTTTAAATGAAGTGCACCGTATTTCAGAAACACCTTTAACTATTCAGTCCAATACAATACTAACACAATCAACAACCAAGTCAAAGCAATTAATGGCATAAATGTGCTATTTTTTTCCATTGCTCTTGTACTGGATTGCATATTTTACTGGTCAGACAGAGTAAATGTGTGTTCAACAGATTGTGGTCAAACTACAGCATGTCAGTTCTTTTCAAAATCTCTCTGATGAGACTCAAATGTTAAAAGTATGATGCTGTGATTCTTTTACAAAAAACCCAATGCCCAGTGCCCTGGCATTGTTAGGGCCAGGTTTAGGAACAAACTATTGTTTTATGCACAACTTGATTTTTCTCTTTCAGGGGATGAAGTTGTGGGGGCAACAATCAATTTTGATGATCTATCGAAAGAGGAGGTGTTGCAAGTGCTGAAGCTGATGGAGCCGTTTGATGACAAATTCCGAGTCCTCACCAGGAACAACCTGAGCAAGAGCCTCGGAAATCTGGACCAGTGTTCCAGGGGTCCTGACATGGTAGGTAGAATACATGTTTTGTGTTGCAATCTGCATTTCATTGATTGTTATGGAAATAATGCTAAAATTGATCACCACCTCAGCTGCCAGAGAATAATTACAATTATAGATTCTTATCAAAGAGTTGTGGTTTATATTTCTAGATGCTAAATGATTCCTACAACAAACTCTACAATACCAAAATCAAGAAGTTTATGAAAGGTAACTTGCCGGGTGCTGTGGATGGCTGTGTGAATGCGGAAGTAACCACCAAGCCAACTGTATCAGGCTCATCCAAGGTCAGCCTGAAACAGAACATGGGGTTGCCTCGCCTTGGGGTGGACTTTGGACTTCAGAAAACCAAGACTTCAAGTACAGACATTGATGATGATTTCCAATCTGATGATGCTGGGGAATTAACATATGGCAGGAATCTAAACCTTCCACCGTTGAGTGGGAGTGTTCAGGAACCAAGACTGAAGGTCAATGCTAGAAGTCCACAGCTTAAGGCTCCAGACTTTCATCTATCTGGAACATTACCAGAGGGTCCAAATGCCAACACTACAGCTGGTATACAACTGCCAAACACTAATAGTCCATCAGCTGACATGGGGATAAACCTTGATGGGGGAAATATCACTGGTCCATCCTTTGACACTGGTGTTCCCAAAATGAGCATTGAAGGAACAAACAAAGAATTCAAAATGCCAAAATTCAAACTGCCAGACCTGGGCCTCTCTGAACCTTCTTATATTGGTCCAGAATGTGAGGTCAAGACACCAGATGTAGGAGCTCCAGATGTTTCCTCTGGTAAACTCAGTCTCAAGTATTCCAAGAGGCTGAAAACCCCAGATCTAAATGTTGACAGCCTTTCTGGTTATGTAGAATCACCCAAGCTCAGGATGCCTGGGAGATCCCATGACTTAGACCTAGAAATTCCAGGTGTTGATGTATCACAGCATGATCTAAGTGGGCAGGACATTGACATGCCTTCAGGGGAATTCAAACTGCCACTTAAGACATCAAAGTTTGATCTTAAATCTCCGGATTTAGATTTGGATGCTGGTGACCTAAAAGGACCGAATTTAGCCCTTAAAGGTCCATCTGGAAAATTTAAGGCTCCTAAGTTTAGAATGCCTGAATTTGATTTACCAGACATTCATGTTCCAGGTTTTAATGGTGATTTAGTGGGGCCAGATGAGCGGTTGGCAGCACCAGATCTCAAAGTTGGAACTGCAGACCCAAATGGTGACTTAAATGTACCCTCAACTGACTTGGATATTGCAAGCCCATCTGAAAAACTCAAAATGCCAGGCTTTGGGCTATCTGTGCCTAAAGTTAAAGGCCATGAATATGATTTAAAAACTCCAGGCATGGATGTATCCGCTCCCAAGTTTGAAGGGGGCATCAATTTACCTCGTGTTGATTGGAAAGACCCCAAACTTGACCTTAATACGCCTGATGTGGATATTAATATGCCTTCTGGTAGATTAAATATTGATGCAGATGCTCCCTCTGGCAAGCTTAAACGGCCAAAGTTTAAGCTCTTTGGCACATTACCAAAGAAAAAAGATGTGGATGTCAGTGCAGGGGTGAAAACACCTGAACTAACTCTGAAATCCCCAAAGATAAAAGGCATAGATGCTTCTGGCATGAGTGTACCGAACATGGATCTCAAAGCTCCAAATTTAGACCTCCACTCTCCAGATGTAAACATTAGTTCACCAAAGGCAAAATTAAAGATGCCCAAATTAAAGATGCCTAAATTTAGTCGTCAAAGTCTAGAAGGACCTGAGATTGATGGTAATTTGGATGGTCCAGACATGGATATTAATGCACCCAATGTCAATCTCGAAGGTCCTAAAACCGATTTAGAAATGCCAGATGTTGATGTTGCTGGGCCATCTGGAAAATTCAAAATGCCAAACTTGAACCTGCCTGATTTGAGGCTTTCTGGTCCAAAGGTAGATGGCCCTAACCTGGACCTCAACTCACCTGCCTTCAATATATCTGGCCCTAAACTCAGTGGTGGAATAAATTCACCAGACATAAATACGCCCAATGTTGATCTTAAAAGGCCACAACTGGACCTCAAAATGCAAAAGCCCAACTTAGACATGCCAAAAGGTAAACTGAAAATGCCAGAGCTTCATGCTCCAGACTGGGATGTTGATGCTCCGTCAGGAAAATTGAAATCTCCTAAATTCAATCTTTCAGGTACTTTACCAAAAGGACCAAACATGGACATTAACACAGATCTGAAATCACCAGACTTTAGTCTGAAAGCTCCTAAGATAAAGGGTGGAATTGATGCCCCTGACTTGGACTTGCCTAATATGGACCTTAAAGCTCCCAAGTTCAATGTGAATACTCCAGATGTCAACATTGGATCACCCAAAGCAAAATTTAAAATGCCCAAATTTAAAATGCCCAAATTTAACGTCCCAAGCCTAAAAGGACCTGAGATTGATGGAAATTTAGATGGTCCAGATGTTAAGGTAAATGTACCCAATGTTAATCTTAAAGGTCCTAAAGCTGATGTAGGAATGCCAGATCTTGATATTTCTGGTCCGTCTGGAAAATTCAAAAAGCCAAATTTTAACATGCCTGATTTTGGTCTTTCGGGTCCAAAGTTAGATGGCCCTAACTTGGACCTGAAATCACCTGACCTAGATATCTCTGGTCCCAATCTCAGCGGTGGAATAAATGCACCAGACATAAAGATGCCCAAGGTTGATCTTAAAAGCCCCAAACTGGACCTCAATACCCCAAAGCTCAACTTAGACATGCCATCAGGGAAACTGGAGATGCCAAAACTGGCAAAACCAAAGGCAGAGCTTCATGCTCCAGACTGGGATGTTAATGCTCCGTCAGGAAAATTGAAATCTCCTAAATTCAATCTTTCAGGTACTTTGCCAAAGGACCAAACATGGACATTAACACAGATCTGAAATCACCAGACTTTAGTCTGAAAGCTCCTAAGATAAAGGGTGGAATTGATGCCCCTGACTTGGACTTGCCTAATATGGACCTTAAAGCTCCCAAGTTCAATGTGAATCTCCAGATGTCAACATTGGATCACCCAAAGCAAAATTTAAAATGCCCAAATTTAAAATGCCCAAATTTAACGTCCCAAGCCTAAAAGGACCTGAGATTGATGGAAATTTAGATGGTCCAGATGTTAAGGTAAATGTACCCAATGTTAATCTTAAAGGTCCTAAAGCTGATGTAGGAATGCCAGATCTTGATATTTCTGGTCCGTCTGGAAAATTCAAAAAGCCAAATTTTAACCTGCCTGATTTTGGTCTATCGGGTCCAAAGTTAGATGGCCCTAACTTGGACCTGAAATCACCTGACCTAGATATCTCTGGTCCCAATCTCAGCGGTGGAATAAATGCACCAGACATAAAGATGCCCAAGGTTGATCTTAAAAGCCCCAAACTGGACCTCAATACCCCAAAGCTCAACTTAGACATGCCATCAGGGAAACTGGAGATGCCAAAACTGGCAAAACCAAAGGCAGAGCTTCATGCTCCAGACTGGGATGTTAATGCTCCGTCAGGAAAATTGAAATCTCCTAAATTCAATCTTTCAGGTACTTTGCCAAAGGGACCAAACATGGACATAAACACAGATCTGAAATCACCAGACTTTAGTCTGAAAGCTCCAAAGATAAAGGGTGGAATTGATGCCCCTGACTTGGACTTGCCTAATATGGACCTTAAAGCTCCCAAGTTCAATGTGAATACTCCAGATGTCAACATTGGATCACCCAAAGCAAAATTTAAAATGCCCAAATTTAAAATGCCCAAATTTAACGTCCCAAGTCTAAAAGGACCTGTGATTGATGGAAGTTTAGATGGTCCAGATGTTAATGTAAATTTACCCAATGCCAATCTTAAAGGTCCTAAAGCTGATTTAGAAATGCCAGATGTTGATGTTACTGGTCCATCTGGGAAATTCAGAAAGCCAAATTTTAACCTGCCTGATTTTGGTCTTTCGGGTCCAAAGTTAGATGGCCCTAACTTGGACCTGAAATCACCTGACCTAGATATCTCTGGTCCCAATCTCAGCGGTGGAATAAATGCACCAGACATAAAGATGCCCAAGGTTGATCTTAAAAGCCCCAAACTGGACCTCAATACCCCAAAGCTCAACTTAGACATGCCATCAGGGAAACTGGAGATGCCAAAACTGGCAAAACCAAAGGCAGAGCTTCAGGCTCCAGACTGGGATGTTAATGCTCCGTCAGGAAAATTGAAATCTCCTAAATTCAATCTTTCAGGTACTTTACCAAAAGGACCAAACATGGACATAAACACAGATCTGAAATCACCAGACTTTAGTCTGAAAGCTCCTAAGATAAAGGGTGGAATTGATGCCCCTGAATTGGACTTGCCTAATATGGACCTTAAAGCTCCCAAGTTCAATGTGAATACTCCAGATGTCAACATTGGATCACCCAAAGCAAAATTTAAAATGCCCAATGTTAAAATGCCCAAATTTAACATCCCAAGCCTAAAAGGACCTGAGATTGATGGAAATTTAGATGGTCCAGATGTTAAGGTAAATGTACCCAATGTTAATCTTAAAGGTCCTAAAGCTGATGTAGGAATGCCAGATCTTGATATTTCTGGTCCGTCTGGAAAATTCAAAAAGCCAAATTTTAACCTGCCTGATTTTGGTCTTTCGGGTCCAAAGTTAGATGGCCCTAACTTGGACCTGAAATCACCTGACCTAGATATCTCTGGTCCCAATCTCAGCGGTGGAATAAATGCACCAGACATAAAGATGCCCAAGGTTGATCTTAAAAGCCCCAAACTGGACCTCAATACCCCAAAGCTCAACTTAGACATGCCATCAGGGAAACTGGAGATGCCAAAACTGGCAAAACCAAAGGCAGAGCTTCATGCTCCAGACTGGGATGTTAATGCTCCGTCAGGAAAATTGAAATCTCCTAAATTCAATCTTTCAGGTACTTTGCCAAAGGGACCAAACATGGACATAAACACAGATCTGAAATCACCAGACTTTAGTCTGAAAGCTCCTAAGATAAAGGGTGGAATTGATGCCCCTGACTTGGACTTGCCTAATATGGACCTTAAATCTCCCAAGTTCAATGTGAATACTCCAGATGTCAATATCGGTACACCAAAAGCAAAATTTAAAATGCCCAAATTTAAAATGCCCAAATTTAACGTCCCAAGCCTAAAAGGACCTGCACTTGATGGAAATTTAGATGGTCCGGATGTTAATGTTAATGTACCCAATGCCAATCTTAAAGGTCCTAAAGCTAATTTAGAAATGCCAGATGTTGATGTTACTGGGCCATCTGGAAAATTCAAAAAGCCAAATTTTAACATGCCTGATTTTGGTCTTTCTGGTCCAAAGTTAGATGGCCCTAACTTGGACCTGAAATCACCTGACCTAGATATCTCTGGTCCCAATCTCAGCGGTGGAATAAATGCACCAGACATAAAGATGCCCAAGGTTGATCTTAAAAGCCCCAAACTGGACCTCAATACCCCAAAGCTCAACTTAGACATGCCATCAGGGAAACTGGAGATGCCAAAACTGGCAAAACCAAAGGCAGAGCTTCATGCTCCAGACTGGGATGTTAATGCTCCGTCAGGAAAATTGAAATCTCCTAAATTCAATCTTTCAGGTACTTTACCAAAAGGACCAAACATGGACATAAACACAGATCTGAAATCACCAGACTTTAGTCTGAAAGCTCCTAAGATAAAGGGTGGAATTGATGCCCCTGACTTGGACTTGCCTAATATGGACCTTAAAGCTCCCAAGTTCAATGTGAATACTCCAGATGTCAACATTGGATCACCCAAAGCAAAATTTAAAATGCCCAAATTTAAAATGCCCAAATTTAACGTCCCAAGCCTAAAAGGACCTGAGATTGATGGAAATTTAGATGGTCCAGATGTTAAGGTAAATGTACCCAATGTCAATCTTAAAGGTCCTAAAGCTGATGTAGGAATGCCAGATCTTGATATTTCTGGTCCGTCTGGAAAATTCAAAAAGCCAAATTTTAACATGCCTGATTTTGGTCTTTCGGGTCCAAAGTTAGATGGCCCTAACTTGGACCTGAAATCACCTGACCTAGATATCTCTGGTCCCAATCTCAGTGGTGGAATAAATGCACCAGACATAAATATGCCCAAGGTTGATCTTAAAAGCCCCAAACTGGACCTCAATACCCCAAAACTAAACTTGGACATGCCATCGGGGAAACTGAAGATGCCAAAACTGACAAAACCAAAGGCAGAGCTTCAGGCTCCAGGCTCCAAAAAGCCACATTTGAAGATGCCTGGTATGGGGTTTTCTGGTCCAAACTTTGACCTCAAGTCACCAGATCTTAAGGCCGAATTACCGAAAGGACCAAATTTAAACATGAATTCAGACCTGAACACTAAGGATTTGAATCTCAAAGCTCCAAAGATGAAAGGTGGTATAGATGCCCCCAAATTAGGCTTACCAAACATGGACCTTAAAGCTCCCAATTTAGATATGAACACTCCAGATGTCAATGTTGGTTTCCCTAATGCAAATTTCAAAAAGCCCAAAATCAAGATGCCAAAAGGCCCTAATGTTGACATAAATGGGGACCTACAGGGGCCTGATCTAAATATCCCAAATGTAGATGTTAATGGCCAAAAAGGAAAATTTAAAATGCCAAGTTTAAATGCACCAGAACTCAGTCTCTCTGGACCTAAGGCAAGAACACCAGACATTAATCTTTCAGGCCCTAAACTGAAAGGCCCTGGTTTAAGTATGCCAGACTTGCCGGATGCCAGGTTCAAAGGTCCCAAGTTAGACCTCAATGCAAAACGTCCTGATCTAGGAATAAGTGGTAACATAGAGTCGCCTGACATCTTTACTGACTTTACTACCCCTCAAGTCAGAGGAGGAATAAGAGGTCCAGATGCTGACATGACTGTACCCTCAGGAAACTTCCAGAATCCTCAGACTGATCTTGATTTGGCAGACAGAAAATTCAAACTTCCTTCTTTCAAGCTGCCTCAGTTTGGAGGCTCAGATCTTAATAGGACATCATCTGATATTGACTTTAGTGCATCATCGAGACCAACAAAGCTGAATATTTCTCCTCCAAATGCAAAACTAAATATGAAACAACAAGAGTTTCATGGGGATTTCACAGGACCAAATGTTAGTGCACCAAACATGGACCTCAGCATGCCGACAGCAGAAATGCAGAATCCACAGCTGCATTTAAAATCTCCACATCTTGACATTGATGATCCTTCACTAGATTTCAAAGGGGGTTCTTATAAGAAGCGCAGATCAGATACCACAGGGGTAAACATGAGAATGCCTACCCTAGACATAGATGGAGATCCCAGACTTCGTCACACTAATAGACAGTCACCTAGGACCAAAGTAAGGTCCAGCTACCCTATGGTGGATGCTCATTTAGATCACCACATTGATTACAACCATTCAGATCTCAATATTGATGATTTCACAGAAGTGGATCATGTGCCTAGAGCCAGAGGTTCAAAACTGGACCTTAAGGCACCGTCAGGTATTAATATTGACATGAGGGACCCCAGACATACCGGAAGAATTCCTCCTGGTAATATAAATATATCGTCAAAGCACCAGAGAACAAAGCAGCCAACACCTAATGCACATTTGTCTGAAGATCCAAGAATAAGGGTACCTGACACTCAAGATGGATACTATATCACTGCTTTTCAAACTGAAGCACAAAATCAAAGAATGCCAAACCGCAAATATAACACACTTGGGGGGCCTGATTTTCCTCTAAGAAATATGGACCTTGAAGTACCAGGTGAAAATGACCAAAAAGGGTCAACTTTCTTTTTCTCCAACCTCATGTAGCTTTCAAACCACTGATGTTTCCATAAGCATGCCAAAGGTTTAATTTAGTGTGCTTTTTATATTTTGGTTTATTTATTGTGACTGTTGTGTGATATTGTATGATTAATGCATATTCATTTTTTTTTTTTTATATAATTCAATCTTGTTGTTTTCTATGATGCAAGCTACATTACAATGCAAAATTTTTGCACTTTTTTTATATTAAGTTTAAACTTTTCACATTTTGTAATTTGCGCAATACAGTACTGATTTGAAAAGTATCTATGTACAGAAAAGTTAAGTTGTGGCACCCAAAACCTCCAAAATCTCCACATTTTTATGTTTACTACTGATTTTGGTACTCACTTTTTTTTTTAAATTGATTTTAGGCTACTTATAAAAAATGAAAGGGTGCAAGTTTTTTTGTAATATATTAACTGAATGTTAAAATATCCAAAGTTATATTTTATATTCATTGGGTATGTGTACAATTGAGTTTATGTAATTTTTACAATCTTTTTTGCTTCAACAGAGTTTTTCCGTCAACAGTTTTGAGCAATAACATTATAAATGAAGTTCACAATATTTTAGGCAATTTTAAAAGTCACTATTTAGTGATTGGTTAAGTTCTGTGTGTGTAGCATGAAGAGACTACAAACTTTCTTTTCATTATACACTCTTGTGTTGTATAATGATAAATAAACTACCTTGAAATGTGTTTAGTGTTTCATCAACATTTACATTTACATTAGATGTTTACATTTATTTAAGTCCGATTTGTGCATTAGAATTATGGGTGAACAAATAGGTTCAACATTATCCTGTTTTTATTTTTATCTTTATAAAAATATTCTATTTCTACCTTTTTAATAATTTGTTTTTAAGTGTGGTTTTTTTTTACATTTCCCTATGTTGCTTTTATATTTTATGTAAAGCACTTATGTTGCTCAAATGTGCTATACAAATAAACTTGCCTTGCTTTTAAATGTACATATGGGCACATGAGTGTTGTGTTTAGAAGGACTTGAAAAAATTAACTTGTCTTTAAAGAAATTAACAAATTAGACCATCTACACCCCCATTTGATAAGACTTTGCTAGGATCGCCCACAGAAAGTGTGACAAGAATAGTCATATGTTCTGTTTATTTATGAACTGAATTATAGTGAAACTAAGTGATTTCCCCCCTCAAGGACCCTAATTGGAGAACCACTGGTTTAAATTGTTTGGCTCAGGTTCCTGAAGAGCTGTTGGGAGATTTGGCTTCCAGCCTTTTTTAAGTTTATTTTTAATTTCATTTAGCTGACCCTTTAATCCAAAGAGGTCGCACGCCTCTGGAGCTCCAAGGGGTTAAGTGTCTTGCTTAAGGACACAGTGGATTCGAACCCAGGTCTCTCACTCCAAAGGCATGTGTCTTATCCACTGCTCCATCACCACAACTTTATTATTTTCAGCTCACGACATAGTAACATAATTAGGCATCATAACAAGAGTTATATCAGTATAGGTTCACCTTCCTTCTTAATGAAAATATATTATAATTGTAATTATAAACATATATAAACTATAATTAAATAAATAGAAACATAGGCATAAATTAGATAAATGAATAGATGTAAAATAAAAAAGTGCAATAAATCAAATAAATCAATAATGCCTTAAAACTGTAGGCAGCAGGATCAAGATCAAGTTCCTGTACAATATTAATTATATAAGCACATTTTATTATTATTTATAGAATGGGTAGAGTCAAAATACTTTTCTAAAAGAGTCGAATGATGGCCGGGAACTTGAGAATCTGGTTTTATGGGTATAGTACTTTAAGTTTTGTTTTCATAGTATAACATTACATCCTTGGCTTCTAGTTTAATTGAATGGTTGGTTGGAGTCACAAAATAGTCCTCAATTTTCTTTTTTCTTCCAGAATCCAAATATGTAGCTCCGACATTCAACAAGAATAAATGTTGAATCGTCTCATCTTCATCTTCACAGAATTAACATCCACAAATTTCGACAACAATTTGTTAGTAGGGTAGATGTTCTGCACAATTTTGAAATGCATTTATTTTAGATTGTTGGGTATAACCAATAGACTGAATAAAAAGGGTCCAACAAATGTACATGTGCGGCTGCTTCCAGCCTCTTGGTGTCGCAACTGAGCCCGCGTTACGTCATCAACAGGCGCCACCACACCACACGGAAAAGCCACCTCGACCTTTCAAGCAGCAAACACGCTTCGATTCCGTTTATAATGTGTATTTAAAAATGATTTGAGGGGAAATTAAAGCGTGTGTGAGACTGTGAAAGAGAACGGATCCGAAATGCTTCGTTGTTCTCTCGTAATTTGTGGCAGAGGAGTCGCTAAAAGGGTAAGTAACGTTTAACCTGCAGACATAAGGTAACTAGCTGAGCTGCACATCATTGCTTTATATCACTTACCAAACTCACTCAGTGTAGATTTGAACTAACTAGCAAGATAATATAGTCGTCTTATAAAGATGCTGATAAATAGAGATTTACTTTCCTCTTGTGACTTTAAAATTCAACTCATATATGTCTATTAATGATAGATCTGAGTTTACTAAGTGCTTTACATGAGGGAATGTAAAAAAGAGGAGCTTAAATCTTTTATTCAGATGATAAAGAATAAGAATAAAACCTGACGTGCTATGTCTTGTTATTCCTGGAAACAATAAAGCATTTGACAGTTTGGTATTTGATTGATCACTTCAATCTGCGGTTTAACATCACTTTTATAACAGATGATCTATCTAATGTTATTCTAATTAATTGATTACTCATGTATTATATTTTATCTGTAAAGAACTTTGTTAAAAGTGCTATACGATTACATCTTATTGCTGAACTAAAAAAAACGTAGTCTATAAAACTTCCAAAAATAGTTTTTAAAATATCCACAATTTCTCAGAGAGGAATGTGATCTAAACGAATTCCATTTTGTAATGATTTAAAATTAGTTTTTTAAAGGGTTTTTGAAGTGGGGCTGTATGAGGCACATCCATAGTTGGTGTATCACCTGCAGTAGTTTGCAGTTTGGAGAAGCAGAAAGTTGTACCGGGTTCTACATGCCCACAGAAAATTGCATGCACCTCCCGGGAGGTAACGCCCAAAAATGCTGGGATATGTGCTGGATGCAAATCTTGGCAGGTGCAACATCTGTTCTGTGGGATAATGCATCCACCTCTTAAGGTCCTTTTCAGACACTTACTATTGTGCAGTTATCAGCACTGATTTTTGCTAAATCTCATGTAATGCTACTTCTACTAAGTGTAATCGAGTATTTATGACTCTAAACCTTCATAAAATATATGCTTTGAATCATTTATCACCACTGAAGAAACCCACAAAGAATATTATATGGTTTTATTCTCGGCAGGCATGCAGAACTCAAGGTAAACAGCGTACTGCTGTGGACAGGGTCTGCAGCAAAATGTATTTTAGCCACCTAAGAGAAGGCCCACTGGGAAAAATCAGTTCAAGTGAACACAATATTTTAGAATATTATTTTCAGTGCTTAACTTGCCATAAAATTATTATTTCACTACTGAAGTCATTTATTAGCTAAAATAACAAATATTTGCTGGCTACAGATGATATAATAAAATTTTGACACATTACACCAAGACATTACTCTTAGCTCTGTTAATGTATGATTGTGTGATTATTGTAACATCTCATTACTTTGAATATATATATATACAGTATATGTCATTTACCAAAGTATTTGAAAATAAAGGTACCGAAACCACAGCTTTTCAGACGGCTGTGCTGTGAGACATAAGGTCTAATCATAATTCCATAATTTACCCAGTAAAAATGTCCTTTCAGTACCTGTATCTTTTACTTGTGTTTGTTCTCAAGCTGCTCCACTAACTCAAGGTTTTCTCTTTCTCAGTTTGCCTCATCGTTTTCTGGCGAGAGCGCTCTGCCTTCCAATTTACTGCTGCCTACAAACCTTGTGGACCCTGCCAGATTAAGTAAATTAAAACTTGTGGCCTCTGTAAACATAGATTAAATCTGAACTTGTCAGCTGTGTGTTGCAGTCAAGCTTATACATTTCAAGTTAAAAATGTTTCTTAAGCTGTTTTACCGGATGTTTTATACCAGTATCTATTAGTATTATTTAATCCTCCTTCATATCAAATATTATGTTAGTCTGCATTCAGGACTGTTACCACCACGAAAATCAGACTCAGCAAATACTGAACAGTTTCCAGTGTAAATCTCTTCCACACCACACCAGCAGGATTTCTCTGCTCAGAAATCTCATTTGAATAATATTGACTAACTGTGTTTGTCATATGAAAAACATGGGTCACTGACTGCTCTGTGCTCCTGCAGAGCGTCCTCCTCCTCCTGCAGACTGCTCCCTGCCTGTCCTGAGGAAGTGCGACGCCATCGTTCCCGCCCACCTGAGCCCCGTCCAGACGTGGGTGGAGACTCTGGAGAGGCGGGACAGCGAGCCGTTGGGTCTGGCTCACCTCCACCCAGATGTCTTCGCTGTGCCTCCCAGGTAAAGCTGAGATCACTTATTTATTTTTTTTTTTAAAGCTTCGATATCCAACTCTTCACCCGGAGAGTATTGATGGTGTCGCCCTAAGTTTTTGTCCCAAACATCCATCATCATTAGCTGTTTAGGCTCCATGTTCCTGAACATCCCATTATTTCTATAAATGCTGGTAGTGAACCTGCAGCCTGAAATGTTTAAATCCAGTGACAAAAGAAAAGTCTGTGTGAAGTGAAAAATATGAATCTTTGTTCAAGCTGCTTTTGTTTTCTCTCCTCTCAGGCTCGACATTCTCCATGACGTTGAAAAATGGCAGAAAAATTATAAAAGAATTGTAAGTTACATATTCACTCATTTTTGAAATGAAAATTAGGGCTGGACGATACGGCCAAAAATGTTATCACAATAAAAAGTTTTATATTTATTTAGATATTGATAATTATCACGATAAGTATGAAATTGTTATTTCTTTCAAGGTTAAAGGCTGATATTTTGCTCCTGAGTGAAAGTTGAAGAAACATGATGGTTAATTGTGATTTAAACTCTACTTTATGGTCAACACTTGAGGCCAAACAGTGGCTCCCTTCATAAATCTGAGGTGGAACATTCAAAACAATTATGATAAAATCTTCGTCAACAAATATGCGATATATGAGTAAAATTAAGTAAAAGCATCAACAAAATAAACATGTTAATAAAAAAAAACAAATCCTAATTCGCATATGATTCAAGGGAATAAAATCCAACATTTAATGAATATTTATTGAACATTTGTTATATTGTTATTGGAAAAAAATTATATTGTGATGATGATTGTTATTGTTTTATTGTCCAGCCCTATATCGAATGCTTCATGCTGCAATTTTGTGTTTTTGTGAAATGAATTCAACCTCAACTAGATATACAGAACTTAAATTTTAATAGTGACAGATACATAAGCACATAATATCCAGTGATTAGACTAATGCCACACATAGCAATTTTAGCCTTTTGTAGCAACAGCCTTCGAGCGCTTGTAAGAGCCATTGGGTGCAGAACTCTAGTGGACCAGTAGGTGGCAGCTGTCTGTTTTGGGTCACGGGTAGTAGGCATCAGTAAACAATAAATCTGAACAAAAATGGCAAGCGCTAAACAGCTTTATTTCGTAAGACACTAGTAGGCTGTGATCTTAGCAACTACGAGACTTGTTTCACTGAACCAGTAGTCACGTGTAGTGAACAGAGATGTTACAGGTACATATTTATACTGTTGGTGTTACATTTAATATCAGCTTTAAAAAGTTAAATTCTATCAACTTATTTTTTACTACAACTAATAAATGATAACAAACGAGGATCTGCTGTGAAACGGTTTTAATAATTTGCTGTTATAAAACTACATTGTAGTCTAAACAAAGACTCAATGAAACCCAACCAGATAAAATAATGAATCTGTTTTCATAAACATCTATACTGTATTTTACATGTTCAAGTTTGAAACTCAACCTTGGCCACAGCTGATATTCACTTCACTAACGGTCATTTTAATCTCTCAGAGCCACGCCAACACAAAGGTCAGGTCAGAGGTCAGAGGTGGAGGCAGGAAACCATGGAAACAGAAAGGAAGTGGAAGAGCACGCCATGGAAGCATCCGATCACCGATATGGAGAGGAGGTGACTGCTTTTCGTTTTATTGCCTTTGAACTCTGCTTGTTTTACTCGTACATGAAGCAACAAAACCTCAGTAGTGTCTTCATTAGAGAGACACGTTTTCTTCCTTTTGATGTCGAGTGACTCTCAGGTTGGAGATCAGAGTCTGACAGGTGATTTGTTTCTCAGGTGGGGTGTCTCATGGACCCAGAGGGCCGACCAGTTACTACTACATGTTACCCATGAAAGTTCGAGTGCAAGGACTCAAAGTGGCTCTGAGCTCCAAGCTGGCTCAGGTAACTGAAAGCTTTTTAAACCCCAGTTAAATTTGGAGAACATAAACAATGTCTCATGACGCTTGTGTCTGTTTAAACTTTCAAGAGTTTAAAATGACATTAACGTGTATTTCAAGTGCAGAACAGGACACTATTGAGTGCACAGAACCTAAATGTCTAGCTAAAACTAATACTTTCTCGTCATAAGAGCAATTTAGAAAATGCTATTTTTGTACAATTTTGATAGGCCTGTTTTAAAAAATATCACTTTTAAATACTTCAACTTTTTTCATCTAACAATTTATTCATCGATTAATCCGATTATTTAGTGTATGAACTAAAAAAAAATAAAAATAAAAAAAAAATAGTATTGCTTGTTTTGTCTAACCCCAAAGACATGAAAAAGTAAAGCAGCGAATGCTTTTGCAAATTTAATACAAAAATAAAAAGGCTCAAACATTTAAAATAACATCTGATCAATTATTCTAAATGTTTCAGCTCTGATCTTTTCTTTTTTACTTGGAAGTGTTGAGCTGACTGTTGTATATTTTCCCAGGACTACCTTTACATCGTGGACTCTCTCAACATCCCCACACCTGACTCTCAGTACCTGTTGGACCTCATCAGACACAAACACTGGGGAGAGTCGGTGTTAATAGTCAGTTTGTGAGTTTCATCAGCAACTGAGCTTTAAAAACAAAAAAAACTACACTTTATTTGCTCTGTGATTCGCTCAGTACTAAAGTTGTTCTTGTTGCTTTTAGAGATGAAGAGTTTCCCGACAACATCCTTCAGGCAACAGCTAATTTGAAGACAGTGAACATTATTCCAGCCATTGGTAAGTTAACTCTGAATCTGAAGAGGTGATGTAATGCACAAGCTTCTATTGTCGTAAAGCTCTGCAGGCTACAATTTTGAACATTTCTCCTTACATACGTTAACTCTTGGATTTCTCTAATTAAACAAGCTAATGGTGACAGACATTTAATTTGCAAAATCACATAGTGGAACTCTCTTTAATGATGAACTTCAATATGTTTGAGCTTGTAGCTACAGCAGCCTTTCAGGGTGATTATAAAATAATGAAGTTATGCACTACATTTCATGTGTAACAAAGTCTTCTAGGTGTTGAAAAACAAGGAGTGCTATGATTGTGTTTGTTTTATCTGTCAGGTCTGAATGTCCACAGCATCCTGAAACATGAAGCCGTTGTCCTCACTCTGGAAACGATTAAGTTTCTGGAAGACAAGCTGCTTTGGCACGACCAGCGTTACACACCTCTGTACCCATTTAGACTGCCCTACTCAGATCTCCCATAGACCACACAAAATTACCTGTAATATATTCACTGACTGCAGTGAGACAAATGTTTTATTAATGTGTTTATTATGTTTATCAAAACAAGTCACCAATAAATAATGTCAATGATAAAAAAAAAAATCAAAACATTGCAAAATTGTATTATTAAAAGTATCTTTTAAAAAAAGAAAAGGCATGTGAAGCGTAAAAGGCCTAAAATCGATAGCTGAATTTGTGTGGAAGGAGGCCGTTCGCCAAATCGTTCCTGATCTCCCAGCGGAGGGCCGAGCGCTTCTTCGCTGTTGGCACGGTGTACGTGTTCGGCACATAAACTCTGTGAGGTTTAGGCTGCAACACAGAACAAAACAAGACGTGGAGCCATTAAGAAAACTGTGTTACAAGTTCTTAATCCACATAAATGTTTGGAATTTGTTTTCTGTCCATGCTGAAATGCTGCCACTCTCATTCTGACACAGAGTACTGATCTTTGTGTCTCGCAGAGTTGTCTGAAAACACTTATTTGTGTTTCCATACAGCTGATCCCGCCATACAGGTGTTCACATCTTTCATTACCGGTTCTTAATGGACTGCACTTGGATAAATTGGTAACTTATTTATTTACTAATTGAGACTTTAGGTCAAATCACTTTTATACATATGTACAGTCGTTACAAGGACTTCCTGTATGGTGTGATCAGCTCTTCTGTAACACAAAGTAGGAGGTGACAAAGGTAAAATTTCCTTCTGATCTGCAGGCATAGATACTGGTTTACAGCTACAGGTGCATCTCAAAAATTTTGAATATTGTGGGACATTGTGAGCACCAGAAAGAGATAAGACTCCCCTTGCTTTTGAGCTGTAAGAAATAGCATCATTTTTAGCTTTTAAGCTTCGATGCCAAGCAGCCATGCTGTGTGGAACAGTCAAATCATTTCATTCATACATTTGGGCACGAACACAACACAACATGTTGCCTAGTGCAGCTTTAGGGGGACGTTTTGGGAAAATACTTACTGGTGGAGGTTGGTATGCAAGTCTTTCCTGAAAAACAAAAGCAGAATACATAAAGGCAAACATCATTGACAGCTGCAACATGTTAGTGCCTCATTCAACAAAGAGTCCAAACTGAACACTGAAGAATTATTAAGTATGATGGCATCATGACGCTGTGAGAGGAGCTTAATGGTCAATGTTTGTACAAATAAATAGGTTTAAGGTTTGTTTTCTCTACTGAAAATATGTTCTTATACCTTTATCTCCCAGCGGAGATCTCGCCTGTCTTTCTCTCCTGGAAGTTTAAACATTTCCCAGAGCTGCTTGTACTGGAAATACCTGCAGAAAACCACACGACCAAGTCAACTATCAGACCAAAATCAATCAAATGGGGGTAAAAACGTTTTCGTATCTTATGGGCATTTGCTCTTTACCCATCTTTAACCACTTGAGTGCAACTCACTACACCATAGTTCTTCCAGGTTTTGGTAGTTGGAAGTAAATTTCATGTTTTTAAACTTACTTTGCCACTGGGTCTGTCTTCTTTATAGTTTGCTGACTCATCACAGGTCGGATGACTGAAACACAACATTTGATGAATAATAAAACTGTTTAGTCGCATAAAAACAACAATACAATCTGTATTATACGAGTCTGTACATCAGGTCGTTGACTTACAGGATTTGGGTTTGGGTCTGAGGTCACCTTCACTTCGAGCTCGAGTCTGTCCAAAACAAAACGATGGTCAAGTGATTTTTAGTGACAATCGAAGACATTTTTATGAGCTACACTTCACTATTCTTTGTAAGGTAACACAAACAGTGGAAGCATGACTATATTACCCACCATCCCTCTTATGTAGGATTCAAAGGCACTCAGAGAGATTCCCTCTGACTCTGAGCTCTGGGCGTCACTCTGACTGGTGACGTCTTCATTCTCCGCCTCAAAGTCGCGCTGAGCCGTCGAGGATAAATGAAGCTCCGCCAGCCGTTCGTCTAGACAGCTCGCTGCGTCTGCAAAGAAACAACCACAAGGTTCAGTGAGACTTTTCCAGCTGGTGGGGAGGATTCAGACCAGTAAGCTTTCATAAGGCTGCCTCTAATGTTCAGTCAGTGGACGGTGAGGAGGAATCCATTTTTCATTCAAACTGACTGATTTTCCTTTTCATTATTGATCTTACACCATTCTTTGCAGGTAACCTCTCCAGTTTCCTTAGTTCTCAATACTGACCGGACTCTCTCTTGCTTGGTAGATAAAAAAAACAAACACCTTACTCAAATCCCAGTAATAAAACTTTGACTTAAGAGGAACAGGGTAAAAGTCGCATCTTACAAATGACAAGATTTCAAACAGGTGTGCACCCTGAATCTTGCAGAAGCAGAACCAAACCATCAGATGAGTCGATGTTGTAAATTACCTGAATTTTGCATTTTCCACATCTCCGGGGTAAAATTTAAGGAGATTTTTAGTTGAGGACACAAAACCATCTGCAGCGACTTAATATCAGTCAGAACTGTTTTGTAAAAGTATATTTGGATTTGACTTTTAAACAACCTGATGTCCTGATAATCACACAGTTTTAAAATTTTACAAAATAAACCGCATAATTGTCGCAAACCAAGAGACGGGAAACCATTTACCCTTCTTCTGCCTGAGGTTTCCTTCCCACTCCTCACACATCTTTTTGAACGTCATCTGGCTGAAATTGACTTTGGAGTCGATAAACTTGATGTCTTTGTTGCTTGAAGAGTCGTCCGGATCCTCCGACTCCACTTTGTCTACATCAACACTCCCACCTTCAACTACAGCCGCGTGTTGTTGCTCCTCTGATGCTGCATCTGTCACTTCATGTTCGGACGCTCCATGGAAATCTTCTTCCTGTTCCTCCTCATCTGCTTGGTCTTGATCATCCTCTGGTTTCACGCCTGTGACGCCCACCTGTTCGTGCAGGCCTTCACCTCCACAACACGCCACATTAGCTTCAGGCTCGGCGTCCGCCGACACGCTCTGTTGACGAGTCGCGCCGTATTCTGGCTCTGTGGGTTCGACGCCAAAGCTGCAGAGCGAACGATCATCCTCTTCATCATCTCTCATCTCAGACAGATCTCCCCGACTGTCCTGATCAAACTCTGTCACGGTGTGATCGTCTCTGTAGTCTCCACCCTCCTGCTCCTCTGGTCTGTAGGTGCCGTAGCCAGAGGTCATCAGACTCGGAGCTGGACTATCAGAACTGCTGCTACAGCTTTCTTCATCATCATCATCATTATATTACTTTCACTTTCCAAACTGATGTTGCCCTGCTTCTTCAGTTCAGGCTTTTCCTCCTCTGAACCCTCCTGGAAGGAGTCCTCTGTGTCTGCAACAGGTTTGGAGTCAATTGCCACCGCCGCCTCCTCCTCCTCTTCCTCACGCTCTCCATCAGACCAAAAAGAGGAGCTAAGAGAATTCTTATCATCGTCGCTGTCACCGTCCCACTGAGCGTTGTACATTTTGTACATGGTGGCGACGTACACTCCTGCTGAGGTGTGTGATCTGTGGAGACAGAGGGCTTAAGGAACGAGCTAAGAGGATTACAACGATGTCCCAGGAGCTTCAGCCTCTTCTCAAAGCTGAGAGAGCTCCAACTGGAGGTGACCAAAGACATTACATCTTTGCTTCTCCATTATTGATTCCATATGATTTTAATTGTTTCCCCATTTTAAAGAAGTTTGACAGGTAACGCGACACAGGTGTGTGGTAGCACCATGGTATGAGTTCCTGAACCACCAAGATTCCTCAGTATTTAGTTTGTTTCAAAGAGACTCATGCGACAAAGATTTGAAAATTAAGTTTTAACGTGAACATTTGTGAAATGTGAGTTACTTTGTCATTTAAAAATGCATATAACATCCTGTATATTTTCAGCAAAGATAGCAGTTTAAATCACTTGAAATGGTGGATCTCCAATTTTGAGTCCGTATCACCTTTTAAATCTCTTCTTAAAACATATTTTTTTAATCATGGAAGTTATCCTGGTTTTAATATGTATTTTTTTTCACTTTCGTTTATATTACTGCAATTGTTTTTTTTAAATCTATTTTGTGCTGGTCCAGTGAATGTATTTCACTTTACTTAAAAGTTTATATTTAATCTTATAATTCTTTGTAACCTGGATTATTAATATTATATTATTATACTTGTATGTTATGTATTTAACAAACACTTTAAGCAGCTGATCAGAATCTCTACATACAGAGTCTACGTTACCTGAGTCTTCACTGTAGACTGATTCATCGCAGACAAGTGATTGTCCTTTATGTTTCCTGTATGTGGAAAACAAACACAACAGTATTATTGTTACATTTCCAGCAAAGACGATTCCTTTAGAAAGTACAAAGCTCCTGTTTGAGTTAGTATATTATACCTATTTATTAGACTATCAATTTAATGATGATTTGCTGCCCAACTGTACACCAAAACGCATCTTTATGACAAGTGTACATAAATTGTTTTGGCCTGCAGAAATTAGGCTATCAGTGGGAATATTTTTGGTTCCCACTACAGACCCATAACTCAGATGCAGTTGTTTGAAATCTGTTTTGTGTGTCTATTTTTACTTTTTTTCCCCATGAGTGCATCTTGAGATGACCGGTCTACTTCTATTTTTACTCTTTTCTGTAAAATCTTCATCTTACCTGCATTTGGCAGATGAGCTATTAAGTTACATTTTGGTCATTAATCAGAACTTTAACTTTCTTATTGAACTGAATCAGAGATATCTGAGCTACTCTGCCATATGCAGAGTCCTAATTCACTATGCTCTATTTAGATTAAATGACAAATAAAATACAACTTAAACTTGACAAGCGAATGAATGACTGTTCAAGCAGCTGATTGAAGAGAGACAGACCCATAGCGTGGTCAATTGGCCCAATATTCAAGTTATTTGGTGCGTACTATCTGATGCGTCTGCCTGATGTTGCCTTACTCTCCCCACAAAATAATGATTTGCAGTCTCTTTCTCACAGTGAGGAATACAGCGTATTAAGTTTAAACTGATATCGGATCGGTACTCGACGTCGGCCTACACCCAAACCCAGGTATTGGTATTTATTGGTACTGGACTGAAAAGTCGGATCGCTGCATCCCTAGTGCATAATGCATTTGTGTCTTTTACCTCAGGACTTTTCTCTTGATGAAGCGTCTCTCCTGGGTGTCAGTAGTGGATGAGTAGCTGTCAGTGAGTGGCGAGTTGAGGGTGTCATCAGGATCTGGCTCCACCTGCAGGCTTCTGGGAGCACCTGGAGGCAGCTGGAGCTTCGGAGCCACTGAGTGTTGAGCGTACGAGTCACAGGGCCCCTGCTGACATCTAGTATAGTCTCCGTTCTGATAGGTGGTGAGCACCTGTGTTAAATTATACACAGAATGAATCGATCACATGTGCCTGACACTATTAAATTTTTGACCAATCTAAAGGTTAGTCTTGTCTTCAGTTTATGATTATGACAGATTGATTTGTCTGGCCTGAGTGACAGCTGACTGTCGGCTCTAGAAAGAAGCTCTTTCGTTTCTGTGGGTTTTCATTGATGTTGAGTTTACTTAAAACTCTTTTTGATATCAAACACCAGATTTTTAGTGCAGCTGATTTCTGGATGTGGTGTCATGTTGACTACATTTCTATCAACAGAAATAAGAAAACAAAAATCTGGTGTGATGCGTGTTTAACACTTACCTGTCTGTCACAATCCACTTTTCCGGCATGTAAGAAAAACCCTTCACTGGACTCTTCAAAGTAGTGCTGACTAACTGCGAAGAAACACATAGAATTCATCAGTTAACATACACCAAACATGTTACACTAGACTGCTGACATGCTTTTAGACAAAGTGGTTATCATCATCCCACAGTGAGGTAAGTGCCCTGACCTTTCTCTTTGGTGAAGGCAGGAGGACTCGGCCGAGATGAGGCTGTCTGACCGTTGACGGTGGAGTTTATCGGAGTGGGTGATGTCAGGCTTTTCCATTCTCCATGTTGAATCAGGTCATCGAGATCTGACATTACAAAGACAAACAAAGAGAGACTGTAATCCTTTATGAGTTAAAACATGTGGTCAATCTTTTCTAAAGAAATCATTTGATAGTTCGTTTTCAATATATTGACCTACAATCACAATGCACACCATAAACATTAAGTGTCCCAAACAAGCTACAAATAAAGCTGAAGAACAATATGGCGAGTGGGGGTGGGATGGATGGTTTCAGAGTCTAACCTTGCTTGAATTCACGAAGCCGGTGTTTTGGGATGTTTTTGTAGCCCAGGATCGCCAATTGTTCTTGAATTTCCTCTTCTGAGAAATCCAGATTGTCCATAATATAAATCTGTTTTGTACATTCATAAAGGAGGGGAAATCAATGTAAAAAAGGTTATATAAGCTTACCCTAATTTATACAATATAACCACCTCGGTACAACACACCACAATACACAGCCTCCACAACTCCTCGCAGTTTCAACAAATTCTAGCTTTCATGCTTGCTTGCACGCTTATTTTCAGAGCTGTTGTATTAGACTGCATTCGTTTTTGCCTTGCTGTGTACAGAATAAACAGCAGCATTACAACAGAATGTAAAGCAACAATTGTTTCAAGGCAAACTCTATTCACTCGGTAATGTGTCTTTATTGACCATTACCATCAAGTCAGCCAGTTGATTGTTGGTCCAAATGTTTTATTAATGTTAAATATAAAAAATTATTGTGGACCCTTTACTAGCTACTATTACTATAGAACAGTCTTCTGTCTAACATTAAGTTCAAATCTGATTTAAAGACCTACCTTTCTTCTCTGGCTTTTACCTGATTCTAATCCAATGGTTTTTGTCAGGACCACTTTTAATTATTATTTTAATTGTGCTTTCACAGCTTTTCAATCTGTAGTCGTTTTTCTTGATTTCTTTTGAATTTGATTTTTAACAGAGTAAGTTACTCCATATTCCTTTTATTACTAGTGTTGTATTGTGTACTTGAATATACAAGGGTATATAACTCCTGTTGTTTTTAAAAGTGCTAACTTTATAGAACTTAAATAGACTGACTTGACTATTTAATTAAATTGGTTGCAGCTCTTGCGAAAACAGAATTTAGCAGTGGACTATTAAGACTTTCCGTAGCCCAAACTTTTTATTTACTAAACTAGTTCAAGGGTAATTACGTTACTTGTTAAATCAGCAAGCCAATTTTAAAGTGACATATTTTTGAAGAGGGTTTGGCGAAGCTCTTTCTAAAATGCGAGCTAAGCTAACAGTTAGCAGTCAAACAGTAAATATGACGATGGACGATGTGAACCAGTAAGAGACGTTTAATGTGTTTCTTTCTCACCTGCGAGAGGACAGCCGTTTGATGGTTCGCTGTTACAGTGTGCCCATCACGGTTAACGTTTATTAGTAGTAAAGTTAGTCGTGTTTTATTGTTTACATGTTAGCAAACCCAGCACCAAGACAACAGCCGTTAACGAGCTTTGAAAAAGACGCCTGCCCCAGTTCTTTATAAACTTCCGGTCTTGTTCTTCTTCGTTTTTCTTATTAGCGGTTGACAATTGTGTATTGTAGATTCTAGCGCCACTCACTCGGCTGGAGTGTGGCAGGCAGGAGCACTTTTGGCACCAGCACCCAGTGGTGGTGGAAGAAATATTAAAATAATTTACTTAAATAAAACTAGCAATACCACAGTATAAGCTCCTGGTCCTACAATCAAATCTTCTTTTGAGTAAAAGTACAGCAACAAAATGTACTTAAAGTATCAAAAATAGGCTTAATGTGCTCATAATCAGTGTTGGGAAGGTTTTATTAGAAATGTAATAGGTTACCCTAATTAAAATGTTATAGTAGTTTCTTTTCTAAATCTCTAATGAATTTCTTCAACTGTTAACCATTTTTTAAAGACAGCTTGAGAGACAGTTTAACTTGCTGACGGGTGGCGCTGCAAATTCAAACATGAGAACCAATCAAAAGCATCAGAATAGCATGAAACTTTACTAAACGGCTGATTGGAAATGGCAAAGGAAGAAGGGTAAGGAAAAACATGCAAAGCAACAAAATGATTATTCTTTTGACAAAAAATATTCATGTGTGACGTACAGTGTAATCATGAACATTTTCATATATGAGTGAAAGTTAATTTGGCCTAGGCCTACTATTTTGTCCCCTATTTGGTTTTGATTAAATTACAAAACTATGTAACTAGTTACTCCCCAAAACTGCTTATAATACAAGGTATAAGGTAGATTTATTTATCATTTTACAACACAGGGTTGAATAATGAGATTAGGTTGTAGTTCCCTTTGTGTTACTCACAAAACAACCATTATATACAAAAATGAGATGAGTATGTAAATAGACTGGGGAAAGAAGCTGCTCTGTATTCTGCTGGTGCAACAGCAGATACTTCTGTATCTCTTGCTAGACAGCAGCAGGGCGAACAGGCTGTGGCTGGGTGGGTACTATCTTTCAGTGTCCTTTGGGCTCTGTGCAGGCGCCTCACCTCTCTGATATCACTGATGCTCGGTGGATAGGTCTTCAAGCTGCAGAACCCTCTGTTCCCTTCCACGCCAGTTTTTGTTTCCAGTCAGGATAACAAGAACGTGGCACAGGAAGTTATCTGTGATGTTGATTCCCAGGAACCTGAAACTGTTCACCTGCTCCACCTCAGCTTCACTGGTGTAGACAGGAGTGTGTGTCTTTACTTCCTTTTTCCAAAAAAAAGGTTAAAGACCAATGATGGTGGTGTTTGTTATGGCAGAAAATTTTGTCCTCTTACATTTAATCTTTTATGCATGTTCTTTTACTGTTATCCATCCATCCATCCATCCATCCATCCATCATCAACCCATTATCCTGCGTACAGGGTCGCGGGACTGTTATTATTATTACTATTATTATTACTAATTTTGTTATGGCTTATAGATATATATGTTTTGTCTTATCCTCCTGCTATATTCCTTATGTTAGTCTGTCCACATTTACTAGGGCTGTGAGATTGTTTTGGTGTTTTCCCCCTCTTGTTGTTCCTCTCCTGGAATGTTCATTCAAGGCCTAGAGGACCTCTGTTCCCCAAAACACAGAAACCTACACTGTGTTGATGACTGTGTTGAGTTTGCTGATCAGTTTCATGGGGAGATTGTGTTGAATGTTGAGCTGAAATCCACAAACAGCATTCTGATGTAGGTGTTGTTTTTCTCAAGGTGTGTGAGAGCTGAGTGGAGGGCAGGGGAGATGGTATCCTCGGTGGACCTGTTGGTTCTGAAAGCAAACTGGTGAGAGTCCAGACTGGCTGGGATGTTGTTCTTTATGTGCTGAAGAACCAGTTTAGCAAAGTAGTTAAAATGAGCTACATCTGAGCTACATTATTAAAATAATAATATAATAAGATAATATCAGATATAATAAACAGTGAAAGGGACCATTTTACTGCACCATGAGTACTTTTACTTTGGATACTTTAAGTACACTTTGCTGATAATACTTCCATACTTTTGAATTGCAGGACTTTTACCTACATTAAGACTTTTATTAATTCTTCCACCACTGACCTTTGATTACTTAAGTTGTCTCATCTTTCATATATTGTATCCTGAAGCCAGGTAAAGGCCAAAATCATACTTTTTTCTGTCGTGGTCAATTCCTACTGCACTTGAAGGCATCAAACATAAATCTTTTTTAAAGCAAAGGTAAGTACACCCTACCCTGTTCGTGCTGAGAAGCCCTCCTCCTCCTCCTCCTCCTCCTCCTGCAGAGCCTCAGCTTCTCATGAATAATCAGGACTTCCTAACATCCTCCCCTTCCAGCAGGCGGTGGGGTTTCAGAAAGGGGGGAAGAGTGACAGGTGGACCGTCCGTGAGCCCCGTCTAATCTGGGAAAAAAGGACTGTTAGCGTCTTCCTCGGCCCTGGGAAGACCATGGCTCTCTCCGGGATCTGTCGAGAGTCTTTGCTGGTGATTTTACTGCAAATCGTGCTGATTTGCTCTGCTCAGGTGAGATTATAGATGCTATTTCTGTTCTCCCCTTCATGTCACAGAGACAAATTAACATATTCCTGTAATATTCCTATAGATGCTTATAGCATGTTTGTGTTGCTCAGTGAGGTATTTTTTAGAGAACTTACTGTGTTTTATAGTGTTTTTTCCCTTATGTATCCTAATAATATAATAAGTAAAGAATCTGAGGTGTCTGTATAATTCTTAAGTTTATATCTTAACTATATGTTGTATTATTTTGTATCTCCTATGAGATCATACTTTACATTCCCATAGGCACTTTCAGCTTATTTGTGTTGCTCAGTAATGAGTAGACATTGTTGTACCTTACTCTACTTTTAGCACTTATTTTTCACTATTTCCTACCACATTGTCACTATGAAAGCTAACAATGTGAGCTGGTAAAGTGAGATACTCATACTTTAATGCACTTTAATAACACAACAATGTCTATTGGTATTACAAAGTGTCATTGTCTGAGCTAGTTAGAGAATCAGTATGAGGCATGTGAATGTTGAAAGTGGGTGAGTTGAAGGTGTGACTCATATTTTTTTCCAGCAAAATGTATAGATGTATGCTCTTATAATCAACATTATTTACAAAAGACTTCAATGTTTTATGAAGTTTATCCCAAACACTGGTCCTAACTGTGGGCCATTCATCCCAGTGTGCACACCTGGCACCAATAAGGTCCAGACAGCAGCAGTAATCTGAACACATGCAGTTACTTAGGCGATATAATGGGACTAAAATGGGAATCCAGGTTTAGTTTCATGACCTTTCCCCTCATATCACCCAAACAATAAGACTCTGTGTAAGCTGCCCTTCACACCACCAGCAGCAGCAGCAGCAGCACTAGATGATATTTAGAGATGAATTTCAGTGAGTAAAAAAGTGAAAACTGATTTTTGTGTTTATTCTACAGAGGGGCCTGGTCGGTCCCAGAGGCCCCGCGGGGCCGCCTGGAGTGGCTGGTGTGCCCGGAGTGGACGGCATTGATGTAAGTCACTGTTTCGTCTCTTCTCAACAGTTTTCAGCTGTGGCTCAGTTCATTTCTGGGTTAATCAGCTCAGTGAAGCAGGATTTCACTGGTTTACACAAGAAGGAGAAAAAACACCAGCAAATATATAAAGGTTCTTACATGACTTCAATACCTTCACTTTCACTGTAAAAAGTGATGTTACACTTTAAAAACCAAGTTCTACTCTCAGATTAATTGACCTGAAAAGTGTTGAGTATGCAAAAAGCCACTCACTTGCTCAAAACAGAGCAGATGGGATGTAAAACTACAGTAAGGTCAGTTTTAACTAAAAGTTTAAATGCACAATGGGCTGAAAAATACCACAACCCAATAAACTTATATATGTATCATGTTCACATAGAAAAAGGACCACAGCCAGGATTTTAGAAATACTGAAATCATGAGTTCAAGCTCCCGCCCAGAGTATCAAATGCAAAAGGTCTAAATGCTGCATCAAAGCCCTCCTCACACTTTCAGAGAAACAATTTTGGTGGGACAAAGTATTTTAGCCTGAAAGTAGATACAGTCTAAACGTGTTGAGTCTGAAAATACTGGAATCAGGCTATAAAATATCCACCATGGATTAGACTTTTTTAAATTGCAGAATTTAATGCCAGATTAGAACAAAAAAATCAAATTCCCAGAAAATACAAATGGACACAACCCCACTGTCCCCAATGGTACCTAAGGGTGTGTGCAGCAAGCAAAGTCTTCTCATAATTAATGCATTTTTCATTTAAATAGAATTATTGTCAACATCTGAACATGTTCTTCATGTATCTTCAGGGCGACAGAGGAGAAGACTCCACAGTGACTGGCGGACCAGTAAGTGATTTCTGCTTAGACATGCAGAAGTGTTTAATGGATGTTGACTTTGGGATTAATTTACCCAAATAAACAGTGTTAACGTGAGGTGAACCTCTGCTTCCAGGGCCCTGATGGTGATAATGGCAAAGACGGAGTTGCTGGAGCTCCAGGCCTTCCAGGCGCAGATGTAAGTAAAACAACATGTTAATTAATGTTAAGATAGTGGAGTTTAACGTTAGACACAGAGTGGTGTGATGTACCAGACACATTTTACAGCTGACGGAAGATTCTATTGAACTTTAAACCCACCAGCTGCTTTAATACAGTGGATAAAAGTCATTCTCAGCCCTGCAGGTTAAACTCTCCAACAAGAGGATGTATTGAATATCTGTAAGATCTGAGCTGGAGGACTTGAGACATTCAGATCTGCTGCTGTGTGAGCAGTTTGTCTTGGCTTCCAGTTAGTAAAACGGTGCAGGAAAAAGGTTCCCTGAATAAATCAATCTGGCTATTTAGGGGAGAGTCTCAAGTAGCTTCCTGACAGAAACAGGGGTCTTTTTGTGTCCGATTGAGGGGTGTGCAGAGGGATCGGCTGCCCAGAGATGGCTGGCAGGAAAGAACCGTGTGTTGGGAAAGGTGGTGCAGAATGGACTCAGTGTGTTTGCTGTCTGCTGTGG